TACGCAACCAATTTCCTTTGATGTTTGATTGATTACATAATCAAATAAAATAAAAAAACAAATGCATCCTATCCGTTTTTACGTGACAATGATCAAGAAAATGGCATGTGATTGATTTTCTCACGGTCTTGAATTAAGGAACTCAACTTCCTTTTTCGTTTATTCCAAGCCTTCGTTCATCACCTTTCCTTTCCTTTCCTTTCCTCTCCTTTCCTTTCCTTTCCTTTCCTTTCCTTTCCTTTCCTTTCCTTTCCTTTCCTTTTGCCTTACTCGTTTTTCATTTTCTCCCAGCATTTCAACCATACTCAGTCTTACTTATCTTTATTAACAATGGTCGCCACAAGGAGTTCAACACAAAAAAACATAGCTGCAAATGATTCCACAAGGAGCCAAGCACAAATAAAAATGACTGCAAATAAGCCTGAGGATGCCTCCACACTCAATAAACGAAAAAGAGAAAACCAACACCCACAACGAAAAAAGCGCGCCATCTCACCGCTGCTGGAGCTGAACTGCGTTGTTGAGGGAGAATCAACATCTTTTCTTGTAAAGATTCTTTCCAATAGTTCAGTTGGTGAACTCAAGCAAGCCATCTATTCGTCCGCCAGGTTTGGTAATATCCCGCCAGAAAAGCAAACCCTCTACAAGGTCTCCATCCCTGACAAAGACGAGGCCATCTTTGAGTCAGAAATCGAGTCAAAAGAGGCTCTCACAATCGCGTCAAAGGAGCTTGGGGACATATTCAATTCTGAACTTCCAAGGAAAACTATCCATGTTTTTGTCAAGCCACCACAGCGAGGTATATCTTTGGCTCTTGATGGACTGATTGTTGATATTTCCAGCTGATGAAGCTTGGTTTATATCTTAAACGGCCATGTGCATAATATCACCATTTGGTTTGTGCCTTGATAACTCAACGTTCTTTCTAATTATTCGCTTTTGATACTTAGCTCAGAAAAGAAAACAAGATGGAGATTGTGGTGAGTGCTTTTGGCCGAGAACCTGGTTATTGATCAATTTAGAGTGATGTGCAATAAATCAAAAATACTGACTTTGATCACTCTATCTCCTTTATCAGAGTCATCCTCTAAAAAAGCTCGTTCAAGCATGAGTAGCACAGGCCGCTCTAGTGCTCTTATGGATGCGATTACAGAAGCAGGGCTTGCAACGAAAGGGAAAGTGGATGGTTACCCTGCCATCTCGCCTCTCAACTCGAAAGAGAGGGTCAAGGTGCTTTCGTACATGGGGGAGGCATCGGTAGGTAGTATTTACTACAGTATTATTAGCGTGGCTCGCGAGCTCCGAAATTCTGGTGAAGGTATCAAGGATTCCAAAATATTGACTGCCCCTGAGGGTCGTACCTTCCCTATTGTTAATACACGGCATCTTTATATCAGAGAAGAATATAAAGAGCTTTATGACCATATTACAGCCAAACTCAGTACCCCTCGTAAAGTATCTCGTTTGAATCGACTCTTTGTCACTGGAACACCTGGAATTGGGAAGTCAGCCTTTTTGGTCTATTTTGCCATCCGCCTCCTTGCCGAACACGACGAGGAAAACCCACCGATTATTATTTTCCAAAAGAAGATGAGTACTGGATGCTATGCTTATGGAGGAACAACTCGCCAACGTTATGGGGATATAGAAACGTTCAAAAATTTCCTTGATCAGCCTGAAACGTGGTATTTAGTTGATAGTGGTGATAAGCCTCAACCAGATAGAGCCAGGACGATATTTTCGGCATCACCAAGAGCTCTCAGTGAGAAGTATGGTGAATTCGCCAAGGAAACTACACCATATAGCTACTATCACATGTCACTCTGGAGTTTGGACGAGCTTAAGGAATGTAGAGCCAATGTAGAGGATTATCATTCAGTGGATCAAGAATTTTTGGAGGAGCTTTTTTGCAACTTGGGGGGTGTGCCGAGACAGGTCCTACAGGGTCCATCTGATGTACTATCTGAATATCAAGAAGATATTGACTGTGCTAGGAAAGCTGCGTTTCAGTGTGTCAATGCTGCCATTGGCCTACTCAAGTTCCCAAGAAATCTTTCAAACCTCTTTATTCCAGGAGATAAAGCGGGTAGTCATTTACTCCATAGAGTCCCCACTTCTGACCACCTCCGCTTCCACCTGGTATGGGCATCTCCTTATGTTCGATCACGTATCATCATGGAATTACAAGATCAGACTTGGATCGACGAGTTGAAGCGACTTGCCAAAGCTGGCAGTGAAATAAAAAAAGGACCTTCGTTTGAACTCTATGTTCACTATTTAATTCGATGTGGTGGACTTCGGTTTCCATTTAAGGATCTTCAGTCAGACGAAACAGGATTCTTTGATCTTCCGAGGGACTCGGAAGTATTATTTACCAAGACTGCAGCAGATTTTTCAACATTCTCCAAAACAACAGACAAGTTGTTTCTACCATCTTTACCCAACTTTCCGTGCATCGATTTTGCATTGGGACCCAACAAGCTATTTCAGGTCACAGTATCAGAGAATCATCCGATCAAGCAAGCACCATTTAAGGATATAATTGATTATATTACTGGACCCTGCTCGAAGGGAAACCGATCAAAGTCGAATGGAAGTGATGATACCATTTTCCTCTACTTTGTGGTACCAGGATACATATATGACAATTTTAAGGCTCAAAGGTTTGTTACCAACGATGGTCAGGATGCCAAGGCAATACCTGAATGCTTGAAACATGTAAGACAGCGTGTCATAAAAATCGACATCGATGCTGCATATTCAGTAGGAGCAGCCGGTACGAATCTGAAGAATTAAATCGAATACCAATCAAGTGGATGAAATTTGTGTTGTAAAAGAAAAGCATTATACCTGTTCCTTGAGGGTTTTTTTACAATAGTACATCCTTTATGAATGAAGCCATCATTATCCACTTACCCTTTAGACAAAGGGGATGGCGCCTTTTAATCGGTCCTACACACACACTTATTGAGGGCCTGTCATAACTGTTGTTGCATATTTGGTTTAACTGCATATTTGATCACACGAACAAAAGGATAAATGCAGCCCACATAAATAGGATCTTAATTTTATATATAGAAAATGAATGAATAAATACTCGGATAATGTGGTGCTTGCAATGGTTTAACTTAATTGACATTGTTTACACATGATCTCTGTCACTCCACTCAGGAAATTAAAACAAAACCTGTGAAGAAAAAATAAACCTCAACGCGCAGATTGTTACTTTTGCCAGAGGAAAATGTCCCACGATATAGTAAAAACCTCTGTGATACTCTTATGAGCGTTATGATCCCATTCTCTTGGATCGTGTTATTCGTCTATTTTCCGAGTTGGCTTTATCAGATAGTTGTATCTTTTTTTGACTTATTAACCTCTGATGTTCTTCATGATGCATCGTGCTGTTGCTGCTTCCGTGTTGCCTGCTGCGCCAAATAATTGGCGTGTGTGTTAGAGCCTGCCTTACGACATGAAAGTTCATGACGCTTCCAATAGTCCGCAATGCATTTTCGTTCCCCAAAACTTCCTTCTGGTTCCCATGTGTTGCCATGCGAGCCGAATCCTTTCCATTTTACGAGGTACCACCCCCCCCTCCTCCTCCTCATCAGACTCAGAGGTACGATGATCGAGAATGTCTTCCACCTCGTAAAGATCGTTGTCATCGAGGTCATCCAACACTAACTTAAGTTGTGAAGGTGCATAATTGCGACCCAAGACTTCACCTGTGCCATCTCTAAGCACATAGGCGCCACCTGTGTTTCGACGGACAACAATGAAAGGACCTTCATATCTAGGAGTGAGTTTGTCACCCTGGATGGGATCGACTGCCATAACTTTAGCGCCGTCAGGAAATTCATTGTGCACAATCGTCTTGTTAAAACGATCATTCATTTTCTGCTGTGTAGACCTAGCTTTCACATCAATAGCGAAGACAACCTCAGATATGTATCTAAGATGCTCCTCGAGCTCGCTTTGGGATAAAGGCTCACCTGCTTCATCAGATAGTTGATGTAGACCACTGAAACGTCGTGCAAAGAATAGAGAAAAAGGTGATGAGTTGTGTACCGCAACGATCCTAGTGTTCAATGCAAGCTGCACCATTGGAGCATGGTCATCTCAGGTATGCTTTATTCCTTGATCGTTTTTCTGATAAGCCCCATCGTTGCTTTAACGTAGTTCTCAGCGACACCATTGCCTCTTGGATGATAAGGAGTGGACAGTCTATGCTGTGTGCCCATTAATCTAGTCATCTCTCTAAGACCCTCGTTGATAAATTCTTTTCCATTGCCTGACTGCAAAATGAGTGGAAAGCCAATGATGGTAAAGATATTGAATAACGCCTTCGCTATCGTTTGTGCTGCCCTGTCCTTTATTGGTACCACGAACACAAACCGGGTACAAACGTCAACCAAGACTATAAGTCTAATATTGTCGTTCTTAGTGCCAGGGAGTTGGCCAACGAGATCAACTGCCATATGATCTCCAGATAGTTGAGCATGGATTGCCTTCATAGGGTGGTATCCCTTGCATTCTATGCTAACTCTTTGACACTCGCGGCATCGTTTAACATAGGCAAGACAGTCTTTGGCTAAATTAGGCTAAGTCTTCTGAAGCGAATGAATGTAATTCACCATGGCATTCGTGCCTGAATGGGACATGTCATGTGCTTCCTTCAATACATCGACTCGCTTGTCTTCATGCACAACGTCTTTAGGATTCTCTTCACCTTGCAGCATATGCATGTATCCATAGACTTTCTCATTACTACTAGACGGTGAGCGACTTGTCCACAGTTCTTGAAGGAACTGACGAGACAGAGCGTCTGATAAAACATTAAGCGCACCTGGTCTGTAGACAACTTTGAATGTGTATGAGCTGATGATTTCTTGCCAGCCAGTCAACATCGAATTCAAGTGCTCAATCACACCGTGTACGTTCGGATCATCCTTCATTTTTATTCTACATATTATGCATTCATTCATTCATATTTTTCTTTCCCTCTAATTAGGCACAGGTGTGTCCATAATATTGGGTAGGGCAGGCGCTGCTGTCGCAGCTGTTGGACTGACACTGGTGCTTGTTTCGGTTGAAGGCAAGGACTTTGCTACCATGGCCGTCATCAATGCTGGAAGGTATTCCTCGCAGAAGGATGAAAAATAGAACTATGAAGAGAACAATAAACGTAACTTGTTAGTTTCTCTTTGATGAGGCATAATTGTAAAAACAAAAACAAACGAAAAAACAAAAAAAAAAAAAAAAAAAAAAAAAAAGCCAGCATACCTCATGCTTGCTGCTATGTTCACTGACGAAATTGTGCGCCAACTCATGGGCCATCGTGAAGAACCAGTAAATAAGTCCGACATCCCTAGAACTAACAGTCTTTCCTTGTACCTGCTTCGGGGTCAATCCAGCCCCATCATCGTGTCCTAAGGCTACAAAGTATCTCCAGTTGAAGAACAAAGCCCCTCCACGATTGAAAGCAATGGCTTGACCATCGGGATCGTAGTAGACATGCATCGTCTCAGGCACAAGCCCAAAGACGTCCTGTGCCAACACCATTAACAGCCTCACGAACCGAGCTAATGATTTGAGGTTGTCTTTGGTCATGATCTCATCAGCATCACAGCTTTTATCCAGATAAAACTCGAGTTCACCAGCATGGCCTACAAAACTAAGTTGATGACCTGGTTTGACATCACAATATGAATTCGTCAACACTTCTGACACTTGCGACGCTGTTGGTTCACTCGCAATATCGTCCCGGCCATTCGATCGACAGTTTCGAATCGCTTTCTGGAGAGATTGCTGCAAGTTCTCTTGGTAGTCAGGGGTGAAGCTCTTGATGACAGAGTTGGTAGTCGGCGCTGTCGATGTAACCGATGTTCGCTTGATGTCTGAGGACTTATCTGAACCAGAAGGTGTGATCCCAGTCAATGTATCCTGACTAATTGGCCTTCCAATCACAGAGTCTCTGATACTCTTCAAGCGACTAAAAAATGACCCTCCTCCACCAGAACCTGATGGCGATGGTAAACTTGCTTTTGCAGGCGGTGCGGGAGGTAGCGTAGAGATGGTGGAGACATTGCTATTATCCTGTGATGGAAAGGATCCCGGTACATGTGCAGGAGCTGGCACCTGACTGGACCTATTCTTACCTCCTTCAATACGAGGATATCCAGAGTCCAGCAACTTCATGGTAACACGCTGAACATGGTCCTGGTTCTCTTTGGAAAGTGCATCCATCAAATAGGCAGGGTCGCAATCTGGGAAAACATCCTTTAACTGTGCAAGGTACTCTGCCATTTTCTTAGGCCCAGGAGCACTGTTAGCTGCCTGCGCAGCAGCGGCAGCATCAGCCTTGGCGGCTGCTTCAATTCTAGCTTGCTCAGCCTTTTTTGCATTCAGAATTCGATCCACTTGGAATCCCTAAATGAGAATAAAGCCATAAGGTATTGATGTTAGAAAAAAAAAAAAAAAAAAAAAAAAAAAAAAATTGGGATATTGACATAGTAATATATAGTGTTGAGCTGAAAGTGTGAATCAAATGTTGTCTATTTGCATTACCTTGCGCTTCAAATTCAATAAGCTAGTAAAGAGCAGGTTCGACCACCAAATCGAATCGTTCAACTTTTTCTTTTTCAGCAACAGCTTTGCCAAGGCATCAGCAATATCAAAGTAATCCATATCACCCTTTGCAGTGACAAGTAGGTAGTAAGCTTTAGCTTGGTCTTGGACGACACATGCTGTAGTTGACTCGATATGTGTTGCACCAGTAGGGACAAACTCCCGTCGCAGTTGAATTTCGGGTACCTGGCGCACCTTGAGCTTGGTAGTCAACCAGTCCAAATCAAAATTCAATCGATTAGGCGGATGGTCACTCAAAAGTAATGGTGCACGCTCAACAATTAATTCCTGCAGGCTCTGTGACCTCCGTGTCACTGCTAATGCCCCCTGCGGACGACAATTCTCCTTGACCTGTTTCGAGATCCAAGTGCTGCCCAGTGATTCGTAGAGTGTTTCCAAAAGACTCTCCATAGGAGCACTGAGAGGCGTAAAGATCTGCTGAAGGACAGTGTCATCAATCAAGTAGATGTCGCAAGCTCTTGCAAGCTTGTACTGAACAACAACTTGCCCCAAGCTAGCAATAGATGAATCACCTGTATCATCAGCTCCTCCTGTCTTATCGCCCGCAGTAGCTGTTGACGAACTTTCTTCCTCCAAATCCTGGTTAATCCGTCTCTCACCCAACAAAAATGGTGCACTGACCATCTCTTTGACTAGGGTCTTATTTGTCCGAATGACATGCATATGAGACGCAATCTGACGTAGGATTGACTTGTAATTCTCGACACCTCCGTTCCTGTTTAGGAAATCTTGTGGAGAACGAACAACAAGCTGTGTCAGCTCCATTGGGGTGGGTTCCTCCTTGACACCGCACGACTTGAGAAAAAGGTTCGCAGCCCGACCAAAATCAACTGTAGTAAGCAAATCTGGATGGAATGCAGAGTCTTTCTTATAGAAATAACAGGCCTGAGGCTCCGTAAAAGACTTTCCGGAGTCATCCAGAGGAATAAACTTCATACCGCGGAGAGTAAGCCAGTGATGGTGGCTAAACTCACCTTGGAATTTACCCAAGAATTCAAATATTTGCCGTGCCTTCTCTTTAGTAGGTGGAGGAGAAGTCTCTAGTTTCTCAATCAACTTTAGTGCAGGAGGATTCTCTCGGATCCGAAGCATAGCTGCGTGTACCCGCAAATCTTCACGTAACACAGGAAAGCCCATAACACTGCATGCAGCGTTCCAGTAGCATCCCTAGTCAGAAATAATGAGTGTATACTTAGTCAATTGAGGCTTGCTCATCACTTTCATACACAAACATATGCCCGTAAGAATAAACAGCATGTATAGCATACCTCTGGTGTTTCCATTTTGTTATCCACAGTTGGCAAGAATGCGACTTTGACGTTCTTAGGGTTGTAGTAAGGTGCATAGAGGGTCTTGAAATGCTCGAGCAAATACTGCAGAGCCTTGACTTGAACTGTCTGTTCAGATGGAGGTGCAGCCAACGTAAGTAAAACATCCAATGACGGATGTGTTAGTAATCCCAGCTCCAACAGAAGCTTAGCCTCATCTGACGTCGATCTCCACCGACCCTATAGAAGACAAATAATGAGTAATTTTAGTACATGGCCTGTCTAAAATGGGGCTTTTTTTTTTTTTTTTTTTTTTTTTAACTGTCGTCATTCGAAATGATTTCACACGCGACAAATACCTTCCACTCAATGACAGGCAAGCCCAGGGCTATGTGGTCATCTGTAGGGACATAGAGCGTACTGGCAGCGTAACGCTTAATAGGCAGCGGTGGAGGGCCGGTATTGGGCACTTTTCCTGAGGCTGCACCAGTGGTGGCGGCGCTTCCTTCTTTATCTTTCGGTGGAGCGGGTGGAGGTAATGTTGGAGCAGCCTTGTTCTTTTCAAAGTTTTCTCTAGGGAAAATCGGAGTGGCCTTGAGACGCTTCATCTCATTCGGTGAGAGAGTTTCTCTTACAGAAGTGAGGTACTTGACCAGCTGCATATGATCCCAACTTCCTGCATTCACAAGTCGGTCAAACACCAGTTGCAGCTCAACGCTCTAGTTGAATTGAAGGATAATATATTCAGTAATGTGTTAGTACCAACCTGGGCTGATGTAGTCGTTTTGATTCATGGACGAAATAGACACAAGTGAGTTTATGGTTACCTTTCTGGCACCCATGGTCAACAACAATTTCTCAAGCGGCTGCTTTGTAAATACCATGACAGGCAGATCCGGGAATAATGTCACGGTTTTGAAGTAAGATTCGTTTGGAAGTTTCATACCATACTTGGTAGGGATACATGTCTTCTGCACCAACATGGCCACAATAGCCTTTTGTTGATTCTCATGTAACTGACCCCACCCGCGTGACAAGACATGAAGGACCTTTTCTGCAAATACAGGTGACGCCACAAACTCTGGATCGTTCACAATAAATTTCGTCCACTCAATGAGATTGAGCTCCTGCCAAGTACCAGATATTCTGTAGAGTTCCGGCTGTGTAAATGTCTTTGTGATGTCATATGGGATGGTATTAGGCGGTAGAGGCATATCAATCGGCGTCACTTTTGGATTGACGAACCACTTTAGTGTCGAGAGTGGCTTTACTGTGTCACCTGAACAAACAAGTGCCAGTTGGAAAAATGAGTCGACATCCCCATCTGAAAGAGTGTGCCTGCCTTGATAGTTGATCCACCATTTCAGCATAGCAGTCATTTGCTCCACTGTCAGCGTTCGGTTCTCGAGCTCAGTAAGGACGTCTTTGAATGAAATTCTCTTTACTTTTCCTTGTTTCTCCAATTTTTCAATATATTTTTGACTTCCAGTATACAAACTTGAGGGGATAGTTGGAAGTTGCTTCAAAAATGCTGACATGGCCGGATCAGGAATACGGATCTTATCGAGCTCCTTAACACCATGAGAAGAAAGAATCGAGAGGGCAGCGGTTGACATCCTAAAGAAATAGCCTTCAATGTAGTGAGAGACCTGGGGACTAGGTGTGCTTTGGTGGTATTCAAATGCTTGCAATGCATGGAGTGCTCGCTTCTCCAACCATTCCCGTGCTGTTGCACTAACTTGATCATCAGGCTGATCCATGTTTTGATGTGCCAGGATCATTTCATTGTAAAGATGGCCAATCTGAGCGAGTTCGTCTTCATAGATAGCCCTTGAAAGCAATCCGGCCATGCATAAAAGCTCGTGATTCCAGACTTGAAGGCATTTGTCGACAAAATCCAAGCTCTCGCGTTCGACCGTTGGAATGAATCGACCCGCAACGTGGCTGCAGAACCCAGTTGTTTGATGTGTTGGAAAACCAATAAAGATTCTGCCCTGTTCCGGAAATGGCACTAGGTCTTTAAATATTGACTTGTTTTCTGTAGAAGCCTGTTTCTCATCATGTCCGACATAGAGAATCTGAATGGCCGTTTGAGCTGGAGGATATTTCTTAGTTGTGCGCTCCATCTCTGCAGCGAATTTTTTGGATACATTAACATCCATATGCCCAGATGCTGTTTTGAGAAAGATAGTTGTGACAGTTGTAGTTACTTCGCGAGTCCATCTTGAGACCTCCATCCTAGTCGCATCCATCTGCACGCTTTGGAGCTCAACGGACTTTAGTGTAAATATCTTTTCCGGAGATGTTTTATACATGGACTTTGAAAGTGTCATTGGACGGGGTTCGCGCATTCTTTTAGTGATGTTCAAGAGTCGATGGTGGTCCAGATATACAGTTATTTCTCGTAGGTTTCCTGTGAACCCAAGAGATCGCGCCAGGAAAGGAGCAAACTCATCCATGTCTAACATGTCTATGGGCTCACGCAGATCAAGTAGAAAAGTCGTCCAACCATCCTTCTGTAAATCTTCCTCTGGAATCTGAGCTCTTTTGGCATACAGCTGATCATTTCTCCAGTAAAAAGCCATACATTCCTTTCCAGACGATACACTATAGTTGGGAAACAAGGGCACTGTAGTTAGAACAGGAATATATGCACATGAGGATAATTCATTTAGCAGCATACTGTCTACATGGATACTTACAAAGGCTCCTCACAGATGGAAAACAGTGAGTACTGCTCATATTATTAGCACAAGAAAAGAAAGAAAAAAAAAAAAAAAGATCCAGTTAATCCAAATGCGTTGATAGATATAAACTCGAGTGACCCAAATGCCTATCTTTGTAACTTACGAATCCGACACCAAAAGCACCGATCTAGATCGTAGACAATAGAAAAAAAAAAAAAAAAAAAAAAAAAAAAAAAAGGGTTGTTAGGACCTAAAAAGAAGAAGCTGAAAATAAAAGGTTTGTATTATATATATATATATAATTCTTGATACCTTGGATTCATCAGGATTTCCTTCCGCAATCTTTTTCAGCCGATTCCAATCTTCTGGTCGGAAATCCATGCCATTGTTTTTGAACAAGACTCGTGTAATCTTTGAGTTCAAATTCGGGGCTGTTTCGTGACGACCAGGCGACCCAGTTTCAAAAACAATTTCTATTCCTTTAGCTCCAGCGTCATCTACGGGGGACAATTGATAAGGTAAGGAGAGAGAGAGAGAGGAAAAGAAGAAAAGAAAAAAGAATCAGTAAAGATAAGCAAATAGAAAAGGTAACATTATGTCATGACATTTGAACGGAGAAGTCATATAGTATAATATGTACCAGAGTTCTGCATGAGTTCGCGGTAAACTACATATTCAGCAGAGTATCTAAAATTAAGAGGATCGATGGTTAGTTTCCTTTGGAAATATCTTTGTTAATCTCCTCGTGACCCCAACTGATACACCCATTAACCGACTACCATGCAGGCCACGTCATCTTTGCCAAGTGTTTGATTTGATTTTTTTTTTTCGTTAGATCACTTCAGATCAAACACAAATACATACACGCAGCGCTTTTTTCATGACATAAAAAATAATACGAAACAAATAAAAACGAACCTTGCCAAGATTTTGTCAATGAGATGCCGTTGGTTGACTAGGATATGATAGATAGTAAAGAACAGCGAAAAAAAAAAAAAAAAAAAAAAAAAAAAAAAGGTCAGTTTGTTCTGAACATCTTTTTATTGTTCTTTACTTTTTATTTCAGTAAGAAAATGAGCTTTCTAACCTTCAACCCGCTCTTCTGATCCAGTGTGAGAAAGCACCTGTGAGCGCAATGCATCCAAGGCAGATTTCTTTGAAGTCATGTTTGGTCTGTGTGTAGTGAGATTGAGAGGATATGGGAATATGAGAACTTATAAGAGAACTGAAGGAAAAAAAAAAAAAAAAAAAAAAAAAAAGAATGTGGGCGATGTATGTAGTGTGGTGCAGTGCAGTGGAGTGTAGTCTAATGTAGTCCTGTACAAAAAAAGTCTAAAGAGGAATGAGAAACCGGATGAATGAATTTAAAAGAAGAAGAAGAAAAAAAAAGAAATTAAGTGACAGGATGATGCAATGGGGGTTTTTTTTCTGTCTGTCTCCCCTGAGTCTGAGTGGTCCCTGTGCCCTGTGATACAAGGGTATTGCCACCAAATTTGTAACAACACATCTAGAAAAAGTAAAAAGTAAAAAGAAAAAACATCGGGCTTGGCCCATTGGGCTAAATCCAGTCTGACGAGTTATTAGCCATTAGTAAGACGCTAATGCGCTAATACGCTAGTCTGTGAAAATGCTCCCAAACCATTGCCTGACAAAGATGTATACAACAGAACAGACATGACAAGTTTGCTGCGCTACAGCACATGACATGGCACAGTTGTCCGTCAACTCAGGATGACGCATTGGACAATCCTCGTCAATTGAAAAGGGGCTCAGCTGCATTTAAAGTATCCTCTTCTAGTCTTTTTCTTTCTCACTTTTTTTTTTATTTTTTTTTGTTCTATTCTGCTTTTGCATAACAAATGACCATCAACATTGAGGAACGTGAGACTTTGTCCACTCTCATTCTCACCATCACAAAGAGTGGTGACCTCTATCTCGATCCTACTCAAGTGAAGGTGTGAAAACATTAAACAAAAAAAAAACAATTCCTTCACTCCCCCTTTTGAATGAATAGAATGCATGTAATGCAAATTCACTTCAAGAATGAGGGAGTGAAGGGGAAGGAAGGGGGACATGCTCGTTTGACACCATCATAGTCGTTTGACATATCCTTTCTATCCATTTTTCCATCCAATCCCTCTCACCCTCTCCCTCACCCTCTCTCTCTTATCTTTTTGTAAACATATCACTCACTTTTAACAACTCCATCATTTGACACCAACGTTTAGCAAGTGAAGAAGATTTGCAAAAAATCAGATACAAATGTCAGGATTGCCTATGAGTTATTGATGATCCAGCTTCAACGCAAGCATGCTCAGGTATACTTTATAATACAATCTTTACTGTCTGCCTTCATATCTGTGCCTGTTTACTACAACATCTAGTCATAATGGCATTATAACATACTTTTTTTTTCCCCCTTTTTCTAATAAAGATCCGCTTTTCAAGTACACAACTCATTGCGGAGCTATTTCAACGATCTCATGTCTTTCGTGAGTTATTGGTCGCAGATTATTCTATCTTTCTGCAGTTGACAGTTGGTATCCATCAGAATCCACTTCCTCCTCCAGTTTTGTTCGCCAACAAGACCAAGCAATTGGCTATCTCGCTCACAAACGAATGGAATGCAAAATATGGATCCGTTTATAAACAGGTAACAAAAGAAAAAAAAAAAACATGTTTATTTTTTATCATAGATATAAAGGCGATTAAGAAAAAAACAAACAAGTAATAAACTGCTGGGGTTTTTTCTTTTTTTTTTTTCTTTTCTTTTCTTTTCTTTTCTTTTCATTTCTTTTTCATTTTCGATGAATTTTTCTAGATTGCATTGGGATATGACTTCTTAAAATATCACCTCAAGGTCGATTTTACAAACCTCGTTCCCGTGACAGATGAGGCTCGAAGTGCAGAGCAAAGAGCACAAGAAGAGATGACTCGACGGCTTCGTCAAAAGAAATATGAAAAGGCTGCTGCGGAAATGGAAGAAAAAGCGGAGGATATTCAGGACAATATAAGAAAGATGGCATGTGTCGGAAGAAATCAAAAAAAAAAAAAAAAAAAAAAAAAAAATAGTATCGCGTGGAAACCATTTCATGAACTACAACAATATATCCCTATACCTAATACCTTTTTTTTTTTTTTTTTTTTTTTTTTTTTTTACATTATTATAGAACTCTTGTTTTGAAATCCTAGTACCAAAACTAGACGACGAGGCTGCTCTAAATGCAATTTTCAACGTCCCTACGACCGAAAAGGATATTTCAACAACAGTAAACACGGCAGAGACAGAAACGACACATAATGACGATGACGATGATAATAGAAATGAAGATCAGGCAATAGAGAGCGATAATGATGAAGAGATACTTCGGCATGACCCTCTCGGTGTACATGAAAATGCATTAGGATCCAATCGATACAAATTGACCATTACCCTGAACAAGGACAACCCTGTAGATGTTGTGGAATCTGAAGACAATCGAGAAGTCTTTAGTACACTACGAGAATGCTATCGTTTAGTTGTCAAGAAGCATTGGCCCTTGGTCATGGACTGGCTAGACATCTTGATGAAAGCCGATCGGGAAGCATGCGAGCCAAAAACCGAATATGACCGACTGCTCAGGCTGGCTATTGATCTTAAAAAAAGTGTAGCAGATGCGAAGAGCAAGAGTGAGGATTTAGGTGTCAATATGGACACTATGTATGGTAATGAAACAAAAGGGAAAAGGCAAAAAAAAAAAAAAAAAAAAAAAAAAAAAAAGTCAGACTGAAAGCAAACCGAAGCATTGAAACCGATACTGACTGTTATCTTTTATATGCGTGTGTTTTTAGGACCGAATGATCATGACTCTGATGAAGATAATGAAGAGTTTGAAGAGGTAGATATCTTGGCCTCTCGTAATGATAAGAAGAAAGGAAAGCAACCAAAGAGGAATACTCAACCAAGCCAGCCCAAGAAACCAAGAAATGCAGTCTTTGCGATGCAGGGTGAGGATATTTTAAAAGACGATCCAACTTATGCTGGAGGCACCCGGGTGGTGTCTCGAAGGCAGGAACAAGAGTCTATTGAGGACTCCTCAAGGGCTACCAGCGAGGTATCAACTCCACCAATAGACGATGCTGATGCAACAAGACAAGGTACAGATGTATATTTAAAAATAAAAAATAAAAAAGCTTCATGTGTTGCTTCAATTAGCTAATTATTAACTAACATCTGGTCTTAATGACTTGCTAAAATAAAAAATAACAGAGCTATTGGCGAGAGCACCAGTTGTGCCGTGGGATGATGATTTGGCAGTATGGGACAAAAAGGAAATGGCATTCAACACTTCAGGACTTGAGCGCTCGCATCGATTCCTCGGAGTGGGCGATGGGAGTAACATGGTATCGGATGCTACTTTGGAGCGTATGAAGATGCGTACACGTATTTATAGTCCCCAACTGCCCAAAGTCATCAAGGTAAAGCGCTTTTATAGTCTTTTTTCTTTTCTTTTTTTTTTTTTTTTTTTTTTTTAGGAAAAAAAAAAAAAAAAAAAAAAAAAAAATGTTACTACAACACTCTTCTATTATTGCAATGAATTAATCACTCTTTTATAGGCATGTCGCTATCCCATGAGCAATGGACGGCTTTGCATGAGACGAGACCTGGTGCGATGTCCATATCATGGTCCTATCGTCCCTCGAGATGAGTATGGTCAAATTCAACGATTAACTGAGGATGGTAGATACGTACCGGTGGAAGAAGAGGACAAGGGACTGGACGATGCTCAAGAAGCCGCACTGATCGATAGAGCTATTGCAGCAGCATCCGGCTCATCGTCCTCGCTAAGGTCATCTGCTACTCGATCGACTTCAAAGGCGATAATAAAAGACCAATCGAGTTGGGAAGATATTGAAGACGATGTCCATCTCGCCTTGGGTCTTGAGAAGATTGAACCAAAACGCAAACGAGGTCAGGGTGGCTCGAATGAGAATAAGAAGAAGAATAAAAAGCCTGCATCGGCCCTAGTCAATATCACAAAACCCCCAGAGTCTTCGAGGGCTCGGCTTTTGAGACATGTAGGAAGCAAATCAAGCAGAGACTCTGTAGAACAGGATCGACAAATGGAGAAGACAAGCCAATCAAAAGACACACGCCTCAATCGCTGGAGATAGAGATAGATTTCCCACAAAGCCGCTCATTATTTATTTAATTTTAATTCAAAAGAAAATAAACATTTGTTTGTGTGTAATTAGGTTTGTCCCAAAAGTCGAAAACCTAGAGTTCATGGCTGTTGCTTCAGCGACGTGTCGTGTTCATTCAATTTCATTTACCCATTCCCATTCCCACTTTTCTCACTTTTCAACTTTTTCACTTTCTCACACTTCTCACTTCTCACTTCTCACTTCTCTCACGTACATCTTTAGCTGCTTCATCCATTTTATCAAGTTTCCTGTTGTTTCCTCATGCCACAAGGACCCATGACATTCCGTCCTTTGGACGAGAATAATCGAGATGCACCTCCACCCTATGAGGCCAATGCAACAACAACTAGCCCACCTATTAGTCCTATTGCTCCACACCAACAGTACCCAGTCCTTAGCGCAGCAACGCACCATGATGGCACTACATCCTTACCGTCGCCACCGCCTATTAGCTATTATCCTCCCATGACAACTATCTCCAACGCAATACCAACAGTAGCAGCAGTAGCATCAACAGCACAATATCCTCAGTATCCCACAATGACCATGGCAGTCCCTGATACGTCGAGTGAAGTGCCTTATCCAATAGCATCTTCTGATAATTTCTTTCCATCACCCCTTGTCACCCTTACTGTTAGTAATTTCTATAGGCCGCAATTATACCCAACGATACCACTTCAGGACTCTACCACCAACGACGGTACATACCCTATATCACTTTCATCCACACCGAGTAGCCTGTCGGTGCAATATGAGCCGAGCGCCCCTAGTCCGCATAACCCTCAATGGTCGCTGTATTCATCTACAATTTCTACACCAGCAACAGCGGCATCCTCACTTTTTCAAGATGATAAGAGAGCTATGCAAAATTACTATAATGAACTGGATAGTAGAGTAGAGTCAACATCAATAACACAGCATCCATATCTCTCTCAAGCCTCATCGCAACAACAGCAACAACAGCAATCACCAACCTATCCTTCATTTCCTGCGATGACACCTATACCAAAACTAGTAACTACATTCCGATGCAAGAAATGTGGAACGATCTTGGAGTCAGAAACAGCCGTCTGTAAGCGCATTCACACCGTGCCAGTGAACTTTTCAGAGCGAAAAGTTCAACACGCGACAGGACGCGATCTCAGAGAACGAACGATATATGATTCAGATTTGTTCAGAATGTCCAGTCATAATAGCATGGGTGAGGGGAGAAGGAGGTGGAGTACGGCCCATGAAAATAGTCATAATGATAGTTATGATGCTGGTAATGCTAGTGCTGATGCTATGAATAGCAATGGCGGCGATGCCATGCTCCATTCGTCGTCGTCGCCCCAACGGTCGAGGGCAACATCATATTGTTACGCGCCTTTCTCAAGCACAGGACCGGGACCACCAGAACTAGGTCTACTTGCGCCACCAACCATTACAACGACGACGACGGTTACAGATAACACTCAATATGAAACAAGTAATGGGCAAATTCGACGATCAATGAGTGTACAGAACCCAATGACAACATTAAGGAAGTTATGGCGCGATGCAAAGAACGAGTTTAACTATCAGTCATCGACTTCAAGGAGTTCATGGCAGCAACAATATGAGATTGTAGCTCCATCTCCACTGCCCTCTTCTTCTTCATTCTCTCCTTCTACTACTACTACTACTACTACTATTGCTACTACTCCCACCACCTCTACAACTTTGAATGTTGCGCCATACCAAGCAGAGTCGATCTATCCACCTCCACAACAACCCTGAAAAGGAAAATGATAAAATGATGCAAATACAATAAATGACATGAGATTGTTTAAACGATTAAATGATAAACAAATTAACCTTGTTTTTTATTTCTTGACATAATTGCAAACAAACACTTTTTCCAGAAATTGCCTTTTTGGATAAAAAAAGATTGATTTCGAAAGCCAAGGAAAAAAAAAAAAAAAAAAAAAAAAAAGTCTCAAACAGTATAATAAACTCTTATTTTTTTGCCCTCATTCTTCTTTCATTCCCACAACAATTTAGCATTGACATTCAGCAAAACTACACACCTTCAAGAAGGCATTTACAACCATGTCAGAAGACAGGAACAACAACAACAACAACAACAATAACAACAACAACGATAATAACAATGACCGCAGTGGTAAACCCATCTATTCAGTCACGATGGATCCCAACGCTCTGAACCGAGAATTTAATCAAGCGACCCAAGCCCTGCACTCCTCTGTCAATTCCCTCCTCAATATGATGCACTCCTCTGTCTTTGGAGGACTCGAAAGTATTTCCAAGGAGATCTCTGCGTTCGAAAGGAACAGTAAAGAGTTTCTTGAGAACCATCCTCTTCAATCTTATTATCAACATCATCTTCAAAATCTTCCTTTCTGGAATCTTCGATCTGATGGCCCCAAGAAACGATATCGAATCACCATTGAGGAATTACCTCCATTGGAAGAAGGAGAAAACCAAGGCTCTTCAAAAATCTTTTCGACTTCTTCTTCTTCTTCCGATGTTGTAACTAGAGGAGGAAAAGGATCAGGATCAGAGATAGATGAATTCACAATCACTCAGGGTAAGGCTGGAACGCCAGACGAGGGCAAGACTGTGATCACGACCTCGGTAGCGCCAGGACTGTTGGATTGGTTGTTGTTCACGACCCATGAAGATTCGTTCTTTAGACGATTGGGACAACATGAATATGAACATCCACATCATTCACACCATCCAAAAGAGTATTATGATCCTCTCACGGGCGCGACTATTAGAGAGTTGAAAGAATCCGAGATGGAGGATGATGGTGATGATTATCAGAGTCAACAACACAAGAGGACCGTACCCGCATTGGTGGAGAAAGTGAAGCAGGTGGGCACAAGCTGGGAGAGGGATGCTAGGCATTGGTGGCAACGCAAACGTCATGAGGGTGGAAACGATCAGAGTGAAGACAAAGACAATAAATCTCAAGAGCAGCCATTGGATCATCAACATCATCTCTTTACGGGCGTGAGTCAAAGTGAAAGGGATCAAGAAGAGGAAAGATATTCGAGAAGATGGCCTCGTGGACGTACCTGGGGACACACTGAGGTAAGAAAAAGAAGCGAATGAATATTGTTGAAGAAGGGAAAGAAAAGAAAAGTCTGTACAAATATAAGATGCTAATAGACTAATGAATTTAACTTTCTTATTTTTTAATTTTTATAAATACAATTGATCAGTCATATAGTCAGACAACAGTTACACGTCCCGATGGTACGGTTGAACACCGAACTGTGAACAGCATCAATGGGGAGACAGAGACGATTATCAAGATTCAACACCCGGATGGCTCTGTGGAAGAGACGATCACGCGAGAAAATCGTGATGACCATTCTTATAATGGTAGCGGTGGTGGTTTTCGTGACCGGTGGTTAAACCGTCGTCATCGTCGACACGATCGAGAAGAGGATAACGAGGATCGTACGCGAGACTCCATTGCTGCAATGGTTACAGAAGCCTTTAATGATGAACATCAACAATATCGAAAGTAAAAAAAAAAAAAAAAAAAAAAAAAAAACCTCTGCAGCATTTGAAAGGTTGAAGTTGTTGAATCAACTTTTGATAGCAAATATCAGTAACAATAAAATAAATTAATAAAACGTACACGACACGTTCACGGCCATTAAATTATTGATTAACAGCTCAACAGAACAAAAAGTTTTTAAACTGTGAGGACAAAGATGAGAGAGGGGATTTATATGTTCTCTTTATATATTATGGATTAAGGTTATTCTAATGGATAATGCTTTTTCTTTTAACAATTGAAGAAGAAAAAAAAAAAAATTTTTTACTAGAGTACCAAGGCAACTCCAGCAACAACAGCAAGGACGATGGTCACAACAGTAGATCCGATCATGTTGGTATTAGCGCCGGATGTGGTAGTGCCAACGGCCTTTGAGTTTACATTCGTATTAGTACTGCCGGTCTCTCCTGGGGCCTTCACCTGGAATCGACCGGAATACGCGTTTTTGGGAGACAGGAGCAATTGGAGGGCATAGGTACCGGCCTTGGTATCTGCGGGAACGGTCCAGACGAGATTCCCGACCATCTTTGTACAATCAATGGTTCCGACCTTCTTGACATAGAATGCGTTGTCGATGTTGTTCGAGTCCATGAAATCAACCTCTGTCTCGTTCGGTGTTGCAGAGACCAAGGTAGAGGGCGGAGTACAGGCCATGGACCAGGAGAAGGTCTGGTTCGTACCAGCAGCATAGGCGATACCGTCACCTACGGGTTGTGTGAACGAGATATGATCTGGAGGCCCACTTGGGCTTTTGTTACCGCCAGGAGCATCCAGGGTGGTGGAGCCAGTGCTGGGAGGGGCAGGAGCGGCAGGAGTGGCAGGAGTGGCAGGAGTGGCATCAACACTTGGAGGAATGGCAGCACCATCAGCCAAGACAGTCGTGGCTGTGGCCACAAGAGCTAGGAGATTAATAATGGACTTGAGGATCATGATAGAAAAGAAAAGATAAGAAGAAGAAAAAGAAAAAATAAAAAAGATGTTTTGTTGTATTGACCAAGGATGTCTGTTGGAAGGGAAAAAGGAGAAGAAGAGAGAGGAAGCAGAAGAGAGAGGAAGCAGAAGAGCGGATGAAGATGCTAACGAAAGAAGCAAAGGTTTAAGAGAGAAAGAGACACAGAGATTAAAAAAAAGAAAAAGAAAAAAAAAAGAAAAAAAAAAAAAGCAAAAAAAAAAAAAGAAAAGAAAAGGAATCAAGGGGCTTTTTAAGCGATGGTTATATATTTATTCTTGGTGGTTATTCTTGATGGTTATCCTTGATGATTATATTAAAGCACTGACAGGGATCAAGGATAAAAGATCGGTTAAAATCACAACCATAATGACTAGGCAACACCGGTACCTTCGTTTTTTGTTTTTTTTCTGTGGAGAGAACTATTTTAAACCCGATGAACTCCTTTTAGTTTTAAAAAAAGCAACCTAATTGGAAAATGATGTCCACATTCTTCTTTGCCTTGGAAAGGAGAAAAGCAACAAGAATCGGCATCGTTTCCTTTCAAAAAAAAAGAAAAAAAAAAAAAAAGGAGGTGGAAAAGATCAAGGTTAATGAGATATGATGGGATCAAGAAGGCGATATATAGGAAAGGATAGGAAACTATTTGTAGCTAGGCATAGAAATGGTAATAAAGTAGGAGACAGAAAAAACAGAACTCAGGAGAGAAAAGGAGATAACCCAGGTACCATCATTTCCCAGAGCCTGAAGGGGAGGAGAGTAGAAGAGGCCCCTTTTTTGGTCTGTGCATATCTGTACAAAAAAAAATAAAATAAAATAAAATAAAATCTCTAGATGTTGGGAAGAAGTTTGTTTGGACGAGGAGCGTGCACGTGACCTATAGTTCCAATTTAAATGTTTAAATCCAAAGGAAACTTGTTATGGGTCGGGCTGTTTGCAACAGCCAAAGATTCTTGTATACAACCGCAGTGTCTGTGTGTTTGTGTGCCTGCTTTCCTGTTTATCTGTTTTGTCAAAGGGAAAAGATGGAGAGAGTGGAAAAAAGTATTATTGCCGAAATTTGACCGAGGGATCAGATGTGCTTTTGAAAGCGTGTGTGGCATATAAATATTATATGGAAGATTAGGGTTTATGAATGTTGCGATGGTTGTGAGTGGATCGTTCATTATGAACCATTGGCCATTAACCGCAAGGGTTCTTTTATTTTATTTTTTTTCTTTTTTTTTCTTTTTTCTTTTTTATCATAATCTTTCTTGATGTTTTGTATAGATGTTTGTCCATGCATAAATATAAAAAAGTAAAAAGTACATAAAAATGTACAAATGAAATGAAAGAAAGTCAAAAGGAAACAAATAATTGAGTTGCAACGTGCTAATCTTTGTCCTACACATCTTTTTTTAATATGAAGCAAGATTACGCGATGTAAAGATACACATGAGACAGCACGCGTTCATTTGTTGCCACACACTCCCCTATTTCTTTCCTTCTTTCTTTCCCCACTTCCACTTGTTCCCCCATTTATTCCCTTCCCCCTGCATTGTGAGTTTGAGGATTATTGTAATTAATATTGTAATATTATTTGTGGACGAACAAGAGTTGTTGTATTTTTCCCTCTTCTCAACGTGCACATGTGTATGTGTGAAACGTTCATGATTATTATTGTCTATATATATTTATGAATATTCTTATTATGATTATGATCTTTTTTTTTATTTGGCTGAAAATCTATGTTTAGGGCAACAAGTTACAAGCTGACATGTGCTTACTCATCTTTTCTCTTTTTCTCTTTCTATTATTCCCTCTGTACATCTTTGTAACAACATTTTTGTTTTGATGCACAGCCTTGAAGGAAAGGAAAAAGAAAAGAAAAGAAAAGAAAAAAGATAGGAAGAGAAAATAAGCATATATATATATATACATGTGCATATTTTTACCACACTTTACACATGGCGGAATTAAATTGGAAAAAAAAAAAAAAAAAAAAACGCGCGCGAGGTGCTTCTTCTTCTTTTTTGGGGTTTGTGGGATGTGTATCATGTCAATGCTCCTATTAAGGCTATAATGTAGGGGTAAACAGATCCAAAGCAACTTGAGCTTTGATCTTGGAGAGTATTTCTACATGTTGGCTTTATAAAAGAGTCTGTGGTTTTTATTTGATTGTTTAATTGCTATTGATGTGTATTTTGTATTTACAAATATATATATATATATATAATCATATAATATATATACAAATACACATAAATGTTGTTTGTTGTTGTTGCTGTTGTTGCTGTTGTTGTTGGTTGCTGTTGTTGGTTGCTGTTGTTAGTTGCTTAGTTACTTGTTGCTAGTGCACGTTTTGACCTGTCATTTTTAAAAAAAAAAAAAAAAAAAAAAAAAAAAAATGTCCAGACAAAAAAACATTTGCTCCTGCGCTTTCTTCTTTTTTTCTCCCGCGAACCGTTGTTGAGAGCCTTTTTTGTTTTTATTCCACTTGATCGACGCCCATAAAAAATATATAAAAAAATAAAATAGAAAATATAGAAATATAATGATAAGTAAATAAGAGGTGGTTATTATTACATTGAATATATATACATATATATATACCATGTATATAATATAGTATATATAATAGAGAGATTGATAGATAGAAGATGAGGATGAAAAAGAAGAGAAAGAAAGAACGGATCCACAACTTTATGAGAATCTGTATTTCTTTTCAAAGAATAGAAATGGTGCGATGGTAAAACGGTCTGATATTCGAGCCCTATTTCTCCTTTTTAAAAAAGATTCGATCTCTCTCTGATTGCTCTTGTACTAAAAGCAGAAACTATTGATGAGCAAGCAAAGCAAGTAAGGAACACAGCAAGTTCAACAATAACATGCATGATTAACTTTTGGAGAGGGATTATTTATACGTTGCTTCGCTCTCTTTCCAACAGTCTATAGGATTAACATATGGATTTAGTAGCAAAGCCCTTTGATCTTTTTAAAGAATGAACCTAAGAATAAAAAGAGGAAAAAAGGATAAAAGACTAACCTTGGGGAGATTGTCTGCGATGGCAATGAATGCATCCACTACCAGAATGCTTTTCTAAAAGCAAAAGTAAAAAAGCATAAAGCAAAGGAGTCAAAAGTAAAAGAGTCAAAAGTAAAGAGTCAAAAATGCAAAGTCAAATAGAAAAATAGAAAATAAATTAAAAAAGACGTTACAAAGTTACCCAGGGGTTAAAAACGACTTTTTTTAAACTTCCTCTCTCTTCATCTTTTGACTCTTTCATCTCTTTCATCTCTCTCTCTCTCTCTCTCTCTCTTTTTTTTTTTTTTTTTTTTGCTCATCATTCTCCATCCTCTTTTTACCTTTTGCCTTTTGCCTTCACCCGCGCAGCTCACCTGGCTTAGCTTTCTAATCACTCTCATTCTCTCATTGCTCTCTACACGCGTTTTTTATCTTTTTTATTTGTTTTTGTTTCTTTTTCTTTTTCTTTTTCTTTTTCTTTTTTTACTCAGACCTGGACAAAGGTAAGCCCCATCTTCATTTTCATTTTCATTTTCAGATGAGAAAGAAACAACTCCATCGCTCAACGATGATCCAGTCTTTTGGTTAACACTCTTTCTCTTTCTCTTTCTTTCTCTTCTACTTTTCTTTTTCTTCTTTCTCTTTTACATTCTCTTTTACTTCCACTTTTATATTCTCTAATTCTCTAAAAAAAAAAAAAAAAAAAAAAAAAAAACAATCGCTCTCATTCATACTTGTACATTGCCTGACATACAAAAAAAAAAAAAAAAAAAAAAAAAAAAGTCCATCGCTCCTTCATCCTGGCTGGCATTGCTCAATCCCCTTTTCTCCCTTCCTCCTCCGCGTCTTCTGCCCGCTCCGCACCCTCCACCGTGCGTGCCTCTTCCACTCCTTACTCCTCTTCTTCCTCTCGCTCATCCTTCGAGGTCGTTGAACGGCCCATCACCCCTCCGCCCCCCTCGCTTCCTTCTCTCCGTCTGTCTTTCTCTCCGCTCTTTGACGACGACGACGACGACGACAACAATAACAACATCAACAACAACAGCACCAGCACCAGTATCAACATTAGTACTGCGGACGAAATCAACAACATTAGCCATAATAGCTGTATTAGCAATAGTAATAGCATTAGCATCAGCGATATCGCAGACATTAACAACATTACCTACAACGACAACAGTAGCAACCACAATAGCAATCGCAATCGCAATCGCGACAGCAATACCAATACTAATACCAATACCAATACCAATATCAATACCAATAGCAGTACCAACAGGAGCAGCTTCAACAACAGCACCAATATCCAAAGCAACATCATGTCTACTCCTTCCTCTCCACCTCAACAACCTCATCACCCAAACATGTCCCCATCCTCCAACTCGTCCTCGCCTTCTTTCCCACCCTCGTACTCTGTCTCCCAAGCAGCATCAGCGCCTTCCAGCTTTAGCATCGGTGGCAAGCATGCGTCCTTTGGGAGCAACAAGCATAAGCACACATCTCTCAAAAGTAATAAACACGCCTCTCTTGGGAGCAATAAGCATTCGTCCTTTGGTGGCAGCCTCAAACACTCTGCCAGTACTAGCCACAGTAGCCTCTCACACTATCACGGTACCAATGGTTCTAGTGGGCCCCAGAGCATGAACCTTCCCCGAAGTCTTATGCCACCCATGTCATCCTCCTCGAGACCCTCAGGTAAAGCAATCCTTGACTTTCAATTCTATACAACAGACACGGTGAACAAACATTGGACCTGGTCTTTTCTCAGTATATATGGTTTCTGGTGTATAGTGTATAGCGTATGGTGTATGGTGTATGGTGTGTGCTGTCTTTTTTTTTCTCCTTTTATGTAGAAAGAATAAGAGACAGAAAGAAAAGCAAAAGAAAAAGAAAAAAGGAGAAAGAAAAACTTGTCATTGTCTTCATCTTGGCTACTCCTTCGTCATTCATTTCTCTTTTGGAAATGACCGAATGACTATGGAGGCTGTCTCCTATTTTTTTTTTTTTTTTTGTGTTCTGTATCCGTCTTTTTTGCCGCTCATTTCTCTTTTTCTCCTTTTTTTTTTTTCTATTTCATCTTTTTTTTTTTTTTTTTTTTTTTGCAACTTTGCCCTTGTCCTTTTGCTCCATCCACCCCACCTTCTTTTTCTTTGCTTACTTACCTGCTTATCTACTTACTTTGAGCTCTTCCAAGCAAAGCATTACGCGCTCTTGTGGGCGGATAATAATAATAATAATAATAATTTTTTAAAAGTCCAATTGCTCCCACAACAGATTATTTTTTACTTCATCTTTCTCATAAAAAAATAAAAAAAATATGGAGGCAATCGATGATGGCTCGGTCCCACAACGTCAGGCACCACCACCACCGCGTCCATCCACCTCTTCTCTTTCACTTCAGCTCTCATCAGGATCTATTCCTCTTTCCCCACCTTCTTCTAATGTCTCTTCATTTTCTTCTTCTTCTTCTTCCTCACCACCAGTGTCACCCCAGGCAGAGCGAGATGCTGGTCATGCTCCTCCGAGAGTGCCTCCTTCCAAGAAAGGTCCTCCACCGCCTCAAAAACCCTCCCGCCAGAATGACTATAGACAGGACTCCTTCCGATCCTCTGACAATACCATCACCCTCAACGCAAATTATTCACCCAAATCATCCTACGGCCGTTCACACCACTATGATTCCTCTTCAGATTACGCGCCTTCCAACAGATCGACCTTCAAGGGCGTTTTCAGTAACATTGTTAATTCCATGTCAGGTAAAAAAAAAGTTTTTTTTTTTTTTTTTTTTTTTGTGAGCTGCACCCTCCCTGTGGTCGAGCTCTTTTCACAATACACACCATTAAAGTCAAAATGGATAAAGTAAAAAAGAGAAGAGAGCTTGTACTGATTTGTTAAGAATCGCTCTTCTTTTTTATTAATTATTCTCTTTATCTGAACCAGACCTACTTTCTTCTGATAAAAAGATGGAGATTTCTTCTCCATACAATCCTGTCCATTTGACCCATGTGGGTTATAACCTTGACACTGGTGAATTCACAGTAAGTGCTTGCATATTAAAAACAAAAAACAAAACCCATCCTTTAGTCAAAATATAATGGTCATTATTTGTTGTTTGTTTGTCTGTTCATGAACACAAAAAGAAAGAAAGAAACAACGACAACAACAACAACAACAACAACAACAACAACAACAACAACAACAACAACAACAACAACAACAACAACAACAAAAAACTAAAGCAGGATATGACAAGGATAACGGCACAAAACTTGCGTTCAAAAAAATAAAAAAAAAAACAAAGAGCCTCAAGAAAGAGAGAGAGAGAGCTGCTGCAAGTGGAAAAAGGAACAATGGGCTCTCCCTTCATCCTTATTGTGGTTTGCTTACATGTATTTTTTCTTTATTTTCTTTCCTTCTTTATGTTTTTTTTTATTTTTTATATCCATTCCTTTCATTTCATTTACACTTTACTAGGGTCTGCCAAAGGAATGGCAACAACTACTACAAGAATCTGGAATTTCAAAGCAGGATCAAGCGGCAAATCCTCAGGCAGTGATCGACATCATCGGATTCTACACTGATAGCCAGGAAGGGAAACAGAATGATGCAGTCTGGAAGAAATTTGGACACAGCGCTGAACCAAAGACAGCAAAATCTTCTACCTCATCTTCCAGTGCATCGAAACAGCCGCTCAGGGATGACCGTGTTGTTCGTGAGAAGCCTACTTCACCTCCCTCACCCCCTAGCCGTCCAATTCATGAACCCCCTGTATGTTTTATCTATACGAATTATTATTGTTACGATCTTTTGGAAACACACATTGAATGATTGAATAATGTGTACATGTCATGGGTCGCATTCATCCATCCATCGAACGTTATATCTTGTTTCCTTATATTCTTTACATTCTCTCTTTTTTTCTTCAAAACTATTCTTAGAGAGCACCTCCTACGCCTAAAAAACAAGCTGTTTCACGACCAACTGATTCGGTAAGAACATTGCGGAGCTAAGCAAAAAAAAAAAAAAAAAATAAAAAAATAGGAGGGTAGGATAAGAAAGGAAAGGGGGAATAAAAGAAGGTCACGAGCCACGTGCCTTTTTGCATGGTCATGCCATTCTTTTTTACTTTTTTCTTTACTGATGGTCTGTCATTGATCATATCCTAATGATGATATTAGACCCCTGAGCGGACAGAGGCTTTGGAAAGTATTGATACGGATTCAAATCCAGTCTCGCCTCCCGCAGCCACCCCTGTCCCATCCTCTCAGGCACCAAGATCACCACCACCAAAGCCTAAAAAGACGCCACATCATCCGGGTTCAGCCAGTGCTGTACCCTCATCAAAGACCGGCACCTCATCACCTTCAGGGGCTCACCATCCTCAGCCTAAGCGACGTGAGAAGAAGCCAGAAAAGGACGGAGTCAGTTCACAGGATGTGATTCGTCGTCTGCAGGCAATTTGCACAGATGCAGATCCTACAAAGTTATACAGGAACCTTGTCAAGATTGGACAGGGTGCATCAGGAGGTGTTTACACGGCCTATCAGGTCGGCACCAACATGTCGGTGGCCATCAAACAGATGAACTTGGAGCAGCAACCCAAGAAGGATTTGATTATCAATGAGATCCTAGTCATGAAGGAGTCTAGCCACAAGAACATTGTCAATTACATTGACTCGTTCTTGTATCGTGGTGATCTCTGGGTCGTCATGGAGTATATGGAGGGTGGAAGTCTGACAGAAGTCGTTACAACCAACGAGATGGCTGATCCTCAAATTGGAGCTGTCTGCCGAGAAGTAAGCAAACTTTTTTTTTTTTTTTTTTTTTTTTTTTTCCTCCTTTAAAAAAAAAAAAAAAAAAAAAAAAAAAAAAAAAGCAAGGAAAGGAAATATTTTTGTTCCGATTTACTTATGGATGATGCACCTTTTACCATCTTTGAATAGACCCTGTTAGGACTCGAGCACTTGCACTCTAAGGGAGTTATTCACAGAGATATCAAGTCGGACAATGTTTTGTTGTCGTTGAATGGAGACATCAAGCTGAGTAAGAATTGATTAGAATCTGAATATTAGATGAGCAAGAAACTTTTTTTTTTTTTTTTTTTTTTTTTTTTTCTTCTTTTTCTTCATTCAAACTAATGATTTCTGCTTGCGCTTGTTTTTGTTTTATTACAGCCGATTTTGGATTCTGTGCGCAGTTGAAAGAAGGTACTGGAAAGAGAACAACGATGGTTGGAACTCCCTATTGGATGGCGCCCGAGGTTGTGACAAGGAAAGAATATGGTCCCAAGGTTGACATTTGGTCTTTGGGTATCATGGCGATTGAGATGCTTGAGGGCGAACCACCATACTTGAACGAGAACCCACTCAGAGTATGTTCTTCTTTTCTCTGTTCTTTAATAATGGAAGTGATGAAGTTTATTTTATCGTTATTTACCATTCATTACTATGAATTGATTTAATAGGCTCTCTATCTGATTGCAACGAATGGAACACCAACATTGCAACACCCAGAGAAACTGTCGACTGATTTCAGAGAGTTTTTGGGCAAATGTCTTGAGGTGGATCCAGAAAAACGACCCACAGCAAGTGAATTGTTGAAGCATCCTTTCCTAACAAGGGCGCATTCTGTCAGGACATTGGCTCCTTTGATTAAAGCTGCCAAAGAAAGCCAACGACATTAAAAATATATATATGTATATTTTTCTTTCTTTCTTTCTTTTTTTTTTTTTTTTTTTTGCGATCGCGTGAAGAAGGAAGGCAAGTCAAGAAACAGGAAGACGAAGAAGAAGAAGAAGAGAGAGATGAACTTTTTGGGCAACAATGTCTTCTTGATAGAGACATTTCGATCTATTGTTGAGGACAGCCACATGTGTTTTTAGAAACCATTTATTATTATAGAGAGAAGTTTTTTACGATGGAAAAAAAAAAAAAAAAAAAACCATTGAGAACTCTTCTCTTCTCCCCACTTTTTTTTTTTTTTTCTTTCTTTCTTTATCGTTATATTATCGTTATATTATTTGATATAATGATCTGCGACATTTGATCCGGTTCATTATTATTTAAGGAATAAAAATGCCATGTATTTTATTACATTTCAAGAGCTTTTATTTTTTTTTTATTTTTTTATTTTTTTCTTTTACAAGTGTGTGCAAATGGCTATCTACAATTGATCATCTATTTTTTGAATATTTTGTTTGTTTTGCTTTTTTTTTCTTTTTCTTTTTCTTTTTTTTCCTTAACATCTCTCCAAAACGATGGCAATACCCTGACCACCACCGATACAAGCAGATCCAATAGCATACTTGCCCTGAGTGCGCTGCAACTCATGGGTCAAATGAGCAATGATTCTGGAACCAGAAGCACCAAGGGGGTGACCCAAAGCGATGGCACCTCCGTTCAAGTTGGTCTTGTTACGGTCCAATCCCAAGACCTTCTCCACTGCCAAGTACTGAGCTGCAAAGGCCTCGTTGACCTCGACCAGATCCATGTCCTTCAAGCCCAAGCCAGCCTTCTTGAGTGCGCCCTGAATAGCAGAGACAGGGCCAATGCCCATGATGGAGGGCTCGACCGCAGTCACGTGCCAGCTCACCACCTTGGCCAAGGGCTTCAATCCATGCTCCTTGACTGCCTGATCCGAAGCCACGACAACAGCACCGGCACCATCGCTGATACCGGAAGCATTACCGGCAGTGACTGTGCCCTCCTTCAAGAATACTGAGGGCAACTTTGCCAAGGTCTCGATTGTGGTTGTGGGACGAGCATGTTCATCATGGCCCAAGCTTTCGACCGCCTTCTTGACCTTGTATTCCACAGGGACAATCTCTGAATTGAAGCGACCGGCCTTGTTGGCTAATCCATTATGGTCACAAAATATATGAATTAGCTTTACCTTTTTTTTTTTTTTTTTTTTTTTTTTTTTTTTTTTTTTCTGGCGGAAGAGAAAGAAAAAAAAAAATTTAAAAAAAGCTTACCAGCGGCCCAACGCTGCTGAGACAAAAGAGCGTACTCATCACAGTCCTGACGAGAGATGTTGTGTTGTTTGGCCAAGTTTTCGGCAGTGATACCCATGGGACAATCCTTTGGGAAACGATCGACCAGAGAAGCAGCCAAAGTATCCTCCAACTTCAGGTCGACTCCAAAGCGAGTACCACCGAAACGGATGTTACGAAGGGCATAAGGGGCCAAGGACATGGATTCAGAACCTCCTGTCAAGACAATCTTGGAATCTCCGACCAAGATCTCATGAGCTCCGTTGATGATGGATTGGAAACCGGATCCACAAAGACGGTTCACCGTCAGGGCTGGGATCGAGATATCCAATCCTGTACGCAAACCCACATGACGAGCCAAATAAGGGCCAGCTGCATCCGAATGACACACATTTCCGAAAATCACTGAATCCACCGGCACTTCCTTGCCCACATCTGCAAGAGCGGCCTTGGAAGCAAAGGCACCAAGCTCAGCAGCAGTATAATCCTTGAGCTTTCCACCTGATTTTTTGTTTTTTTTTTTTATATATTGATATTGATTTTTTTGGTTATTTTGAGGTTTTTTTTTAAAAAAAAAAAAAAATCAGTATTCAGTATTAGAAATAAAAAGATAATTATATGATTAGTTCATTGCAGGGTAAAGAGAAAAAAAAAACAAGTGAAGCCATTTTTTGATATGAAGGGATTGATTCTCGTTACCAAAGGCACCGAAGGGAGTGCGCTTAGCAGCGACAATGAAGATGCTAGCCATAGTTTTTTTTTTTAAAAAAAAAAGGTAAGGAGAGTGGAGAAGTTGAAGAGTGGAGAATGAGTGTGGGAGGTTTAAAAAAAAAAGGAAAAAAAGAAAGAAAGAAAGATGTGACTAAAAAAGGCTACGCGTCCCGGGAGGAAAAGGGACCCAAAGACTTGAGCGAATAGGAAGGAACAGCGGTTTTGTTAAGAAAAAAAAAAAGCTGGTGGCACGTGAAAAATACATCTCTCTTCTTCTTCCAAACCACGGACACAAAAATAAAATAAAATAAAAAAAGAGCTTTTCTCCACGCGTGAACAAAAAAACATTACTGTAAAAAAAAAAAAAAAAGAAGAGAAGAAAGAGAGAGAGAAAGAGATTATAAACATGCAAACTAATCATCCATCAGATGCAAATGCACTTCATGAACAACCATCTATTCCAAGTAAAGGATTCGTTGCAGTGCATGTCGGTGCAGGTAAAAAAAATAAAAAAGGAAAGCTAATGCCAATCATTAATTCACTTGATTCGACTCACACAAGCTGTTGCGGTTTGGTTTTTTTTAAGGTTTACATGCTGCTAAAAACAAGGCGAGGTACCTTAACGTCTGCAGAAAGTAAGCACCTCTTTTACTCCGTATACACGTGATGCACGCGTGCACTTCACACAACGTGGTTGTCATTCTGTACTATACATTATGACAAAAGGAGGACATTATCAATCCAACATTTTAATTTTGCCATATACACATACATCTTAATATGCTTGACTGTATAAAAGAGCTTGCCAAATGGGAATACGCCTGTTAAAGAAGGATCCTAGTGCTACTGCAACTATGATTGTTGAGCAGATGATCCGGATCTTGGAAGATGATCCTGTCACAAATGCTGGCCTAGGATCTAACCTCAACTTGAAGGGTCATGTTGAATGTGACGCCAGTATCATGAATGGCACCACCCTTGGCTTTGGATCCGTCGGTGCAATCACTGGTAGGGAGGAAAACTCTTTTTTTTTTTTTTAAAAAAAAAAAAAAAAAAAAAAAAAAAGAGCTGAATAGATCGCTCAGAGCACACCTACCTCGGTGTATTATTACATAACATAGATTTCAAAAACCCTATATCTGTCGCCCAGTTGATCCTTCAAAAATCAGATGAGGGTCCACTTTCTCTCGGACGGATCCCTCCCATCATGTTGACCGGATCTGGTGCCACACAATGGTACCATACCATGGGTTTCAATCATCTTGATCGAGTCTTGCCAGAACTTCCGAATTCAATTGTTTTAACTGAGCTGAAGAAGCTTTGCACCAACCATAATACCAATACCGACACCGATGCGGATAATAATAATAACTGTAATACTAATAGTAGTAATAGTAATAATGATGTCAAGAATAGCAACAATAATGATAATAATAATGATGATGATGATGGTGATGATACCTGCTCTTTAAACGGGTCCTTGGTCACCCGTGAATCACTTCGTCGCTATGCCAAATTCAGCGCTATGCTCACCGCGAGCCATCCTCAGAAATCATTGGCCCTTCAAGCGACCTCTACTCTCACTCAACCAGGGAACTCCACCATCAACACGTCCACTCTAAATAATGATATCGCCGTCCATAACCCAGAGAGCTCGAGCAGACCTCCTATTCCGGAGACACAAGCCGTAACAATGATGATGAAGCGTAAAGCATCAATAGGAAGAGGAAAAGAAGAAGAAGAAGAAGAAGAAGAAGAAAGAGATAAAGTAAACAAACGTAGCTCTAGTTATCTAAAGCAACCTCCGCAACACCAACAACAACAACAACAACAGCAGCGGCAGCAGCAGCAACAGCACCAAAACCTTTCACAACCCAAATATGGGGGAAATATCAAGCAAGTCCTAGAAGAGGAGGAAGGTGAAGAGATCAATGATTTACTTCAAGACACTGTTGGTGCCATCTGTGTTGATAGTTGGGGCCGAGTGGCGGCAGGTGTTAGCAGTGGTGGGATCGCTATGAAATTTCCGGGACGTGTAAGTGAGGTAAGCACAAGATTCGTTAGTGGCAAACACGTCAATGGTTAATATAGCACCAAATTTTAATTTTATTTTTTTTCCTTCAAAAATTATTAAGGCTGCGTTATATGGTACCGGTTGCTGGGCGCAAGATCCAACTATTTCCAGTGGAGGCTTCGCTTGCAGTATGACAGGTGCTGGAGAACAGATCTCAAAGACCTTACTTGCGAGGACATGCATGGACACATTTCTCCAAGAAGATGATATAGCCATGGCCACCACCGATGTTCTCGATCGCTTCATCCACAGCCCTCTGCTAAAGAGCTATGAAGATCGATATGCAGGCTTTATTGCCGTTAAAGTAGAACCATCCTCCTCCGTAGCAGCGGCGGTAGAAGGCTCTATCACCAACAGCAATAAGGACAGGAACGAACCATTGCAACCACTGCGGACAGAGTTTGTGTTTGCACATACAACCAAAACCATGGTATTTTTTTTTTCCGCCTTTAGAACAACCTTTAGAGACAAAAAAGAGGTTTCCATCATATTGACTATTTTTTTTTTTTTTTTTTTCATCCTACACTTTAGGGTATTGCTTATATGTCTGCTAATGATAATAAACCTACAGTGAGTTCCAAACTTTTTTTTTTAAAAAAAAAAGAGGCCCTAAATAAGAGACTATTTATTAAGACAATGTTCTTCTTATGCTATCATAATCAATAATACTAGGCGATTATGTCGGAACGAAAGGCCAAAAGCAACAAATCGGTGTTTACGAAGATGATCAAATTATGAACATTAATAAAAGTAAAAGTAAAAAAGAATAGAAACGTTTATTGTAAATGTATATACATGTTGCTTCTTATTTTTTTTTTTTTTTTTTTTTTTTTCAATATCACAATGCATTCACCGTATCGGCACGGAATTCTACTTCTTCTATGAATCAATTAAGCGATAAAAGGTTGGGATGTAATTGTAATCGTTGCCTATTATCAGTCTCTGAAATATATTACTTTTTTTTTTTTTTTTTTTTTTAAAGACGAGCTGATAAAAAGACCAAAAGAAAGAAAAAAAAAAAAAAAAAAAAAACACACATTACAGTCAACAATAACAGTGTAGTATATTCATCAATTGTTATAGAAAAAAAAAAAAAAAAAGAATAGTGCTTCTTTACCTTTGGCAGCTCCTGGATTAGCGGCGTTAGGACCATACTTGGGGTTATCATAGAGAATCCACTGAAGCCAGCTCAACTTCTTCTCTGTGTATGGCTATTTATCATTCCAAAGAAGCCGAGCAAAAAAAAAAAAAAAAAAAAAAAAAAGGTCATGTCAGTGTAAAGTGTAATTATAAACAAAAAAAAAAAAAAAAAAAAAAAGTCGCACATAAAACATAAACTGATTAAAAAATAAAATTCCTTACAGGGAACCGAAGGTTGTTGCCACTATCCATGCCGAGAGACTTGTGAATTGTGCTGCGATCATGTGAGAAGGTATCGAATGACTTCTTTCCGTGGTAGTTGCCCATGCCTGATGGACCGACTCCTCCAAAGGGCAAGCCGTGCATAGTGAACTGAATCAACGCATCATTGACGACCGCACTGCCCGATCGCGTGTTGTCCAAGATGTAGTCGATTTTCTTTTTGTTATCACTAAAGACATAAAGTGCCAGGGGTTGATCACCGCGGCGGACATAGTTGACACCTTCTTCCAATGAATCCACAACCCAAATAGGCAAAATGGGTCCAAAGAGCTCGCTTTGCATAAGTGAATCAGATGGATTGACGTTCAGAACCACAGTGGGTGAGATATACAGATCATCTTCTTGAAGATCGCCTCCAATAACAATTTCTCCCTTTGTGCCCTGAAGAGCGGTTTTCAATCGATTGAAGTTGTGCTTGTTGACAATGCGGCCATAAGATGATGATGTTTGAGGTGAGGCTCCATACATCTCTTGGATATGGAATCGAATAGCCTTGACAAGTTCATCTGCGACTTCTCGTTCAACGATCACATAATCCGGAGCGATACACGACTGGCCGCAATTGAAGAGCTTGGAGCCGATAATGCGACGTCCGATCACCCCAATATTTCCTTCCTTACTCACGAAGGCGGGGCTATTTTTTTTTTTTTTTTTTTTTTTTTTTTTTTAAAAAAAAAAATTATTCAATGTTTTAACAATAGTCTAAGGGAATGGGATAAAAAAAAAAAAAAAAAAAAAAAAAAAAAAGGCAAGATATCCACGGGAACTGGCTTTACCTCTTTCCACCCAACTCCAATGTTACAGGCGTGAGATGCTTAGCAGCAGCAGTCATAATGATCTTTCCGACATTTCCACTTCCAGTGTAAAAGATGTGGTCAAACTTTTGCTCGAGCAACAAGGTCGTCTCCGGAACACCTCCGTTGATAATACGATAGCTTCTGCTATCCAAGTACTTTGGTAACAACTTTGTTAACAATGCAGCAACATGAGGAGAGAATTCGGAGGGCTTGAGGATAGCAGTGTTGCCCGCAGCAATGGCGCCAATTGCAGGGATTAAAAGAAGATTGACAGGGTAATTCCAGGCTCCAATAACCAGCACGATTCCCAGAGGTTCCTTACGGACATGAACAGTATCCATCTTGTTGATCAAAGAGACCTTGACCTTTTCAGGTGCTGCCCAATAATCCAAGTTTTTGAGCGTATCCACACACTCTTGCTTCACAGGTCCAGTCTCGCCCAAGACAACCTCCGTGAGTGGCTTATGGAGGTCGAGGACGCAAGCTTCACGCAAAGCTTCCTCATTTTCGACTATGAGGTTGTAGAGTCCCTTGATTTGTTCTTTCCGATAAGCGAGTGGTCTTGTCAGACCAGACAAAAAGACCTCACGAAGTTCTTCTGTGATCTTTTTTTTTTTTTTTTTTTTTATTTTTTTTTGAGAGAGAGGCAGTAAACGAATATTAATATGTGAAGGACTTTGACCTGAATTCTACAACACAGCACAATATTAGCCATTCTAAATTTTTTTAGACCAACCTTTGGGATGTCGCCCATAGGTGTATACTGAAGAGGTGACATAATGTTAATGTTGGCTAATGAATATAATGAATATAGTGATGTAAAATGAAGATGATGAAGAGCAAATTTATTTCAAATGAGAATATAATTTGGTCTTTTTTTTTATGTTTGAGTGTTAGAGGGTGCATCATGGCCTCTGCGCTACCTTCTTTAACTTCTTTAACTCGGCTCGGATCAGCACGCTAAACAAGAACCTAAAACTTTGTCCAGAAATAAATTTATTTACCCGTATACGCAATTCGATCAACCCAAGCATCCAAACGATCGGACTTGAGGACGACCGTTAGTTCAAGCCGAGCAATGTTTATTGTCTTGGTCGGCGTGAACATTTTCAAAGACCTTGTAACAGTAAGGAACGTTAGAGTCAATTCGAATTCGTGGCCAAAAAAGGAAGACAATGTAATCTTGTCTCACATGATTTCATTACACGTCAATGCTGACTAACAAAATATTCTTGAAATACTCATCTACATTTATATTTATTTATTATAATTTACAAAGATCGTCGCTTTTTGTGTCAGATGGTTGTCTATCCAGAACAACTACTTTGTTGGCTTTGGATTTTTGACTCGACGCGTACGTGATTTTTTTTTTTTTTTTTTTTTTGGATTACTACTTCTACTTATTACCCTTATTACCATTTCCTGTCACTATTGTCATATTTCCCGTCGTGTCTATCTCTAGCCATCTCTTTACTCTTTATAAACACTTACTCCGTCGTTTTCAGCAGGCCTTTCGAGTTGTGTTGTAATTACTGCTGCTGCTGCTGCCACTGCTACTGTTTCTGCCGCTTTCGCCGCATCTGCCGCCGCTGCTGCTGCTGCTGCTGTTGCCACTGTCGTTTCAACTGTTTTTTGAAGATGATTGGACGTAGATATACAAAACCTGTTCCATTCGTTTATCCAACGTTCATCATCTTGGCGCTGTTGCTCTCTTCGCTCTTCTTCTCTCGCACGAGCTAATTTCACCTCCCGAATCCGGTTACGTTCCTCTACTTGAGTGAGCCGTCCAGTGAGTTGTTCCAGCCTTAAATGGGCATCTTCAAGGACCTCATTTTGTCTCTGAAGCGCTTGTCGGACCTGAGTGATCTTTTGCGTCATCTGAAGAATGGATCTTTCCATCCTTTGCCTTTTCTTGCGCTCAATCAATGTTGCTATTTTTCATTTCACGAAGAAAAAAAAAAAAAAAAAAAAAAAAAGTCAGACATATTTTAATTATCGAATCAGCAGAAATGGTGGACTATTTTTTTTTTTTTTTTTTTTTTTTTACCTGCGCGAAGTATTTGTTGCCATGTCCATTGATCCTGTCTATCACAAATCTCCCTTTCAGCCTGATCTAAAATGTAGTCATCTAGTTGAGCCTCAATTGTCAACCTTCTCCATAATTGATCGACATTAGCGAGTTTGTAGAAATGTTTATTGATCTAAAAACAAAAAACGAATAATTTAAAAAAGGTCCATAGTATTGAGGTGACCAAGCATTTCCCAAAGACCAAATAAATCCTTACAAACTTTGCTTGGTTTAACTCTAAAAGATTAAGCTGGCCCATAACCATGAGTTGGATTTCAGTCGGAAGGTCTTGAAACATAACGAAAAAGAAAGAAAATTAAAAAATAAAATAAAATAAAATAAAATAATGTTAAAAGAGTGAATCATCAAAAGACATCGATCGCCCTTTACTGTTTGAATATATATATTCTCTTATTTCTCAATTACCAAAAAAGAAACAACATCGTTGCTGTTGTCCTTCAGTATGGCTAAAGCTGCCCGACATTCGAGTATGAAAGGTATTAAAAGAATAATTGGCGTTACTATTGTTGATCTATGAAAACACGAACGTTGATAGGAAAGGGATAGGAGAACAAAGAAACAAAGAAAGCAAGAAGTAAACGAATAACGCGACATATGTAAAAAAAAAAAAAAAAAAAAAAAAAAAAAAAGAGGGTTCCTTCAAGCTGCCGACAAAATTAGGTGAACACATATTGGCAGCTATAAGAATGTCTTTAGAGCCCTTGGGCAAGATGAAAATATAACCAACTCAACCCTAAATCTTCAAGGGTCCTTCTTTGCCTTGATTTTTGCTCGGGCTGCTAATTTAAAAGTTACCTCATATCTCATATCATCCTTACCTTTTTTTTTTAAAAAAAAAAAAAAAAAAAAAAAAAAAACCGAGAAAAGTAGAAAAGAGTTGAATAATCAAGTCTGTTGTCTCTACAAGTATGGAGGTACGACTAGGACGATATTAAGGGTCTCAAACGTACCCCGCTCCGCAACAACAGCGATATGAATATCTATTGCCTTGCTTAATCCCGACATTTATCTCACTGGGACACGTCTCTGTATGTACGAAAAGGTAAGTAGATATCCTTAGCTCTATGGGTAAAATCACCCATTTCAAGGCCAATTGGACCCGTTCCATCCGAAGCCTAGGGCGGGTGCCGAAACACCCAGCCTCTCCTGATTGGGTTTTAGTTATACGATGCGCGCAACAAAACACAAGTATACATTTGGACATTCTCATGTTTAGTTTTGCAAAACTTGGCGAGTGATGCAGCGCAGCGTTGATATGAAACCTTTAGATGTATTTATTAATTATGAATCTAACGGTTGTAAAATCGATGCCAGTGGCATATCCAAAGAAGAAAAAAAAAAAGACGAGGACAAGGACAAGTGGCCAGATCGTGGGAAAAAAAAAAAAAAAAGAGTAACGTCTTTCGGATAATCTACAATCAATATCTCAAGAATCACTGCTTGTAATAGTGAAAAGCGATGTTCATATTGCTGTTTATAACCTAGGCGAGCGATATTCTGCTTTGTCAAGACCCTATTACTCATTTAGTGTGTCAAAAACGGCATAGCATTACTTTTTTTGTTTTTGTTTTTTTTTTCTGTGCGCGTCTACTGGAGCATAAAACGGGCAAATTTGTCTATTTATCTTTCATCAGCTCATGAGCAGGTCAGATGCAGTTCTCTGTGCTTTCTACTAGCATAGGAAGCATAGAAAAACAACCGTCTATTGAATTATTGTCCCCATACGAGGCCACAATTACGATTCATACACCATGCATGGCTGTCCAGTGCACAAGCTTACTCGATACATTTTTTATACGCTATTGGACAAAGGATTTCGATAGATCGAGAGGAAATACCACTTGTAGAAGCATCGGCAGCATGAACTGTTGAAGCCAAAGACGAAATTTATACTGATATGGACGAAATATTTGTTTTATCTGCAATCAAGAACTACTTTCAAAGAAGTTCCCTCATGATGATGGATGACAGAATCAGCTCTTAAGTCCGCAAAATGACCAGCATGTTCATGCTCGCTCTTACGGAATAGAGCACGAGAACGAACATGACGACAAAAAAAAAAAAAAAAAAAAAAAAAAGATTTGTCACATAGGGCTGTAACTGCCCTTGTGTGAGACTGTGAAAACGTTTGGATCCCTTTCTTCACTACTTTTGTGTGTTGTGTGAGATGACCAACACAGCAAAGTAAAGAGTGGTATTATCATAAAATAAAACCAAAACAAAAAAAAAAAAAAAAAAAAAAATGTTTCGATTATTTCCAGATCATATAATTTCGTCTCCTCATCATAGCTTTTTCCCCTCCTTCATTCTTTTTTCTTCATAAGCCTTTTTTTCTAACAAACTAGCGGTCCATTCTACAAAGATTAACAAAAGAGCAGACTGGAGACGAAAAAAAAAATGCCATCAATCTTAACAATCCCGGACGAGATTCTTTGCCATCTCTTGACTGTATGTTGGATTTAATTTTTGAGCAAATTTTGTTACTTTTCTTGGGCGAAGCAACTCACTTTTTTTTTTTTTTTTTTTTTTTGGATTATAGTTTGTAGAGGATATAGATCTTCAGGTAAAAAAAGTGTGCTCCTCTTAAAATAGCCTTAAAAAAGACCCCTATTACCTCTTAATATGTTTAAGTGTCACTGCCTTCATCTACAATGTTGAAAGAGAAGAGCGAAAAGAAAAATAAACAACAAAATGCGAGCGTATGAGACTGAAACCTCTTTTTTCCCTTTTTTTCTTTTACTTTGTCTAATAACGCAGACATTGGCCATAACATGTAAGCAATTTCGTTGCATCATGATGGACGGTCCACTTCGTCGCCATATCCTTCTCAAGCGTACGCCTGCTAGGCTTCAATCTTCGCTTTCCGATCGACCTTCACGCGACACATTAGCGAAAAGAAATATCCTAAGGGGAGTCAATATCCGTCAGCATATTCAGGAAGGTAACTACATTGGAGGACCTATAGCAGTTCGAACATATCATGTCTCCTGTCAATTGGAGCGACAGCTGGTGAGCATTCAAATTTCAAAAAAGCTTAAAACCAGGCCGAACTGGGCAATGTTGGTCGAACGAGGACTGATTCCAGAAGAGATGCTGGTCAGCCAAGAGAAGTATGAACCAAAGTGCAAAATGGTCACTTTTCAATACCAACGGCAATAGCAGCAGCAATAACGGCAACAGCAATAACGGCAACAGCAATAACGGCAACAGCAATAACGGCAACAGCAATAGCGCTAGGAAATAGCTCAAAACTATGGCCGTAAGCCTCAGTACCCTAGGGTATTAAGAGTTTTCTATGTCAACGGCTGGTGATGACTCTTTATAAATAGTATCTTTCAGCCATTATCCGGATATAGGTTTATGTGTCAACCTGATGATGGATCATCCTTGATACCAGGCTCAGTGTCGACATTAGCACCAGCAGCAGTAACAGAAGAGGCACTTTATCCAACCTACTTTTGTCTCCAGAAAAGCTCATCAACATTGTCCCCCAATGTCAACTCGGACCCCCTGCACATGGCTATGGGCTGCCACCTGTTTCATATTCTTTGGAAGCGACACTCACCTATGGAATTGAAGCAGTCGCTCAAGATTGTCTCAGTGTAAAATACAGTAGGCTTTGAGGAGACAAAAGCATGGGCGTGATCCCGAGTGAATTAAATAGGAGAGAAGGGTCGTCTTTTTTATTTCTATATTTATTTTATTATTTAGATTGACTGACAGCCATTTAATACATAAAGGAAATAAACTATTGCAATGTTGTCGAGGATTAAAGCTTAATCTGAGTATCAGACGACAGGACGCGTCATTTTCGCATGGACCGATATCATAAATTTTGTGCCACTTTGATGTTCCAAACAATTTGTATTAGGGTTCATTACCATCAGCAGCACCTAATTTTGTCCACTGGCGGAAAAAAAAAAGTGCTAGAGTGCATAGAGATATAGAGGCAGATAAAGCAACAGAGGGTAGGACAAAGTGAAGGAGAAAAAAGTTACAAGGGAATAAAGGAGTAAATGTATCAATTAGTGTCCATAAAAGAATTATTTATTTGTTTTGGCATCTAAGGAACTTCTAGGCTTGGAGATTGCGTTTAATAATTATATGGCTATAGCCGTTTTTTCTTTTTTTATAATAATTATAGGCATCCATTCGTCAATCAAGTATTTAAATTATTGGCTGTGGTATATCAAGGAATGGGATGCCTCGATGTTTTGAAAATGCTTGAAAGGAATATAAATAAATTAAAATACATGGGAAAATAAAATGACGCCAGCGGAATTAAAAAGATTTTTTTCCATACAGATATAATTTTTTTTTTCTTTTTTTTTTGTTGGTATTGATGTTGTTGTGCTGTTAGATGAGTCCGTATCGTTTGCCAAAAAGGATGGCCACAATGCAATACAAGAGCATAAAGCCAATTATGCCCCACCACCAATTCAGGGGCTCGCCTTCCATTCCTGGTTGGCCTGGTACACGAATGTTCATTCTAAAGAATAGTAACAAAAGCAGAGTTATTGAGTAGGTAAAAAGCAATGGTCTCATTTAGAATGCGATGATAGAAAATAAAACGATAATAGAAAAACGATGATACAAAAAAAAGAGTAACTTTTCATATTTGCACTCACCCCCAAAGACCCGAGATGAATGTCATTGGGACGATCAAACTAGCAAAGAATGTGAGTGAGCTTACAACTTCGTTCGTCTTATTTGACAATTGGTTGATCTCTAACGAAATCTGCGCCAAGTAGTTGGAATGTGATCTATCCAGAATCTTTTCATAACTCCACAACGACTGCAACATGGTTAGGACGTGATCCAGAATATCGCCTAAATATAACAAGATCTCTCCATCCCGGTGATTGTTTGGATGAATAAGGCCTCCTGCATTGTCATCAGCTTTGGGTACAGAGCCTGAAGAAGCCGCTCCATTATTAGCGCCAGCACTATTAGGTCCTCCATTTCCTGCAGTAGTTGCAGAATTCCCTGCGTTAGCCGCCATTGCAGACGATGAGGCCAATGGTGCGATTGCATATCGTTCATCGAATCGTTTCATCAATCCTCTGACCACATCTGCCTTATTCGCTAATAGGCGTGAAAGCGACATGACATTCTTCCTACATGATCCAATACGTCTCAACATGTCTGTAGTTTCACTTTCTCTCAGTAATAGAACGAGCTCATCGATTGAATCGACTTCGTACTGAATAGTCTGGATAGGAGACGCAAAACTATCGGTGATATCATCCAAGAGTGCATAGTTTATCCAGTCAGGGGTTAAGGTAATATGTGAGTGCAGTTGTTCTATTCTTCGAAGTACATTCAGATGGTGATTTGTTGGTCGGAAATGGAACTAGATAGGTTTTTTGAAAGTCAGCAATTTTTCAAAAGCATTAAAAGGTTACTGTAAATAGGATAAAAATATACATACGGTGATAAGACCATCTCTAAAGACGACGCTGTACATGCTTGCTGGCTGTAGATACGACCCCGAGTTGTAATCTTGGTCAAATGTCCGAAAGCAAACGAAATAGTAGTGGCGGAATACCTCGTATTTTTCGCGTACTTCTTCAGTTGAAATATCCTCGATTGTCAGAGGATGGACTTGGAAGTCCTTTGTATTCAAAGAGATAAAGTTAAAAAGAGGTATTATTATTATTATTATTATTATTATTATTATTACTATAGTAACTTTTTTTTTTTTTTTTTTTTTTTTTTTTTGCTTATACCTTCGCAAGAATATGCATGTCAAAGTCGCTGGGATCAAGGATATCGAGCCAGAAACATCCATCCTTCAATATGTCAGAAAACACAGTCGGCGCTGTAGAACCACCATCCTCTGTTTGTATAGTAGCACTGGACAAAATCTGGGGCATAGAAGGCGCCTGAATGAAGCCGGTTGTTTTTGAGTAAAATGTATAGCGCAAAGATTCCGGTAATGGAGGCTACATTGCATCAATAGCAGTAATGATAATGATAGTAATAAAAAAAGAAAGTAAACATGTGTCATGGCGAAAGGAGAAAAGAAATGAATATCATGCGCTCCAACCACTTGACTACATTACATACACGTGGAGCACGCTCACTGTAAAAGGATGCTTTCCTAGCAGATCGTCTCCGGAATTCAGTGTTCCCATCATTGTTAGAGGAACCCCTTAGAAGGATTGATGAGCCAGTTGATGTTGTGCGGTGAAGATCCTTGCCGGTACTTGTTCCTTTTTCCTTGTTATTGTTGTCTCCTTGGGTATCATAGGTTGTAGCAGGCAGTTTGGCGAGAGACTCCTCGAGTGTTGTCCTTTGAAACCCATTTTCGATCAAAGAGGCTTCGGCAATAGATGCATCTAGGCCAGCATAGTCGATCAGCATAGGTTTATCCGAGTCTCGGGTAAACTGATATCCTCCTCCTCCATCCATCATTCTATGACCACCAAGAGGCGCATGATATTCATTACGGATAGATGAAGTGTAAGGTCGCACGGACTGTTGATGCCCTGAAAGGTGGGTTGAGCGAATTGAAGGCGTGTAGTCCCCATGAAGAGAGTGACGAGGATATCTGAAAGCCGGCGCAAGGTTGCCACCGAAGGGAGGTGAGATGGGGCGTTGAGATTCATCACCATATTGAATGCTATTAGTGTCGCCATTACCTAAGACTGTGTTGGTGTCATTTCCAATTCCATCATCGCTATTGGGATTGTTGCGGGGTGGAAAAGTGTATACACTGGAAGGAGTGTTCCCTTCCAGAGGACGAGGGGTCGCCTGGTCAACTGAAATGACAATATCAGCTCCATCATTATTAGCGGTAACCTCGTTGTCATTAGGAACTTGTTGATCTTGTCCTGAAGAACGATGCATGGCTTATTATTTTCTTGTAGCCTTCTGAATGAGTGTATGAAAGAGAAAGGTGTGACAAGTTACTTCATGGAAGGATCTCAAGATGTGACAACAAAGTTGTAACGCAATGTGAAAGCACTCAAGATTAATTGCGCAATGAAAGAGGAGGGAGAAGCAAAGGAAATGAGAATGAGAAGAGGCACATAAGCATGGCTACTGTGGCTATTATTAATAGATAGAGCCGTTGTGCAACTGCAAAGTTTAAACGGTCCCATATTTAAATCATGGCGCATTTTCCATTACCGAATATGAGTTATGAAAGTCTTTGTCCTTGCTGCACCTGTCTTCCAAGCCCATCCTTTGTTCCCCTTCACTCTGATATCACATATTTTCTCTCAAGAATATAGGGAGTACCGATATTCATCGACACCTTCTGGACTGGTTCACTAAGTGTGTTGGAGGCTAGTCTGGCTCTTTCCTCCAGAAACAAAGCTTGCTTTCCCGAATTCATAGAGCGTAAGCGAAAAAGCAGTAAACGCTACAGCCATTTGCTATAGACGTAGACGTGATACTACTTTCCGGATACTCCACTGCATCGATGCCACTGCTCTTTTTTCCTGCGTTCAAGGACGTGAGCCTTGTCGAAAACGCGCTTGATCGCAAACTGCGATAATCCTTATGTCTGAATTGGTTGATGTTACTCTAATGGACCACATACCACCCCAATGCAAAGAAGAAAGTACACTTATCCATCCACACTCCAAAAGTATTATACTGAAGATCAAACCTTGGGGAAGGCTCAACTATCATGCACACCCCAGGCTCCAAGACATCAAGCCCCAACCCTACCAATTATTAGTATAAATAGTCCACTACGTTAAAACTAAATAAAGCGTCCTTTGACCCCAATTCCACTTAGACACGCCTTTGATCCTGTAAGTTGCCTTGTTAGCACTCATTTTCTCTTCATAACTCAGCCAAAACAGTGCTTTACCAGGATTTATAATAAGATGGCGCGTATTCTTTCTGCTAGTCCCCACCTAACACCGAACGCCAGTCTGATCCATCGCTATCCATTCACTGTTGTGTGAGAGGCATAGGGAAAAAATAAAATAAGATAAAGACAGACTCCAACTAGTACACGAAGAGTATCAGGATAGAAGAACTTTGTGCCGTAGAGGCTAGTACTAAGCGCGGTCACGGTGCGGCGACCAGCCCGGCCACCGTAGTCTGAGTAGGCCAGAGTGAAGTGCGAGATTCGCACAGCAACGCACAATGGTTGAACTAGAATCAAGTAGGGCTGCTTGATCGGTCAATAAGAAATTAGTAGACCGTCTAATAGAAGGAATGATGTGTGAATCAATATATGCCAATATATACATGGATTTGGTGGCGCGAATATGACAACTAAATGTCTTAGTTTGCACAGTCACGGATTTTTTCCTTTCGCCCACAGAAATGTTGTCAGAATGCATTGATGCAAAAACACTCACAGACCTCGTTTTTCCCATTCTTCCTTTCTTTCTTCCTTTTTCACTCCTTTGACTTTCTTTTCCTTTACCCGATTTTATGATCCATATCGCTTTCCCTTACCACCCAAGCGCTAGCAACGCTCTTTTATTGTTTCATCCAATCAACTCTTGAGCGACTTTATTACTTTTGCTTGAATCCTTCCATTCCAACAATATGTTGGTCGTGTCTGCGCACATGCCCTTCTCCGAGGTTTACTCCACAGTTTCGCGCTGGGCCCTATTCTTCTCCATTATCTTTCCTCCAGTACATGCTCTCGGGCTTGAGACTTCCGCCTCCTCCCCGAGTCCCAACCACGATTGTCCCCACTATCACCATAAAATAGGCCTCCATCGCTTCAGCTCTGCGTATTCGTTGATAGTCTATCTTGACCCGACTCATGCCTCTTGCTTACCTTTGTCAGCTGCATTCCCCTATGTATTGAATGAAGACCGAGACAAGCAATTGTTACCATTGCGGACGCGTTCCTCTAGTGTTATTGAAAATGTTGTTAGTCAATCTTTGATTAGCTCTCCGTCACGACGCAAGAAAACTATCAATCGTTGCCAACGTCTCCCATGTAAGGAGTCAGTCGCATCACACCCATCATCAGCACAACTACAGCATTATCACCAACGACATCATTGTTACTGCCAGAGACAGAGAAAGGAAAACGGAAGAGAGACAGAGGAAATGAATAGGGATCAGGCTCCGACTGCTACGCATCAGCATCAACCTAAGGACAAAAAAGAGCATTTTCCAATTTCGGCTAATTTTTCTCCTAATTGTCACTGGGATACGAACTCAGCCCAGGATCAACATCAAAAGTACTGCATTAGTGTGCTCACAGATACATCAACAGATATGATCACAACCCCAGTTTATAGTCGAGAGCACCCTCATCAGAAGAGAAAGATGTCTGACAATAATATCAGAAGAATCAATGTGAGGATGGAGCAGGGTAAACTAACAATGACTAGATCCTTCCTCCATCAGTTTCTGAGTCCACCGTCATTATCTGCTATGAAACCATCTCAGAATCAAAGTCGGCAGCAAGGACGGATGACCTGGCTGGATGTTTTTTTAGACAAGAATCCATCTTTTGTCTCGCCTCAGCAAGAACGTACGGTGAATCCAGCACAGAGCTCGAAGCATGTTACTCGATATTGTCAAGATGAAGAAAATGGCCGTAGGGTTGATTCAGATATTTTCCGGCAGGACCGTCCATTCAGTTCAAGTCATAATGCTTTTCCACTCGTTGTAAGTGATGCCATCTTGCATGAATACACATTTCCCTCCCCCCTCTCGTGACTAGGTGTCTCTTTTCCTTGTATCTAGTAATAGTGTAAAATACATTAATTGGTGGGATCAAAGGAGATCTTTCTTCTCATAAGGGCTTACCAAACAAGACACGCACACAAAGGGGGATATTGGAAGAGAAGCCGGTATCCTTCCAATTACTTCGGATTTGAACATTCTCCCATCCTTCTTTCATTCTTAAACCTCCTAGCCCTCTTATGTTTTGAAGGAGTCACGTTCACTTTTTTTTTTTTACTGTCTTGGAAACCAGATTGCAGATTTTTTTTTGTCATGCGCAGATTGTTGCACAAAAGCGCAGTGGTAATTCCCCACAAGTAAACAAAAAAATTTCCGGAGTTATTTTTTATTGCGCCTTTTTTTTATTTTTTTAATTTTTTGTGAGCAGTTGTGCTGGTGATATGACGTTATTAACTGACGATCAAAGATACAGCACAGAACCCGTTGCAATTGATGGCTAAAAAAAGAAAAAAACTTATTTTGATTAGGGTACCTCTCTTCAATCATGTCCCCAGCATTCAGATTCAAAGCGACGGATAGAGCGAAGGGATAGTGCTCATTATAAAGACTGGGACTCAGAGGTTCTGGTTTCTTCAGTGCCTTTGATCAATACTTTCAACCGAGTACTTGTCCAACTAGGCTTACGTCCAACTGCTGGAACAGAGTCGAATCTACTTCATGGGTCAGCCAACAAGGTTATTAGTTCGTTACCTTCATGGCGTGTTCAACCTCATGCGGATCGCATGGCTCCAGAAGCCGTGTCGGTCAAGGATGGTCAGAAAGAAGCGAAAGGAATGGCCTCGACACCGTTTTCGCCTCTTTATACTTCATCACTCTTGAAGCAACAAAAAGCCATCTTCACTACCACTGCTACCAGAACCACGAAACACTCTGAGAATGTCAAAATGGATGCTGAAGCAAAAAGAGAAATGAAAGGCGAAGGTCCAGAAGTAAAAGCAGGTACAGAAGATACCTGTGAACCCGATGGGCCCACGATGTTTACTGTACCCACACAAGGACCAAATCTGCTCCTCAATAAGCAGATCACTATGGATCGTGTGTTTGTTCATTGTAAAAGTAGTGGTACCGACAATAGTAACGGCAATGGTATCCAGACTTACACTCGGCGTGTTGTGCGGCGAATTTCTTCCTTTTCGCCTTCAAAGTTTGCACAGGATGCCACGATCTTGGCCCAAGATGACAGTATGGCAGGAAAACTGGCCATGGTGGTGATGAGCACTGTCTGTGGAGTAGGTGTTGGGATGTTTGGTGCTCTGCTTTTTGTAGTAGCGCTCAAAGTTCGACTCTTTCAGGTCCGTCGACGTGAAAGACAGCAAAGAGATAACGGAGGGGAGCTTAATGCGCATGCGGCAGCAGCAGAACAGCAGCAGCAATTGATGCATGGGTATGGATACAAACGTGTTATTCCAAAAGGCTTCCTTGATAGCCTTGGTATCCAGACTGTCCTCCACACCTCGACTACCACAATGACGACCACCACCCTTGTGTCCCAGCTAGAAATAAGAAATGCGAAGTTTGTGAAGGCCAAACTGGGATTTGCAGAGAACGTGATTGAGATGGAGGAAGGCTTTGAGGATATGGTGACGCGCCACAATGCGCGACGAGAGCGAATGAGGACTCGGACAAACCATCTTTTCGTCCAAGAGGAAGGAGGTGCGTCGACTATTAGCACCACTTCACTCATGCCCACCTCGGTATCGTCTGCGATATCTCTATCGGTTTTACATCCAACCGATGATCTGACCAGCAGCAGCGGTACAAGTAGTGGCGCCAACAATATTGCGTCTTCTACCATGTTTAATGAGGATAAAGATCGGATACATGACATAGGCAAATCGCATGATGATGAAGGAGAAGGAGGTGGAGAAGGCATTGATGTCAAAGAGAAAAGTAAGCTTCCATTTGCGAATGCAAATGCACAGACAATGTGTTCGATCTGCTTGGGGGATTATGAAGTTGGAGATCAAGTGCGAACACTGCCATGCTACCATCGGTACCACGTGGCATGCATTGATCCATGGTTGTTACAGGTTGCATCACTATGTCCTATCTGCAAGCAAGATCTGTGGCCTGGACATTCGTCCTAGTAAACTGCTTTGAGCTAGCTGTAGTTTTTGCAGTGATGTCCAACATTACTTATCACATCCATCCATTTGATGCATCTGGTGCATTTGATGGAGAATTTTTTTTATATTTTATTTCCGACTGCTCAGATGAGTTCATGAAGCTGAAATATGAACCATGTACCAGTAAAAAAAGCCAATCAAAAACCTTTGACTGGTATGTGGAGCAAAAACACACGAGTGCATATTTTTATTCATACCTTAATTTTATCTACTAGTCAATATCGATCTCCTTGCGTTTCTGTTGGTTCAATCAGAATTCTGCGCTTTTTTTTTTTAGGATTCACTTCCATCTTTCTCCCCCTGTCCTTCATCGTCCGCCTGCCATTCTCTTCCATCTCATCTGCTCCTTTTTCTTCTGCCTTCAACTTCTTTAAACATATTTATAGCGCAAGCCAACCTTGTTGCATACAACTCCATTCAGGGCTCTTTTTTTATTTATTTATTTCATTCCTCTTTGCATTCCATCCCCATCCTTTCCAAAGGCAATCAAACTTTTTTTTTTTTGTTTTTTTCTCGTAACTTTGACTTCAATCTCATCCCACCTTTTATCCCACCCTTTATCACATCCTTCGCTGCCATTTCACTCTCTATCTGTCATTATTAATTCTTGAGGTCAAGAAGCAGACCATTGCCACTTTATCTTACTACTTCAACAACAAAAGCAACAGCAACGGACTTCAGTAGCAGCAGCAGTAGAGGCGGGCATCAATACTAATAACAAATAATTACAATAATAATAATATAATAATAATTAAAGTCCTCGAATCATGCCTTTAAACGACTACCGTGTCTCCACCATTGTGATCCTTTGCAAGGACTGTGGTAATGATGTCGGAAACTATCCTGGTCTTCACAAATGTCCTCCTCCACCTGCCATGCCTGCCATGCCTGCCATCCCCTCCAAATACCAACAGCAATCATCCCCAACATCACCGTCATCACCATCAGGTCTGAACGGAAGAGGAACAGGAGGAGGAGCCAATAGTAATTCATATGGCTCTTATGGTAGTGGAACCAAAACCCCTACTTCATTTCAAGAAAGGATGAACGGATCCTCAGCACGGACACCGACAGCATCTTCTTTTCAAGAACGGATGCGGGAACGAGATCGAGAAAAGCAACAACGTGAACGTGAAGAACGAGAGGCTGCTGCAAGGGCTGTTCGTGAAGGTAAATCAATTCAGACTGTCATTCAAGAAGTTTGATGTTGCACTTACTTTTGATTGGATTTTAGCTTAGCCTTTTTTTTTTTTTGTTTCATTGTCTTATAATTAACAGATACCCGGGCAGAATCAGGTGGATCATCAACAGCTGCCCCAGCACCAGCGTCGGGAGCAGGGTCGACATTATGGAGTAGATTAAAAGCTGCCAAGGAGGTCATCAATGCCACCATCACTGGAGAGGAGAAATGGCCAGGTACGTATATATTTTTATATATTTTTATATTTATAGATGTATATTATATTTGATTGTTTTCAAGGAAGAGAAAGGGGTTGTAGAGCAAAAAAAAAAAAAAAAAAAAAAAAAGGGCATGGGAATGATAGAGAATTTACAGTCTTTGAAACATCCAACTGATAAAGCTTGGTGAAAGGAGTGTTGAATGTTATTTAACAAAATGGAGAGCTTAAACACCACCATCTAACACTCACTCGTTCTTTCTCTCTCTTTCTATTTAAACTTGTATTTTGCAGAATCTGATGATTCGGATTATGAAGGTGAAACGCACGTGCATCGTGTGATACGCGAATATGCTGACAAAAAAGAGGAGGCAGAGCTTGCAGCCAAGATTGCAGAACTGGAGATGATGCCTGTTGATGAGATACCAGCTTCAGCCACGAAATCAGGCGGAAGAAATGAGTATCGCCGAAAGGATGCAGCGCCTTCAACAATGTCATCCACATCTTCATCCTCAAATGAACGTGACGATTATTATGGTCGGTCACTTCGAGCTAGAGGCGAGGCTCAGGATGAGAGATCTAGGTCACCATATGCAAGTAAAAGCTCAGGAGGGGGTCCATCTTCTTCGTTAGATAGTCGATACAAGACCACAAGTGATGCAAGTCGAGACGATGCATTAAGTCGGCTGGAGGGCAAATCTCAAGGCGATAAACTAGCAACTCAGGTCAGTCACCTTGGAAGCACCACTCCTAGAGGAAGGGCCAACTCTCCAAATGTTGGATATCGATCACAAGATCCAGCACCTTCATCACCAACTTCCCCTAATAGCAACAATAATAACGGTTATGGTCAAGCTGGGCATTACAACAGCCATTCGGCTTCTTCATCACCATCACCTTCACAACGGCGATACGATTCACCATCCCCTGCACCTCCATCAACATCATCATCCCGACCACGGTATCAAGGACAGGCCCCTGTCTCACCATCGTATGGAAATACTAACTATCGTCAGCCACAGCCCGGTCCACCTCCAGCGTCTAGAGGGGATGCCTATGCAGGAAGTCGCCCTCGTGGACCGGATCCATCATACGGTGGAAGCGGAGGAAACTATGGAAGACCAGATTATGACCGGAAGCCGGCCTACCCACCGAATGGTGGCTATAGTGGTGGAGGTGGTGGAAATAATATGGGTGCATATGGACAAAGACAACAGCAACAACATTATCAACAGCAATACCCTCAACAACAGTATCAACACCCACAGCCGCGTCATCCTTATGGTGGCTCGCAGGGCAATTACTTTTAATAAACTTTCTGAACATACTATAACCAGTTTTCTTTTTAAGCTATTTGTTTTATAAAATTTTGTACATTCTTTTTTTTTTTTTTTTTTTTTTTTTTTTTCTTAGTGTTGGGTTTAGTGTCCAGAGGGTCTCTGTTGCTGCTGCGAGTAGTGTTGATGATGTTGATGGTGCTGCTGCTGCTGCTGATGATGATGATGATGATGATGCTGCTGCAGACCCTGAGATGGTGGTACAATAGATGAAATAGGGCCAGTTGGGATACTTCCAACAGGTGAGGAAGGTGGACCTGGGGATGTCGGTGACGACCCTGACGATGTTGATGATGCTTGGGCATTTTGCTTGGCCATCATGAGCAATGCTGAAGTGGGAATAAATCCTGTTGGGGACGAAATCGTTGGAGACAGTAATGGTGGAGCCATGGATGATGATCCGAACGTCGAGATGATCGGCTTGGGTGCTCCAGAAAGGGGTCCAGCCCCACTTCCTATCAATCCACCTACATTATTGGCACCAGGACTTCCTGCATTACCACCTATAACTCCTCTCGCTGTACTGCTGACAATATTCGCATAAGAATCAGCTCCACTGTCATCTATCCTTGATTTGTCATTGGAGCTCATGAACATGGGTCCTGTGATCCGATTAAGCTCCTCTTGTTCTTTCGGTGTCAATATTTGTTGTTTTTGCTTTTGCAACAACACCTGAACACGCGTTTGTTGTTGACTTTGTTGACTTTGTTGCTGTTGCTGATGCTGCTGTTGTTGTTGTCGATTCCTCTCTCTGTGATGCTCCATCAATATGGCAGATGATGGCTGTTTTGATGGTGTATTGCCTGTTATAGAAGACGATGGTGACACTAAGCCTGATGATGCTGGAGTCACAGTCATTCCAGAGACTGGAGTGGTTAAAGGTGAAGGACTGGACCCTGGGATGGAGCCAGGAGTTGTCTGCATCTGTATCCTTTGTGAAGTCCCTTGCTGAGCCATAGGTCCATGATGGGATGATGATGGTGATCCCGGCATAACTGCGGATCCTTGCGGATTGTAACCAGAAAGTCTCTGATTTGTATAGATATTCGGAGGACTATAATGCTGTGATGACGGCTGCGGAGGTTGCTGCTGTGCTTGCGACTGTTGCTGAGATGAAGGCTGCTGACTTTGTTGATGATGAGAGGTGTAAGATATTGGTGCGGAAGAGAAGTTGTGATTTTGTGACGCCACTGGTGACCGATAGCCTTGCTGTTGTTGTTGTTGCTGAGGATGATGGGCTGTGGTTGCTGCAGGGACTGAAGCAGCTGATGCTGGTGCACTTGTGCCAGACGAAGGGCTTATTGGAGACCCTACAGATATGGAGGATCCCTGTCGATGGTGTGTCATAGACTGATTACCAGAAGACGGCTGTCGATAATGGCTAGATTGTTGCATATGCGGCGACTGATGCTGCTGACGTTGCTGTGATGGGTACGATTGAGGGTTGTTTCCATGAGTGCCCAGCCCTGTTGTCTTGTTCATAATAGATCCAGAGGCACCAGGTGAAGCTTTGTTGCCGAGCCCACCACCACCACTGCTACTGTTATTATTGACGCTGATAGTGCTGCTGGAATCGTTCGTGCCATTCGTAGTCTGATCGTAAGATCGTGATGTCATAGCCATTCTTCCTGATGATTGAGTTGAATAGTCGGATGTGTGCATTTGCTGTTGTTGATGCTGGTGCAATGAATGATGGTGCCGCTGGGATAGAGTTTGTGAAGAAGGTTGTGATGGAGGTTGTGGTGACAAACCATGACTTAGCGAACGCTGCTGCTGGGGTTGTTGCGATTGTTGAGCTTGTTGCTGTTGCTGCTGCTGTTCGTGATTTTGAACCGCGGAGCGATAGTCTTTAGAAACACCCTGTGCATGTGGACTTGAATTGATAGACTATTAATAAAACAAAGTGACATTTGTGATTAGCTGATTTTACAAGCACAAAATGTGTTATCCACCATCTTTTACCAAAACCTATGAACTTACAGGCTTCGGCCAATACGCAGCCGCATCGCTCGAGGGAGCTTTAACTTGATGTACTGACGACTGTTGCTCGTGCGGATGAGAGGTTTGTGATGGATGTTGGTGTTGCTGATTATGATGTACATGCTGTGGCTGTGGTGGTGGTTGTGTTTGGGGTTGTTGAGGTTGTTGAGACTGGGGGGACTGTTGAGGCTGGGGCTGTTGAGGCTGCTGTTGATCCCTAGGAGATTGGTGTTGTGATTGCTGATGGCTTTGAGAAGGAGGCTGTGCCTTGGGGCTAGATGCTCGTTCATCACTGACGATCGTATCCTGTTGGCGTGCTGGGACAGATGCAAGCTGTTGGTACTGACTACCTCCAGAAGTTACTGCGGGGCTATCTTGGATAGGCTTATCGCTGCTAGAACTAGAATTTTGAGTCGATATCTGTCCAGCATCAGTCTTGGCTCTGCTCTCTACAGTGGTTGGCGACGAAGTAGCACCTCGCCCTTGGGCCTCTTTAGCAGGCTTTTTTGGCTCCATATCTTTTGAACCAGCCTTTGACCCATCTAAACTATTGCTTGACGTACGTCCACCTGTATTTGCAAGGCTTGCTGGATGAGATCCCGCAGTCATCATGATTTTGGTCTTAACGCTCTTGGCACGTACGCGATTATAACACTGATACCAAGTTCTGGTTTCAACCATCTTTGCGATTTGCTGCCATGAGTTTCCAAATGTGTGATAAGCCTCCACAAGCTTCTCATCCTCTTCAGCTGTCCACGGTTGTCGATTAATGCGTGGATCCAAATCTGTCTGCCATTTCTGCATACACTGCTTAGCATTTCGCCCAGGTACTTTCATAGCAACAGCATGCCAATTTTCGCTTGAAAGGTCTCGAACAGCCTCCAAAAGAATTTCTTCTTCTTGACTAGTCCAGGTTCCCTTCTTAAGTTTGTCCTCGGATTTGTCAGTATAAAGAGGTCCGCCAGACCCCACATGAGGACTCTGAGAACCACTTGAACCAGTAGCCTGGATGGGTGTTGCCTGTATATTCTTAGACTTTCTACCCATAACCTGTGTATTGATGGCTCCGGGTTTCTGGCTTTGTCCTTTGGATCCTGCGTCTCCCTCAACTCCAGAAGTTTGGCTTTCTGAATTGGGCCTAATGCTGCGTTGACTGGGGGCTCCAGGTTGACCACTGTTCTCATTGTCACCTTGTTCTGATGGAGGGATCCATCCATGCAAAGGTTTAGGCCGATCAAACCCAGCGCTGTCTCCTGATGACGATTGGCCTAGCGTTGATGAGAGCGGCTTTCCAGACTGTACTAGTGTGATCTTGAAAGGGCGACCACGCACGATCACACTACTTCCAGATTCTGTGCCATCTTTTTCTTTAGATGTCTCTCCGGATGCTAATCGTTGTTCCTCAGCCTCACGTTGAAGGCGAAGTTTGTTGGCCTGCTTAAGTTTCTTCCGAGCGAGACGACGTTCTATCCGAGATAATTTCCGTTGCTGGTCATCATCATCGCCATCATTATCACCGTCCTTAATTCTATGCCTTGGCTCTGCTTCCCTGCTCGCTGTGGGCGATTCAGGCTCCATAGAATACCGTCCTGCGGTATCCCCGCTTGGCAGTGAAGGTGAGTCAATATCATGTCGAGATCTCTTCAAGAGTCGCCCATCATGCATGCTGCCGGGTAACCTTTGAGGGGAAGATTCTAAATCCCGTGAGCTTCTACGCTTACTAGATTTTGTCCCATGGCGATAGCTTCGATAATGCCGTTCACGATCCCGGGAACGTCGTTGCTCTGAAAATACTCCGCTTTCTGCTGGATACTGTGCAGGTAAGGGATGCTCATATGGATAGGGGTAAGGATAGTAATAATGATGTGGGAGATGCGAGGAAGGTGTAGGATCCCAAGGCTTCTGTCGTTGGAAAGCAGGGAAAAGAGCGTGTCTTGCAGGCAATATTTTGAACTTTGGATCGGATTCGTAGGCCTCATCGTCGCTGATATCCAGTGGCGGCTCAAGGTCGACAGCAAACCAAGTATTGTCTTGATAAAATGTGAACGCTTTTTTATTCATATCCAGGGCAGACTTCCGAACTTCAAGTTCTAGAGCAAGATGATCGGTAGCGGATGAAAAGGCGAAGAGCACTTGAGCAGTTTTGAGTGGCGAGAGCGAGACCAGGAACTTGAGCTGCTCATAAAGATCTAACAAATCTTGGTCCAACATGATGTCATCTAATTGTGGGCGAAAAATTGCACAAGGATGTTTTTGCTGTGATAATTCACTGTCGTCCTCAAAAATATCCTCAATGTCTGATTGTGATGATTTTATTAGCCGCTGTTCATCTGTTACTCCATTAACCCCGCTCGAATGCTTTATTGAGTCCTTTTGTTCCGTCGTCAAAGCGTTTGGAGATGCAGATTTGAGGTTGATTTTGACGATGGTCGAGGCAGGATTAGAAGATATCTTTGGCGATGCCATTGGCTGGTCAACGACTTCTGAGGTATCAGGAATGACTAGTTCGCTTACAGGAGCGTCTGATGTAACCTCCATCATCGCCTGCTGGTCTACGACAGCCATTCGTCGCTTGTATGTTGTGAAATTACAGAAAATACAGAAATTACAGTGTCCTGAAAGTTATGCCCCCTTTTCCACCTGCCACTTTAAATATTTTGTCAATATATACTTGTGTCGTATCACTAGGAGGTCACTTCAGAGAGCAAGGTTGCTGAAACTAAAGTGCAAACAGGCCAAGGAATAGAGAGTTTTAGCCATTAGCATCTTGGGCCACTCTCGAATGATTACGCATCTAAGGAGAAAGCAGGCGTAGTTTGATGCCTCTCCGAACAACGAAGAGAATGTCGGTAGGGATGCGACATTTGCATTTTACTACAAAAAATGAATGATGCTTACCGAGAAGGTTGAATAATTGCCTAATAATAAATAATGGCTTTTTGAAATGATGCTTCAACTAACACTAAGTATAGGTCACAGATGAAGCCTGATGGCGAATCGAGTGTGCTGAATGAAGTATGTCTCCAAACTGATAAAAAAAAAAGGCGGCGTACCACAAAACACGTCCCTGCCTAAAACCGTAGAATGATATTTTCGTAGGAAAACAAAGGATACTGAATTTACAAGGGCAAATGAATCACGCGAATTACGTGTTCTGTCCTCGGTGTGATGAATTTAGCCTGCCCTTCAAATATTGATTTTATCTAATCTAGCAAAAGTGACCTTGTGACTATTGTTAAATAAAAATCAGCAATCTCTGATTGGTGCATTAGACCACATTAGGTTTGAAACAATGCATTTATGAAATAATTTTACTATAGAATCTGACAACGGTCTGTCTTTTTTACTCCTATTTCATTATCGGAAGAACCCACCATCATGCCTTCAAGCGCTACGCCAGCGATGGCCTCCCGTGAGTCCACACGAGGGAGTAGGGTCGCATCATCATTATCCTTTGCACGCATAGATTTGATAGGATGGGATGGGCAATCGTACTGGTCTCTTGCGCGCTGATGTAACCGACAGCAGCCTTTGCACATCTGATAAATACATTTGGGTGAAAAGCTATTCTGACACTTCTCATCTTGACATATCTTTGGAGCAACTTTAACCTTCTTGACCTTCTTGTTCGTCTTGACCATAACGGCACCTCCGACGTCTTGATTGTTATCGTTGTCTTCATCATCTCGATGTCCTGAAGTATCTGCAGATCTCTTCGCAGAGCCTGTTAGTCCATTGAAAGAAGATTCGGTAACGGCTATCTTACCATCTTCTTCCTTATCTTTTGACTTTTTCTTATCCTGAGGTGGCATGGGCTGTCTAAAATATGGCTGTACCAGCCAGTGGGGTAGAATCGGGAATCCCTTATCATTCACGCGACCTTCAAACGATTCACCCCTCTGTTCAGAGTCCTCTTGATCTTTTATCAGCCTTTCTTTCAACTTCCTGGCAACTTCCCACATAGCTTCCCTTGAATTAGTCAAGCCAAGTTCTGTTCTGAGATCGGTGTGAATGCTAAGGGATGGTTGGAAGATTTTAAACAGATGTCCACGAATATAGGCGATTTTGGTATCGAGTTCATCACAGATAGTAAGGTATTCCTCAGCCAAGCTCCATGATTTTATGTGGCCCGGCATAAAAATTGCAGGGTTATAGAGGCTTCCTTCTGCAGACATGACGCCTGCACAGCCTGTTTCGTTCAAGCATCGCTCTATGTCTTCGTGATAGAGAATATTGCCGTTGGCAATCACCGGGACCAAATGACCCACAGCTTCTTGCACTAAACGGATTTTTTCCCAATCAGCAACTCCTGTCAGGTGTCCCTTCATCTCACGGAGTCGTCCATGGACAACCAAGATCTGTGCACCAGCCTCCACAACCATCTTGGCATATTGAACAGTTTTTTCGGCATCAGGATAAACACGGATCTTGGCAGTAACAGGAATAGGTAGATACTTATGTAAAGTTGAGATCAACGATGCTATCAAGGGCCAATCTTCCATCAAAAATGATCCGTAATGTCCTCTCCGAGCAATGTGCTGAGGACATCCTAGATTGAGATCAACAGCATCGCAGTAAGGAGCTACAAGTAAGGCAGCCTGCAACAAATACTCTGGGTCATTCGCACAAAACTAAGGCAACACCCATACACATATTAAGAAGAAGAAAAAAATATATCAAAATTAGACTTTGAATCAGAACAAGGACTATAATAAACACCACTCTGGGTCCAGACAGAAAAGAGCTTTTATAAACAAACTAAAGGACCTTACTTGTGTAATGAGGGGTCGATCATTTGGTCCGCCCCCTCCAAGCCCATCCTTCAATCCTGGCCAATGCTCATTGCGATATTTCTCTTCCTGTGCAAACAATTTGGCGTTGAACATTGGAGTATAGCATAGATCAGCTTTATATCGACGACTCAGGATTCTCCATGCGAGTTCAGACTGATCAACCTACAAATGTAGAAAAAAAAAAGGAGCCCAAGTATTTCACTATGTTTTAGTTGATCATTAACTATTGAGATGTACCTGAGTAATATAAATGTTTAATATAGAACCAACCGGTTATATTTCTACATATTACCATTGGAGCGACGATATATTTTGGAGAACCAATAGATTTGAAAAACTCCCAGCCTGAGAGTTTTGGCGGAAACTTGTGTTCTGCAGTGCATTTGGCCGCAGCAGCAGCATATCGCTCCTCGGCTGGTTGCTTTGCTCTCGTCATTACTTAAAATCTTTTCCTGAATAAATGTGCTTCAAATGATGTACAGAAGTATGGAATGCAGAAAAAAAAAAAAAAAAGAAAACCTTGACGATGAATGTCAAATCGAGCTACACTTTCATGCTGACCGTTGACAGAAAAAAAAAAAAGGACTGCTAAGTTAGAAAACATTTGCACGTGCAGTCATGACATAAACAGGTGTTTTTTAGTCTATTTGACAACACTCTTATTTGGCGGACCGCCCCTTAATTATTATGTTGAATCTGGTTTGACGAGCCTATTGACAGCCCTTTTTTTTAATTGACAAGGATGCTCTGGGCTGTTATTTGACAATCCCCCTCGTCTCCTAATTGTCTATAGTGTTTACTATCATTTGAATACCACTATAATACTCAGCGGCTGGTAAGATAATGACGGTAATAATCATTTTTAGAGGATATCTAGGCAAGGACGAGTGTGTAGCATAAAAGAAGAAAAAGAAAGACAGAAAGAGCTAACAGCTACAGTCACGACAATGGAGTGTTGCCACCATATTAGAATCACAAATTTGCCCAGCCGGGAAAGGTTCAGGATAGTGTAAGGTTAGCATGTGACAGGTTGAAAAAGATAATTTTTCTGATCACCAAAAACAAGGGTTGTCACAAGTACAGTTGGTTGCTCAGATGCTTGAACACCTCTATCTTGGAGAGCAAGGATTATATTCCTCAAATCTGCCACTGCATATCCTTCAATATCTGTACATGGTCCCTTTTTTCTATTATTTGCTTTACCGCCCAACCTCTTCAATGTAGCGTTAATCAACAGAGTTGTGAAAAGTTTCAATTCCTGAGTACATGACTCCTTTTAACAAAATCAAATAAATGAATATCTTGTCCACCTGTTACAGGCACAGCTATGTGTGGAAAGAGGCTTTGGCATGTTTGCGTAACGCTCTTAAATTTCGTATATTATGAATCTGCACCCTTTCTCCACAATTCATAATGCATACTATACACAGCAGTTCAGTTTGTAACCTGATATGGAGAGTGTCTCCTAATGTAATTCAATGAAATAATCGCACAATGCCCAAACGCGATCATAAATACCTTCGCTTCAGAATAGCACCACACCGGAGGCTTTTAAAGCATTCATTCCAAGCTGCGTATACTTGTGTGCTCTTTCGCCCCTATGAACTGATTTATTAAGAAACGCCACTTTGCTTCCTATTTCCTTTTTGAAGAAGCTGCTATTTCGATTCCTTTTTAACGTAAAATGTTGCTCATTTTGATCCTTTCTTTTTTTTTATTTTTTTTTATCATTCATCATTTTCCAGGAAGCCATCCCGTTCTCTAACGCTCTGATACACAGTACTTCACTTTCATTCAAAAGAAGACTGAAAAAGAAGAGCTTGTATTCAATTAATAGGCAGCCTTATATTTCGAAGAAAAAATATCATATGAGACCAGAATTATCACCAAAGGTATTGGTACTGTTGCGGTATGCAGCCGCCGTGTACCTCTTAGGATCAGTCCTCTTCACTCTATATAGCCTCTTTCCCCAATACAAGGAACCACAACCAGAGCCTAGCATCAAGCCAAAAAGACTAACTGAACCAGGACAGGCAACATTTGATGTGGAAAATATTCTTTACTCACAGCAGATTATGACATGGAAGAGTAAGAGTTTCTTGGTGGGTCTTGTGAGCAATAAAAGTAAAATCGTCAATTGAGCGCCTTTATGAGGAGACGGACAAATTGGAATAGATCGTACCATCCTTTTTCCTTTCTTTATCCTCATTCTCCTCTCCCCTTTTTTTCACTCTTTCCTCCTCTTCCCTCTATCGATCATGACATCTAGCACCAAACGGTCATCACCATATTGAAGAGGACGCAGTGTTACAAAAGGTCTTTGCCAACACGATACAGCCTTCTAAGGTCCTACCATATTATTTCAAGGCTGTTCGCAACTTTAATCCAGAATCTGTGACCATTACCACTCTGATTACATTTGACCGCTATCCGATCTTCAGCAGACTAGTGACCAACTATCAAGGTCCAATATCAGTATCAATCCATATCACCGATGATGAAAACAAGGACGAAAACCTGTCAAAGCTTCATGACATGTACAACTCAAACCCATATATGAAAGAGTTTGTGGATATTCATGTTATCGTTGATAAATTCGAGCGACAATTCAACATGTGGCGTAACGTAGCTAGATTCTTTGCGCGTTCCAATTACTTTATGATGCTTGATGGTGAGGATGTAGAAATATTCTAAAAAGAATCCCTAAGTCAGTCGTATGGCTTTTTTTTTATCCAAATGAGAAACTATGTCTCATTTTGAAAGTTTTTTATTATTATTATTATTATTAGTTGACTTCCATATCTGTACAGATTTGCAACGTCACTTGTCTCTGGATGCTAAGGCACGAGGAGTTCTGAGTTCAGGAGCAGCAGTAGTTCTTCCAGCATTCGAATATGTAAAGCAAGACGATGGGATCGACTCTGCTACATTCCCAAAGGACAAACAGGCACTAATTCAGCTTGTACAAAAAAAAAAAATCACGACATTTCATGATTTTTTCCCAAGAGGCCATAACGCGACGGATTATGAGCAATGGTACAAATCAGACTCTGTTTACAAGGTGACAACATACCAGCATTCGTATGAGCCTTACGCCATCATGAGAAAAGAAGGCACACCATGGTGCGACGAGCGGTTCATTGGATACGGAGCCAATAAAGCAGTATGCTCTTTTTTTTTTTTTTTTTTTTTTTTTTTTTTTTCCGGTGTATAATAGGTGAAAAGCCCTGGTACAGCAACTTTTAATATTATTATTATTATTATTTATAGGCTTGTTTGTTTGAGATCTACATCTCTGGTATCGACTATTGGGTCCTTCCCCAGGATTTTGTAATTCATCAATCGCACCCGTACAAAGAAGAAACTCGAAAACAAGAGCGCAAGTACAACCGCAGGCTTTATCAGAACTTTCAGGAAGAAACTTGCTTCCGCTACTTTAAATACTTCCTTGAGACCAGCCAGTGGAACACTTCAAAGGCCGACAACTTGAAGGAACAATGTAGCCAAATTAGAGGTTTTAACCAAGCTGTGGAGCAGTTTACAATCTCATAGTGGCACTTTCTTTTTTCTTTCTTTCTTTTTTGGGATCAGCAGACTAATAAAGATATATTCCACTTTCTTTTCTTTCTTTTCTTCCTTTCTATCTGTATACATTGGCGAATACAACACTTTCAATGAAGGAATAGGATGATACCTTTACGATCAATAGATTTTTATTTATTTTTATTTTTACCATTATTTTTATTTTTATTTTATGCTCCGCGAAACCTTCTTTTGAACTAGACGCGTCCAGATCTAGAAGTAAAACCTTGATAGATGAGCCAATAGCTAGTTTTCTAACTTAAAGACGCGTCTTGTTTTCCATCTTGACTATATATATACCATTATTCTGTAAGAAAAAAAATTACACCAATATTTTATTCCCCCCACCGGGACACAGGAGAAACTGATGACCTTTTTGCCACTCACTCCGTCGCACAAAAGTCAAGAGCTTATTTTATCTTTCTACCTATCACAATGTTCTGAGTTTCGCACGCGCCTCTTTCGAATCAAACATTATATACATTTTAGCAAAGAAAAAAGAAATCACTTTAATGTATAAGCATTTGTTTATTATTCATAGCCTGTTTATCAGCCCCTTCTTGTTGTGCCTCTAGGACAGAGGCGTTTCTGTTATGCAGTTATGCATAACAAAACCAAGATCAGCCTCAGCGAAATCATGATGTAACAAGAAAAATGAAAAAAAAAAAAAAAAAAAAAAGTGTGTGTCTTTGCATGATATCAGTATGTTTCTGCCAGAACGTGCCGTTATATCAGGAGAAGCTATCAATAATAAGGAAGGAGGAGGGGAGGGAGAGAGGAGGGGAAGGATAGTTAATGTTGTCGCGGGGGGGTTTTTTTTTTTTTTTTTTTTTGCGAACACATGCTAAAAGAAAGGAGTGTTTTTACACCAGAATAGGAGAACTATGTGATGTGATTTGAACGCTCAATGTTTTTTTTTTTTTTTTTTTTTTTTCTTGTGCTGTGTGCTCCAAAGCTTGTTCAAGTGGTACCTTCCTGGTCGCCCTAGAAAGAGGGAGAGTTTGCCCAGCATGGAATAGATGCAGACCACACATAAACAAAGCTTTTAACTTTTTTTTTTTTTTTTTTTTTTTTTGCGCTGCACATGCCATGGTACGTTCACTAAAGATTAAGTTTCAGTCATTACGCTTCCTTGGATCCGAGAGATTTTTTTTTTTTTTTTTTTTTTTTTTTTTTTTGACCTGGGGAATAACGAAATACATGCATTCCGATCCATTCTGCATTGTTGGACTTGGGTCTCTGATTTTCTGATGGATCTTTTGTTTTCTTCTTTTTTTTGTCGTGCATACAAAATGCAATGCCCTTTTTTTCTTTTACTTCTTGAAAAGTAACCCAGTATTTAGTTCGACCAGAAAAATCATATGCACAAAAAAAATCAGCTTTAGTTATTTGTTTGCTTCCCGCTTCCCGTCGACTCAAAATAGCCTATGGTGCAAGAAATAGAAGCAACCAAATCAGCGGCCCAGAAGGGCTCAGAAAAAAAAAGAGATCAAGATTTATACCAAGCAGCATGTCAAGTACAGCACTAAATGCGGGTCAACTCTCTTTGCGCGGCATGGACACAATTAATCCCTCTTATATGCAAGAAAAAAAAAAAATAAAAAAAAAAAATAAAAAAAAAAAAAATAAAAAAAAAAAAATAAAAAAAAAAAATAAAAAAAAAAAATAAAAAAAAAAAATAAAAAAAAAAAATAAAAAAAAAAATAAAAAAAAAGGAAGATGTAGGGAAAAGGTAAACGTAGTTATGGGAGAAAAGGAGAAACCAATGGACGAAATAACATTCCAAAGGTATGTCGAAGTTCTGCACCTTTATTCGAATAGGAAATGTCTCCTTGGTCTTGGTCAGACAGATAGGTAACCCAGCTCTTATCCTGAGCAGCCCCAAGCCTATTGGTAACCTCGTCATGGGAGAAGTTAGCCACTAACTCAACCCCATTCGTTAAAAAGTATACAGTATGAAAAACTGATCCGACGATACGGATGAAACAGTGTATCACCCACCCCATTAGAAAAAAAAAATTATGTAAATCTTTGTTGACTGGTATCATCCGCTCATCCTGATCTACAATACATGACGATAGACGAAATAAAGAAGTAAATACATTAATATACGGAATATCTGTAAATAGTCTATGTTTTCAAGTTCCAATTGAGTGGCTCAGAAAACAACAAAAAACTTTTCAACCTCCGTTTAACTATCCAAGGGCAAACGCAACGTGGATGACCGGAAAAAACAGAGTTGTATTCTGCTTTGTGCATGGTATACTATCCAGGTCATGTTTGATACTAAATAGATATACATAAATATGTGTATATAATAATTAGATAGATTACTATCAGTGGTGAGTTTACAACAGGGCAAACTAATTGACTTAACAACAAAAAAAAGGAAGACAAAAATGGAATAGTTCGCCAAATGAGGCAAGGTATTTCATATAACCGGTTTTTGCTTAGTTGCGATCCCATTTTTTTTTCTGAATAGCCTCGAATGTATTGGCAGCCAATCTGTTCAGCAACTTGTCACGGGTAACAAATTTCAGCCACCAAATCAAATCAACCGTCGCGTTCGGCAATATGCAACATTACTATCATTAATATTAATGTATTATAACTATAGCGATCATTGTATATATTTGTTATTTCTATTTCAGTCTATTATAATATATTGTTATCATTACCCTTATTATCATCATCATTACTACTATTGTAATTTTATTATTATCATTGTTATTATTATTAGATATTAGTATTATATTTCAGTTCCGGAAAATCTATGAAAGCAACTGAATGGATCACTGTTGTTAGACTCAAAGAACCGTAGATGCCGAACTTCTAACTTTTTTTACTCCTTTTGCAAGCTTCATCAGGGAAAAGAGGGGGAAGAGAAAAAAAAAAAAAAAAAAAAAAAAAAATCGGATCTTCAATTTTGCAAAAAACCAGTTGAAAGGTACATGGACTATGCTTGTCAATGACAATGTGTGAGCGCTTCCTTGATGCAAGGGACACACATTGTGGTGTTTACTGAAACCCTAATCTGGTGTGGTCGAATGGTTGTTGTTTGGTAAGACTTTTTATTCTTTTCTTTTCCTGATTGTATTGGTCAGAGCAATCATAAATATATATATACGTATATTTTGTTTTTCCTTTTTTCTTCCATTAGATGGCGAGTACATTGACAATGTGCTTACCTCCAGATGTTAGCCAAACTCTGTTTGCGTGCATTTTTTCCGCAAAGACCAAAGAAAAAAAAGAGAGAGTCGGACAAAAATCTTTTGTACGTTTGGAAAAATCATGGTCCCCCTCCTATTCGTCTCGTTCGCTGATCTTTGTTTATTGAAATGTGTACAGTATATATATATGTATAAATATATATATACAGTATACATTATGTGCATGAGTCAGACGGCGTAAAAGATTGAAAGTTTGTTGTTTGTCCTTGTTGTTGTCGCTGTCGCTGCCCCTGCTTGTCTAATCAACATCGGGACATTAAAAAAAGAAAAGAAAAGAAATTAGACCGTGGCAAAAAAAAAAAAAAACCTTCGGTCCTGATAACCCATGGAAGGCTAAATGGTCCCCACCCAATTTTGTCCGAAGCAGTCGAGACTAAAATTCGTCTTAATGCCATATCACTCTTTTTTAACGTCTATTCCGCGAGTAGTATAGTGTTGGCAAAGATAAAGGGAGCTTTACACAGCAGGCAAAAAGAAAAAAAGGACAAAGCGATATAAAAACACTAATTAGTACATATTGATTGGTGGTCACTTTCTAATGTAGAAAAAAGTTACTTTTGAAGACTCTTCTGAAGATAAAGAAAATGATCAATGGGGCAAAAGGCGGCTCATTTTTTGAGTACTGGTTTGTTTTGCAGATTCCCGTTGCTCTCCTGGATGCATTAAGCGGCTATAGAGCATGGAGACCTATGCAGGAGTAAGAACCCAGTGTATATTCTGATCCTTTTTGCTCTTCAAAAAAAAAAAAAAAAAAAAAAAAAAAAAAAAGGCGGTGTAACTGAGTGAAGTTGAAAATGAGTAGTAACATGGCTAAATGGCCAAGCGGTTAAATGGCAAATGGTCTGCAATATTATGTATATCAAGCTTTTTTAATGGTTAGAAAGGCGAAAAAAGACTTCAAATTGCAACATAGTTTTACTTTTTCGGTATTCTAATGAGAGACTACCAGAATGATAAAAATAATATGCTCCGCAAGTCATTCCAACGCGTAAAGGAAAAAGAGAAAAGACAAGTAAATGTTGCTACTAATGTATTTTTGGCCACTTGAAGAGATATGTGGGGCCCGAGTTATTATCATTCTAATAAGATTAAAAAGCCTTTCTGGGCTTTTTCCTGCACAGCTGTCAAACTATATGCTTATTTTCTATACTTTGTTTTCTTTAATGATCTCAATTGAAGTGTTCTAGACCAAAGTATTATTAAAACCCAACTCCGTTAAAATGACAAAGTGCTATGTATTAATCAGTCAACTATGACAATCTCATATAATCTGATGTACGTGGCTCTGGGTTCACTGCTCGCCGCCGAGATATGAAACTAACGTATCATATTAAGATCAAAAAAAAAAAAAAAAAAAAAAAGAAAAAGCTGGGTCATTGGTTCATCAGATTGGGGGAAAATACCAAGATACTAACATCCAAAGACTTTTTCAGTCTTTGTTTGGCCAAGCTATGATTGCTTACACTACATGTAGTCTGTATACAAAATGTTGATATCATACCTGCATCAATTCAGAGACAATATCATATAGTCACAAAATATCTTGCAAGAGGCCATCGCATAAGAAATTAAGAAAGCATCCACCCCAAAATCCTGAAATTTCGGATTTTTCGTGGGAGGTAAACATGGCGTTCTTGTTTCTACACGCATCTAAAAACATAATCTCACAAGCGCCCTTCTTTTCAAAGCCATAAATGTATTTACTCTGTCCGTATGCCTGAATATATTTGTTGAACTAAATACCTTCTGTAAAAAGGACAAAGAGAGAGCAGAAGACGGTGGTACGAATTTAATCTCCTTTGGAGTGACAAATGGATAAAGGTCCCATGAGCTATTTCAAAGGGACCATTATTATTGAGCATGAGGAAAAGACATCTTTGGAATATATTGTCTCATGTCATCATAGACTAGACCAAATATTTAAGAGCACTACAAACGTTGGATGTGGAAGAAATAACGTACGAAATACAGCACAAGTAAATCATGGCGTAGCTATCAGGTACCTGTCTGAGCTGTAAAAATGGAGCACAATTTAAATCGAATAGTAAAAAAACGGCTAAGGTTCTATCTCCATGTCGTTTATAAAGAAAAAAAAAAAATAGAGCACATGTCAACACTGTGCCTGTTTCGTCTTTGCCTTGCAGCAACAAGATTGCTGGTTTAAATAAAAAAAGTACATCAGTGATGGTAAAGCCCTCATCTTCGTTGTGTCCCTGAATCTTTTTTGCTTTAAGATTGGAAAAGTCAAGTGTTATGAAGATTATAAAGTCGATGCTAGGGAGCTTGAGGACAATGTTTTACTCACAAAAGAAGCAATCAGAAAAGGATTTCCATGCCGATAAACTTTTACTACGGGGCTGTGACCTTATTGCTGATACTTGATATGAATTAGAACATTCAAAGATGTTCAGACTATTTTTCCTTTTTAACTATTGCAATGTTATGGGTAATGCTAGTGATTCAACAACGTGGCAATTGTGTAGATTGATGTCAACGCCATATTATGATATCATTTAAATGTCGGGGTATACATGCACTCTGCATTGTCGTTGATAACCAAGGTCCGACAGTGTGCAATACGGGGTAGTAAAGTTCAAGGTGTTCCAGTTGACTTTACAAATTGAGGTAGCTCTAGACCCACAATTAATAGTGAAGGAAAAAAATGTTTTTTTGTCCAAAGGTTGACCCGGTCGTAGTCCCCAGGTTGCTCAATGTTCAATGTCAACGTGCAATGATTGGTTAAAGATCGCAAGGGCGCGAAAAGAAAACATGCGAGAGGATTACTCAATATCCAGATACTTTTTTTTCATATACAGTCAATTAAACATAAACACTATTGTAAAGCACAGCATCTCCATTGATTGTGAGCCCTAGCATAGCACAAAGCTGTTTTCGGTTACTCTTGTGGTAAGAGGAAAAAAAATAAAATAAAAGAAGAGGCATGTTCATCTCTGGTGAATGAATGTCCTTTCTCAATGAGAAGCGATCACAAACAGATTCGCAATGGACTGCATAAAACGAGCCCACAACAAGCCCTGAAAATAAAGTAAAATAAATAAAATCATGTGTAATGTCAAAATAAATAAAACAAGCTCAAACTCAGAGTTGACAAAGGGCGAGCAAAATTTTCTCACCCTTTTTCTCCTCTGCCATCTTTTCGATTCATCCGTACTTGGTTCTTTCTTTTTAATTTTATGTTCAGTAGTCAGCTCCATGTAGCCCTCAGTTAACGAGGTATATCAGAGTTATGAGTAAACTGAAAACTCTTCTGATATCTGTTGCCTACCAAGTTTCCTTTCAATAGCTTTTGATGGACGTGAGGTATGCAAGAGAGACAGAGTCGCTACTTGAATTCGCGTTTTATAGGTCCATGGCTGAGGAAAGGCGTACATGAAGTCTGTCATTCGCTTTGTTTTAAAAATAAATAAAAAAGTGGGGGTGTCGCAGTACTATAACTAAATAGCGCCGACTGTATGGATAAGCTGATTAATAAATGCCATAATACATATACATAATATATTTATGATTAACAGCATTTGTCCGTCAGAGACGGGACTGACCACCAATTATACGCAGCTGTACGAAAGGCAGCTTTTCTCTTGGTCGCTTCTTCCCCGCATCCCTCCAATGATCTAGTCTAGAACAGCCCTCATCTGTAATCTTGATAAATATATATACCCTTTTTTATCTTGATAGAGAATATCGTTCATCCACAGAATATTAAAAATTAACCGTTTCAAAAATATTAAATGAAATTCAGTGCATTGTTCATTTTAAACGTCAACACTTCCTCTACATGGCTGCATTGACCCCTAAAAAAAAATTATGAACGGTCATCAGTCAAGAGGCAGAGGGGCCAAGAGGCTTATGAGCGAGATAATTAAATGACTTTCATAATAATTTATTAGGATGATGGCCCATTTTACTTTATTTCTCATCCAGTTCTTCATTCCTACTCTCGTTGATCTCGTTGAGCGACCAAATATTGATTGATTATTATGATCACTAACATTGTTGCCGCTACTGCTACTATTTATTACTGAACGATAAATACTGAATATCTTTTTCTTTTTTTTTCTTTTTTTTTTTTTTTTAAAGAAAAAAGCAAGGACTTTAGTATTCTTCAAAGAGCCAAACTTTACCTTAAGACGAACTTTTTAAAAGTTTCCCTTGCATGCATACTCGTTTATAACTTGGACATTGAAATACTGCAATTCATTAAGAAGTGCTCTATTCAATCGAAAGCACATGCGTTCATATTCCGAAGATAAACAAAGAGCTCTAGCTCCAGTTCATGTCATTGAGTCTTTTTTTTTTTTTTTTTTTTTTGCCTTTTCTTGGCCATTTCATATCAGAGTCGAGAAGAGATGATTCTATTGTTAAAGTAACGAGGCCTATAATTTACTGTAATGACACAAGACAAAGAAAATGAGTCGAGAAAAGCTTTAGTCCTTTGTGATGAGATTAACAAGCGAGGATGAAGAAAAACAACGATATTGGAATGTCTTAAAAGTTTACCTCTCACCATGACGGATCATTCTTCAACTATTCCCGATCGCATTGCGTGGAGCTTAGGCTTTGTATGTCATGATATCGAAGGGGAGCAAACAGAGTAGACATAACATATGGTCGGAGGATCTTAAGATGTTGCCCATGTCATCTGTTGCGATATCTATTATTCAGTTGAAGACGAAAGAAGGGAAATGAAGTCTAAAAGGCTTCATTCAAATGAACATGTTAAAACACATAATTGACAGTGAAGATGCGAAAGCTTGAGACTCAACCTCGGTAGCAGTCAACCAATCCTCATTCAACAAGGACAAGTCAACTTAGCTTGGCCAATCCTGTTTAGAGAATTTTATTCAGCGTTTTTTTTAACCGTTTTTTCCCTCTTTCGTTTCTTCCTTCCCTTTCTTTCTTCTCTCTTCTCTCTTCTCTCCTCTTCTTATTTCATTGTTTCTGTTCCTGTTCCTCTTTGCTTCCTCTAATAGCTTGGACCATCCTTTCCCGTCTTTTTAATTTTTTTTTTTTAAATTTTTTATTTCCTTTTCCCTTTTTTTTCCTTTTTAACCTTCTCTCTTTATTCATTTTATTTCTATTGTCGTTGCTCTGAGCTTGTGGAGGCATTATATATTTTGTATTCAATTCAATTCAATTCAATGTTCACATAAACCTGGATCAAGTGTTTTTTTTTTCCTCTTCTTTTAACCTTTACAACTTGCTCACTGACACATTGTGCCGTTGTGAGGGTTTGTTCGGTTTGATCCCTTTTTTGTTCATTCATTCATTTGTTCATTCTCTCATTCGCTCATTTCATAGTCTTGACTCCTGTAACGGTTGTTCTTTTTATACTTTCTATTCAATCCAATTCAATAATTTTCAACGGTTCTTTTTATTTTATTTTATTTTTTTATTTTACTACCTGTCTGTTGTCTTTCTCCCCTATCACCCATCTCCCTGAACTATTAGAGCTGCATTGTAGTTGGAGCAGAAATGTTCAAACTGATCTAGGTCTCAATATTTCTTTTTTCCTTTTGCAAATGCATTGGTGGCTCTCCTTGAACCCACGAATACATTTGATCACTCCCATTGCAACCGTTAAAGTTTTTTTTTTCTTTTTTTCTTTTTTTCCTTCCTCACGCTCCTCTTTCCCTCTTCCTCTTCCCCTTCCCCTCCCTCCCACGCTATGGAACACAGCCAGAATACATTGTACCCGTTCCATATTCAGAGCAGCAATAACAGCTCCAATAGCAGTAACGGAATAGGCAATAATAGCGCCACACTGAACAACGGCAATACCAGTGTTCATCATCATCCTTATCACAGCACCCCTACCCACCAACACCACGAATTCCAGCAGGAGCTGCTCTCTCCAACACATCCGCACCCACAACAGCAACAACAACAGCCGTTTCATGGTCAGCATCATCTCCATACGCCACAGCATGATAATAACAATAGCTTTCATGGGTCCCATCCCGATCTGCAAAAGACGATCCCACATCAAATGGAAATTTATCAACAACCTCAACCTCCACCTCAGGGTCACGAGTTAGTGGACCCACTCTTGAACCGACATTTGAATACTCAGGCGAACACTCTCCAATCCTCGCACCATCACCAACACCATCATTATCAACCGCCGCATACCTCACAAGCACCACCATACTATTATCAACAGCAGCAACAACAACCGCCACCACCACAACACAAACAATACCCTGATCAGCATCCTGATCCTAATACACCAGTCTCAATAGCAAGCTCTGCTCTAAACTCTGGCTCAGCTGCGTCTACACCTTCCCTATCATCACCAGCCTCGGCTCTACCTTACCAGAATAGCGATTACGCCTACATCAGCAACAACCCAGCTTTGCCTCATCTCCAGAAGCACACATCACCAACAGCCTCTTTCCATGTCCCCACTGCGCCAACTGCGCCAACGACGCCTTCTAGTGGACCACGTCTTGGCTCACCATCGTCGGCACAGAATCTCGGCACAGGCCTACCGCTAGCTATGGCTCCATGGACCACCTCCAATGGTAAGATGTTGTCAAGCCAATATCTTTGAAAGCAACAGTGCGACTGTACATGTCAGGGGAGTTTGTAGATCGCGCTACAATTTTTAGATCCGTCCTTGACAAAATGTGGTCAATGACAGGGATGTGGTTGAGAAAGTGTGCTGTATCTCTCGCTTTTCTTCAAACGAGTCCAAGTTGTGCTTTCTTTTCGTTTCTTTCCTTCCTTCCTTCCTTCTTTCTTTTTTTTTTCTTTTTTTTTTTTTTTTTTTTTATAAACATAAAAATTAATTCCTTTTTATTGCTGTTATTTGTCTCTTCTTTTTTCTTCCGCCTTACTCTATAGCCTCATCAAGTGAGCAGGATATGCAGCCAAGACAACATCTTCAACAACAGAGCCATGCTGCTCCACCTCCATCTCATCCTCACCCTCAGCAACAAGCACAACAACAATATTCCCAGTCTGCACGCGAGCTTGCTCACCTGAGTTCGTTTAAAGGGGATCGCTCGTCATATCATCAGGTATCGCAGCCACAACAAGCCTCAACGCATCTGTACAGGTAAGCAAAAAAAAAAAAAAAAAAAAAAAAAAAGAAGCTCCAGCGGCCTGCGTCACCTTGTTTACAGAAGATCTCAGCAATGAAGCACTTCTGTCTGAGTTTTTATGTGTAATAAATAACATGTGGAATCATTTTTGCGATTTTGCATGTAATTTTTGGAATAGTCCGCAAATTCAAGATCAACAACAGCAACATCATTCGCAACAACATCATGCGCAAATGTGGATTGGCGACATGTCTTCAGAGTCGTTCCATTCTCCACCAGAGTTTCTAGGTAAGCAAGCAGTTATGTTTGATTTGTGTGGGTGAAGTACAGTTTATGAACATTAAACAAAGTTCAACCATGGAGCATCGGGCATTGTTCTGCCAACTCTTTTCTATTTTGAAGAGTCTACGCTTATGCCAATATGCTTTTTTTGTTTTATTTGATTTGTCTGTGATTTGTTTGTTTGTTTGCTTGGACTTTCTTTTACTTTTTTACGTTTCAAACTTCATTTATAATTATTTGGATACTTTGGTCGTACAAAACATAATAAGCGGGGTAGGAACGCTTTATAAGGGTTACCAGCATAAGGGCAGAGACATCAATGAAGAGGGGAATCAGCTCATATATTTATTGTATGTATTTTATTGTATGTATTTTATTGCATTTTATTATATCGCATTACATTGCATTTGATTATATTTTATATTATGTTAATAATGTTAACACCGCTTTATTCATTCATTAATCGCTTGGCTCATTGTGGGTTTCATTTTCGTTCACCATCTAAAGCCTAGAATAATTTATGGGTAAAGGATTAAGGATGAAAGAATAATCTTTCCATGCACCTTATTGAAAGGGGGTGTTCGCGATTCATTAGTTCATGCGTTCACAAAAAAAGACGCGAAAGAGTTTTTGATTGGACCAAACATTGTACGACATTCGGAAGGGCATATATTATATATAATTTTGGATACAGAACAAAAAAAAAAAAAGCAGGAGTGACAAGGATCTCGCTGTTCGCATGATCTTATTCGGGTGATAGACAACAAGTCTAACAGCAGCGAAGAAGGGAAATGGATGGTGATAATCATGGGGACGATGAATGTAACACTTATTATACTTCTCCGCATTCATGCGGTCGTTTTTTTTTTTTTTTTTTTTTTTTTTGTACGTTGTATATTTGATCACGCGTACGCGGCTTGATCCCAATTATTATAAACTTTTTGTGTTTTCTCTCTTCGGCGAGATATGCAAACCGGTGACTTGTTAAAATCGAGAGTTTAAGCGAAGATAAAGAGGGAGAAAAAAAAGTTCAACGGAAATCAGAGAGCTGGTGTTTTTTTTTATTTTTTTTATTTTTTTATTTTTATTTTATTTTAAATCCCTCAACAAAACCCTGATTACCAGAAGCGCCAAAAATTAATAGAGCAATTCGGCTTACTCTAATTTCATTGCATGATTAATCTAGAACAATCTGATCGACAGCCTCACAAACAGCCTCGACCATTCGGTGCGCCTGACAGCGCCGATCATCCCGTTCATAATCCTCCATACACTACGACCGGTAATTATATGAATAGCCATAATGCCCCTGGACATGAACGACCAGTAAGTAACAGACTTTTATGTAGTATAGAGAGAAAGCAGCATAAGAAACAATTAGGAAAAAAGGCAGTCTTGTGGATAACTAATAACATTTTCGTGATATTCTTTTCAACATTAATCAGAGAGTACAATCTGGAAGACACCACGCTCTAGATCGCAATATCCTCGATTATTCTGAGAGCTACAACCCTCACGGACAGGAGCCACCACTAGTGACTCATCATACAGGAATGGCGTTCTTGGATGATATGTCGCTACTCTCTCCATCACACCCTTCCCAAACCATACAACCAGATCCTCAGGGGCAGTCCTTTCATCCTATGTTATTAAATACGGGAACTAGTAAAAATAGAATCTCAGGGTCATTAGACTCAGTCCCTATGGGATTGGCATCTCCAGCAATCATTCCTCATCCTGATTATGGTGCTGTTGCGTCCTACGTTCATACTCCTACAGCTTTCGTTTCAAAGGGTCGCTCATCTGGCAGCGGAGGGGGGGGCGACGCTCTACCTTCCCGACCGCTTCCACAACGTACTCAATCTGCTGGTGGGCGTATCACATCAACGCCAAAGCTTCATCGGACTCGGACAGGCTCTGCCATTTCTTCATCCTCCTCTCTTGGCTCTAGTGCTGTTGTGCCACCGACCACATCTGCCTTGGGTATTGCCAACAGTTCTTTTGCAAGCTCATCATCTGTGATTAGTACTGCTGCAGGTAACCCTCCCAACACAGGTGCGACCACGGCTATTGGAACAGGATCCGGAGTCGACATGGATGAAGGAATATCTGTATCTCCTTCGTCCTCGTTTTCGTCTTCAGCATCGAAACCACGACCAAACAATCATCCTCGCAAAGCTGTTGCCGCAAGGGTATATGAGTGCACGTTTCCTGGATGTAACAAAGCTTATACACAGCTACACAACTTAAAGTCACATGAACGCACAGGACATACCCCTGTCCAGAAACCCAAACCCTTCCTCTGCATAATCTCTGGCTGCACTAAGGCCTTTTCACAGCGAAAAAGTCTGGCGCTTCACATCCGAGCTTCACACAAAGAATATAAATTCAAACCTTTCAAATGTGCGCAACCTGGATGCCAAAAATCTTACACACAGCTACATAATCTCAGGACTCACGAAAAGACCGTGCATATGTTGGATCTTTCGAAAAAGAGGATTCGAAATCCCGCTCCAAACACAGAGAGCACTGAGGAGAATATGATCGGAGTACATGAGGACGATGAAGCCAGTGACAACGATAAAAATAAAAAGAGCAGCAACATTAACAACGACAAAAACATCAACAACGCAACTATTGATCATGTTCATCAGGATGAAGTCGTCGCTACTTCGAATTCAGAGGGCCATTCAATTTCAAACTTTTCGAGCAGAGGTTATAACTGTAATAGCAGTAACAAAGGATCTTTTGAACAGAGAATGGAGTTAAACTATAGGAATATAAATGAGCTCGGTGGTTACGGCGCACGCCGAGAAGCCGAGGGAACCTATGAAGATGAGGGACATGAAGGAAATATTAAAAATGGAGGCTATGTAAATGATTAGGTTAAAATCTCTCATCTCATACAAGGACACATTTGCTGCTGAACACAACGCATAATACACAACATGACACACAACACACATTCAGGGAGAAAAGCAAAAATGTACAAATACTGACGTGTGCAAAAATTAGTTACGCCCACGCTATTTTTTCCTCCCTTCTTCCTTTGAGAGAATTGTAAAATAAATAGTATAGCAATCACATATTCATAAAAGTTATATTGCTGTGCCCTCCTCAAATGCATCAGAGCAACGCACAACCCTCTTTCGAGTGCACGTTTGCGCGCCACGAACTATAAAAAAACAACGCGCTTTCCAAAGTGGGCCGACCATGCTCGCAATTGCTGCGCCGAGACTTTCGGGTTTGATCTGGCAGTCACGTTATTCATGACTGAACAGGCACGACATTGCTCTCCATGTGATGTGCATCATCTTTATTAACACAAGGTCTCATATACATGCAGCAATATTACATCTAATCACCGTACGACATTTAACATTTTAAAATAACATCAATCCATCGAGGCGATCATCATCAAGGCCTAAATATACCAGAATGGGTTCCATTGTCAAAGATATTCAGGAGATTGAAAGTACGGCAAAAGATTTTTTTTTTTTTTTTTTTTTTTTAAATATAAATCTTCTTGGCGGCTAAGCATTCTAACACGATGGTATCAATATACCAGCATGTTTGCAATAACATTTCGTGATAATCTGTCCAACTTTTTCATTGATTATTTGAAAAACTCTGATTATTGACTCCTTGTTGCTTTATTATTATTATTATTATTATTATTCACAAAGTTCTTCGTCATTACCATCTGGACAAGACAAATCCGGACGTTTGGGTTGATGAAGAAGATTTGCCTTCCTGGGTTCATGATGATGATATCAATACTGATCATGGTGGACGAACGACCCCTAGGGAGCCAACTCGAAGTGGAAGAGGGGGAGGAGCAACAGGAGGTCCATCTTCACAGGATGATGAGACATTTACTCTTTCAGAGCAGGTCGATCTTTTAGGGTTAATCAAAGGAAATATCTTGAAGTCTAAGAACGTACGAGGAGATAGTAAGTTGAGATCAAAGGCGAGTTTTGAGTGTTTGGTTTATTCATACATACACATTTGTATATAGTATTATGATGTTTACAAAACGATTTTTTTTCTTAACTATTTTTAATAGCTAATCTCATTTCTTCCACACAAAAGAGTTTTAATCCACAACGATATCTTTATGCAGTGCATGCAGATACCTCTTATGATGACCTTTGTGTGGGTGTTGATAATCTTCAGGCTTCAATTGCTCAAAGATCCTCTGCTCTGAAGGTCTTGGTACAAAATAATTTTAATCGCTTCGTAAGCGCCAAGAATGTGATTGATTGTAATGTTCAGTATTTTTGTTGACGGTTTTTTTTTTTTTTTTTTTTTTTTTTTTTTTAAAAAAAAAAAAGTTGGAATGATTCCTTCAGTTGGGAAAAATAATATTCTATGTAGCGTTGACTCTCTTCCTTTCTACATATATATATATCTATCTGTATTTTTTAACTCTTAGCTGTTTATGATGACATGAAGGAAAAGACTCTTAATGAAGCCCAGGATTGGGGTACCAACCGTCTAAATAATATCCTTCGAGGTAAAAAAAAAAAAAGCTTCTATTTCTCGTTCCTGTTAAATGTTTTATATCAATATATTACTTTAAGCTCACATTCTACAACCTCTTTTTTTTTTTTTTTTTTTTTTTTTTTGCTTCTACACCTTGAAACCCCATGATGCATATCGTCAGAGTCATATGGAAAGGCGCATGAAGTAATCAATCCTCTTTTAGAACGCCGCGAGAAAATCGAAAAGTTGCGCTCAACAGTTGGACTTATGGAGCCTTATCGACTCTTCTTCAACTTGCCCAATACACTTCAAGAGAGTATCAAACAAGGAAAGTATCAACAAGCAGCTCGCGACTATAATAAAGGCAAAGTGTTATTAGCGCAGGCTTTCCCTACCAACACTGGGGCAACAACAGCACCATCGACCTTGAGCAGCGATAATGCATCGACCCATTCACATTCATCAACATCTAATCTGATTGAGACGAAACGAAGGGTGTTTGATAGAGTTTGGTCCGAGGTTGAAAGGATTGTGGCCAAGCTGAGAGCGGATTTGGAATCACAGCTAGAAGAACCCTGGCGTGGAATGGAAGAACATGAGCGCAATATCAGGTTAGTTTTTGCCTTTTTTTTTTTTTTTTTTTTTTTTTTTTTTTGTAAACTTTTATTTTTTCAAGTAAAAATGTAACTTTCCTCCCCTCCTTTTTTTTAGACTTTTATTTGAATTGGACACCACAAAAGATCCTGTATGGCATTGTTTATCCAGTCAATTTCGTTGGATTAAAAAGATTATGGTGGAATCGTATGATGAACAGACAATTATTGTCGAAGGTAATGAAAAAAAAAAAAAAAAAAAAAAAAAAAAAAAAAACTTATGTCAATGCTTTTGGTGTTTAATGGTTGACTTTCAATCTTTATTTTACAAATTTCATAGAGCTCCGTAAGAGTGATGAATATCTACAAAGTCAAAATATGACTGTGAGTGGCCGTACGGCTCTCTTCAAGCAGATATTGGCAAATGTAAATTCTACAGAATTCGAAAGCATGTTTGGTAATACTTCGGATTGGATATGATTGTTTAGAACATACTCTGTTAGATCAGCCTATATTAGTAGTTGGATTATGGTTAACAGTGATTTCCGTGTCTATTTTCCCTCCTTCTGCTCAACATACAGCCAAGGAACCTGAGGTCAAGATTTGGCTTGCAATATCAACAGGTGTCAAGACCCTTTCTGAGCTCTTGATGCGACTTTTGCCAGATTTCTGGAAGCTGGCAACCACTTTCATGGAAGACAAGCTTCAGAAAGTTCAACCTCAGAAACGACGCACGGGCGGGAATACTGTTGATACTCAGAAGGTTGCACAGTGTCATGGGATGGTGAGGGAGATTATTGAGCTTTATTCATCGCAAATGACCTCAATGCTGATCGACAACCTGATTCCAGAGCCACAGCCCCTTCCTAATGATGAAAAGAATCATGGTCAACAAGGTGAAGGAGAGGAACGAGATCAAGCTCAACGTATATCGCGCAAGGAAAATTCTGTGGTGACAGCATTTTTCTTGAGCAAAATGGTGACTGAAGTCAGTAACTGTGTTAATGATGTGAATGGCCTGAGCATACGTGGAGGCGCCTTCATGGTCTTGGTAGACTTGATGCAGCGTGTTCGTTGGAAATTTGTAGAGGTCCTCTGCGAGCTCTGGGGCGAAGGTAAAATTTTCTACTTTTGCTGTTGCTCGTTCGGAAGAGTGGTCATGTATTGTTCGAATATGCTTTTCATCTCTTTTGCTTTTTATTAAAAATTTTTACTAGATGCCAAGGTCTTTTATAAGCACGAGGATTGGACCCTTCAGTCTGAGAACTCACAGATTACATTGTTTGTGGAGCTGTTTTATCAATTCCATGAATATTGTCTTCGCTCTGCTTACAAGTATGCCAGCATCTGGACTGCCACGACAGAGGATCCTGTTCAACATGACGATGGCAATGCCGTAGTCCCCACTCAATACACAGAAAAAATCCGACAGATGTTTTTAGATGCGTTATATTCATTCCTGGATGGACTTGTCCATTTAGCATTTGCTGATGCAGAAAGATCAAACCAACAACAAAAACAGCAGCAGCAGCAGCAGCAGCAGCATAGTGAATATGATCTTAGTGGTCCTGGTGCAGCATCCTTTGAGAATTTGGCTGGCGGAAAGAAATCCAAACTTATTGACATCACCGAACTCGACCCACGAATCTTGATCACAATCAGCAATTTGAGTGAACTTCGGGCAGTGACCATTCCCAAACTGTTGGCTGATTTTGAGAGGACTTGCGATATTAGAATGATGGATGATGGAAAGGTAAAAAAAAAAAAAAAGCATTAACGGTACTAGCGGTATCAATTCGAATTATTGTTTATCTACTTGATATGAGTTTTTTTTTTTTTTTTTTTTTTTTTTCTTAAAAAAAAAAAAGATTGGAAAGCCATTGACACAATTTTTTTTTGTATATAAGACATTGATTGAGGTGGTAGATCAATTGGATAGTATCTTGTTTGAGGACTACATCAAGCGCAAGGCCGTGGTAGCAAGCCGAGTAATCACAGATGGTATTTTGTACGGGGGTATTGATTGGCAGTCTACTCCAAAGCCTACTGGTAATGTGTTTATTTGCAAAGCTTTTTGATTTATTACCACAAAAAAAGCTTCTTTTAATTTTTTCTTTTCTTTTCTTTTTTTTTTTGTGCTACACAGGCGTACATTCGTTCATGTATGAAGCACTGCTCTCGCTTGTGGTGGTGCATGCTCAGATCAGCGAGATCGCGCCTCCACTTGTGTTCCGTGCACTGTCTGCATTGTTAATCAACATGGCTCAGGATTGTCTACGGTGTTTCCAGCAGGTGGAGCAGTTTGGAATGGGAGGAATGCTGCAAGCAACGCTGGAGATGGAGTTTATGAACCATACATTATCTCAATACCAGAGTCCATCTTCGGATGAAGTTCTGCAAATGATTTATGATACCATTGACCGAGCCTATAGGCCAGAAGGTGAAAACCTACAGAATGAAATGACGGCACTCAAGAAGCTGCTGGCGGATGCTCGGCAGTCGACTCAGATGCAGTTTATGTGTTTTAAGAAACCAAGGTGAACAGATTTAATCAAACCGCAAGTTCAAAATGTAGTAGAGGGAGAAGGAGAAGGAGAAGGAGATAAATAATAATAATAATAGTAAAAATTGAACGTATTGTACAATTAAGAAAGTGAAGGAGAAGGGAGTGAGGAAGAAGATGTCAATCACGGATTCAGCGGTTGATGTTAGAGATTGTTAGAGATCAATCAAAGCATCAAAGCTTGTTATTTTTGTACTGTTCAATGTAGTTAATGTAGTTGTGGACAAGTGGACATGAGGTGTGGATATTCTGAACATGTACACAATTTTGTGTACATGTCAGGATGATTAAATGAGAAAATAGAATAAAGAGTATAAATAGATTCAAGGAATCCAGGGCCAGGGCTTCATAATTGGGTCAGGCCAACTCGCTCTATCTTATTTTAAATCGTTTAATGAAAACACAAATTCAAGATACTTATTTTTATTTGAAGAATGAAGTATACATGCAATAAATTTTTATTTGTTCGTTATACCATCTTGTTCCATCATCTTTCTTTTCTTTTTTTTATGCCGCTAATGTCTTTTCTTCGGCCCTCATCTGCATCTTGATCTACTCATTTGTCCTTTGCCTTTCTTGTTATTTATTATTATTATTTTATTATCATTATTGTATTAGTATTATCATTCTATACCCTTTTGTTTTCCTACTCTTCTCCTCTCTCTTACGCAAAATACGCACAAACCTTTTTCACAGGCGATAAAAAAAAACAGTAACCATTCACCCCATGGCAGTGGCAGTGTCAGGCAACTTGTGCAGTTGTCTTTTCCGATATGTCGTCCTTGGCTTCTTAGCCTTTTCGATAGTCTATACCACAGGATCGATATTGTTCCCAGACTTGAGTTCAGCGGACCTTCGCAAGAATGCAGCTGGTCTGATTCAACGTGGAGCTGGCGCTGCAGGTGTCTCATCTTGGATTGATTCTCAAACCCCCACGTTTGAAATTGAAAGCATTCATTACAGTAAACAACAGATGGTCATTCAGAATGCTCAACAACGCAAAGGTAAATTTTATCCCTCCCTCATATTGACCTATTGACCATATTGAATCAATTTTTTTTTATTGATGTGGCTTAATATGTGAATCGGCTTTGACTAATCAAAAGAACTCCGCTTACTTCTTTTAACCTGTATCATGATGATCGCATTTTAAAATAATATATATCATATAATATGTATCATATAATAATCATTATCAGGAGCAGATGCGGCTAGTTTGCATAAGGTGGATGAAGATTTTTATTTATCCAAGGTTTTTAGCACGGCAATGCAACCTTCCAAGGTGATTCCTTACTACTTCCGGGCTGAGGGTGTCTTTGATAAAGAGGAAGTGACAATCACCACTTTAATCACCGAGAACAGGTAAAACAAAACCAGCCAAAATCCATCGTATAATCAGAAAGGGAAAGAGGGGGAAAAGGGATTGGCGGCTTTTGATGTCTACTCTCCTCCCCCTTTTTTTGTTTGTTGCTAAAACTTGCAAAAAAAAAAAAAAGAAAAAAAAAATTAAGGATGTTACCAAGAGTAACAGCAGCAAAAAGAGATTGTAAAGAGCACAGCAGATTTACAACGTGACATTCAGCGCAGAAACATCAGGAATTTATCTGTCTATGGAAGGTGGTTGATGAGAAGTGGCCTCTTCCGGTTTCTTCCAGGCAGAAAAAAAAAAAAAGAGCTGCTCATTTAATTCAAGGGAACCCATACAATTATCTTATTTATCACTAAAAACGAAGAGAAACGTTACAGAGAAGCAAAAAAAAAAAAAGGGGGAGGGGGGGGGGGAAGAAAGGGCAAATACAAAAGTTATGTCGTCATATCCAGAAAGAGACTGTGAGGAAGCTCTACGTTGAATTTTTACTCATAATTTGACTCAATATTGCCCTTGGTTACATAGATTTGGTGTTTTCACGAAACTAGTGCGCAACTATCGTGGCCCCATCTCTGTCAGTATCTGGATTCGGGATGATGAGACAAAGGATCAACATTTCCAGGCATTGCACGACCTCTATGAGTCTGAACCATTGTTGAAACAATACGTTGATGTACACGTGGTAGTAGATCGATTCGATTTCCAGCTCAACATGTGGCGCAATGTGGCTCGTCTGTTTGCTCGAACAGATTACTTTTTGTTGCTAGACGTTGATTTCCACATCTGTACAGATCTGCGTAAACATCTTCAGGAGTCCGCTCAAGCAATGCAATTGTTGCGTGAAGGCTCAGCTTTGATTTTGCCAGCATTCGAGTACACTCATGAAGAAGATGGTGTGGATTCTGCCACATTCCCAAAGGAGAAAGGGCCTGTTGAAAAGTTAGTGTTGGATAAAAAACTGATGGCATTCCATTCTGCCAAGTTTGAACCAGGTCATGGAGCTACCGATTATCAGAAATGGTACAGGACTACAAATGAAATTTACAAGGTTACAAAGTTCAATCACAAATATGAGCCATATGTGATCTTGAAGAAAGAAGGTACACCTTGGTGTGATGAGCGATTTGTCGGCTATGGTGCTAACAAGGCGGTAAGTCTTTTTTTTTTTTTTTTTTTTTTTTTTTCTTTCTTCAAATGCTTTATTTTGTTTATAATATTCGTTTAACTCATCAATTGTTTCTCTTTTCTGCATTATGGAATAGGCATGCTTGTATGAGATCTACATCTCTGGTATTGATTATTATGTCCTGCCGCAGGATTTCTTGATCCATCAATCTCATGCCTATCCCGAATCAAAGCGTTCAGGCGGTGTAAGTTATTATACTGCTTCTTATTTACTTTCAAGCTTTATATATATATATTATAAATATGACAATAACTAACCTTTTACATATTTCATCGCCTCTTTTTTTTTTCTCTTCTTCTCTAGCGCAAACTCAACGCTGAGCTATATGCTGCGTTCAGAGACGAATTGTGCTTCCGGTATGCCAAATCCATGTACTTGGCTAACGAGTTATCGACGAAGAAAGCCAACAATATGCGTTCTCAATGTTCCGCTCTCAAGGGATTCAAAGCCGCACTCGACTCCTTCCCTCAGATGTGGCCCACTAAACCTCCAGTTGCCTCATTGCCAGGATCAAAGTAAAGGAGGAAAAGAAAATACGGATGTGATATATGTGAGAGGACGAGAGAGAACCGCAGAGAAGGTGTTTGAGTTATGACTTTTTGATGAAGCAAGTAGCTTCGAAACATAGACAAATTGAGAATATTAGTTACACCATGTATTATCATAATAAAAAAAGATTGGCGATGTACATGTATGTCTCAGTTGGTATTTCTTAGGAGAATGACTCGTACAACAATATTTGAGATACATAGCCTGAAAAAAAAAAAAAAAAAAAAAAAAAAACTAACAAAAAGAGTCAGTAATACATCGCCACACAGAGTTGATGCAGAAATGTAGTGTAGGAATGATGAGTTCTTCGTCTCGTCTTGGGCTTTCCTTGCAAGGTCGTTGGATGTTTCTTTCAGGTTTTGACTACCATTAACAGAGCGAATCGAACTTGTTGGGTCTTCATAGCCGGGAAAAAAAAAAAAGAAAAATAAAAAAGACCATTCTTCATCTGTCCTTGTCAAGTGGACTAGAGTCTGATCATTTACTTTGCTTGGCTCCCTTTACTCGATTTTTTGTTTAAGAAAAAACGTCGTCGGTTGATACAGAAAGTTTTCTGATTTCAGTAATTTTTTTTTTTTTTTTTTTTTTTTAGTGGTTCAGCATTCAAAGCTGTGCTAACCCGTTTAACATACACGATAGTACTTTAGTAGGTTAGTACCCACGAGCCGATGAATCTTCTTGGCAAGAGTTTGGTGATCCTGATGAGGAAAGCATTTTTCATTATTATATTTTCAATTAAAGGTAAGTTAATCTATTGTTAATAAAGCTCAAGCATGTAGTAGTTTGTCCAGTCAAGAGATCCTAGCTTTCATACTGTTGAGTATTTTGGCTTTTCTTTCATAAATCATGGTCTGATGGTCATGGATGCTACTCGAAAATCAGAGAAATAAAAGAAAGTACGCTTCCGGTTTCTTATTAACATGAACTAAAGCTACATTCAAATGGACATTCCTGGATTGGAAAAAGAAAAAACCATATACGGTCACCATTGCGAGATAAACACATCCGACAGCCTCAACAGCTTCCTTCTTTTTGCACAGCTCAAATATATCAAAACTGGATGCAATATGAGGGTTTTGCAAGTCCATACTTGGCTGTGCTACGGTCAGCTTTCATCGCTAAGCTTTTTGAGCTTAAAAATCGGCAATTAGGCTCTTTTCTATAATTCAAACAATCTGAACAAAAAGTTTCCCTAGGTTGTCTTACTTGAACTTCATAATGATATTCTGGTTATCAATATATATATATATATTTGTATGCTAGAAAAGGAGAACTGCCTGATATCGCTACTAGCTTGCGATAAATCATAGTTACTCAAGCTTTTGGATCAGCACAAGGTACGATGGTAATGTGTAGTGACAGGTACTATCTTTTCGATCCTTCTTGAAAGTTGGATACAACTTCATGCGAGTAGTTCCAGGGTGAGAATCGTTCCCCCAAGATGTCATTGCGTTACTCAGTTAGCCTTAGTCCAGAGTCTCCTGTACATCAAAAGCCATGGAAAAACACGTTACCTCATCGTTAGGGATCTATAGGTCTACTATGGCTCCAACATCACAGCCTGTGCCTTGACTAGGGGGAAAAAAATGTAAAGGCCGCCCTAAATAATCTGTTCGACCCCACTCTTGAAGATATCAGTCCTCCACCAGCTATCTCTTCAACTGCAAATGACAAGAGCAAGAGAGCAGGAGTCGAGGAAGAGAAAGTGAGAAGAACAAATTGCTGAGGTCACGAAGGGGCTGTAAAATGTGGAAGCGCTTGAGCAGTATAAAAAACTACTTGTAGCTGTGAGCAATATTGATAATACCAACTACAAAGCATCATACTTACAATCCGTTGATCTTACCCTCAGGAATGCCTTCATGTCAAAGGAGTATAGCACATCTTCAACCTCCAGGATGCCTTCGGTCCAAAATTATATGCCTGTGATCCATTTTTGCTATTTTGAGCATCCTGCGCACAGTTTAGGAAGGGGTTTGGGGAGGTATATAAATATGTACATATTAATAAGAAACAATCCGGTTTCTTGGAATTTCGTGTGTAATCATCACCCTGAAAATAAAGGTTTATCCTATTGAACTTTGTTCCTATAGTTTCCTACAAACTAGAAAGCCTGTTTAAAAAAGGCTACAGCTGCTTCTTTCAAGCAGTTCCTGATGGGCCTTTGAAGGCTGGAGTTGGTGGTCCAGGACAAATCTCATTCATAGAAGATAGATCTTAGCACATAGCCTTTATACTAGTTCTGGAGTTGTTGAGTGCATGTGCGCCAATATTCATGAAGACAGTAACAGAAGATACCCTGTCAGTTTAACATTTTAAACAACAGGCTAATATGAGCAACACCAAAAATGGCCATTCAAAAAAAAAAAAAAAAAAAAAAAAAAAAGGTTAAAATAAAAAAGAAGAAAAAGAAAAAAAAGAAAAGAAACAGAAAAAAAAAACACCATTGCTGTTTCTAACTAAGTGGTTGGTCATGGTTTTCATTTTTTTTTTTTTTTTTTTTTTTTCTTGTTGAAAGTGTTGCAAGTGATAAGTAGACATCGCACTCAAACAAATGCTGAGGTTTCATCGCGAACAAAGATACAGCCAACATCTGGCCTACGAATCTGTTGGTCTAGCCGCTCGACTCGAGTCTTCATCATAATCCCTCCGCCATTACTCGCCCGTCTTGGCTCTCCATGCTGACCCGGATCAATCTGACCTTCAGGGATACCATAGCCGCTAAAAGTGCCTGCACTGCCATTCGAACTAGACTTGTATGCTCCATAGCCATTAGTCGATGAATGCCTCTTTGTGAGCGTTACCCGAGTTGGTGACGACGATAAAGCCTCTGACACAATAGTGCCTGAGTTAGCTGGAGGTGGCGGGACATAAAGAGGGTGAATGGACGCCGTTGTCGATGTTGCCGCTGAAGAGCCAGTTAAAGGGCCATGCATGCCACTATTACTATAACTACCATTGTTACTGTTGATACCTGTTGCCTCAAATGACTGCCTTGTTATTCCTGAATCAGATGAAGCAGACACCTTCGCTATCATGTCGTGAGCACCAACTCCACTACTACTTCCATTGTTATTGTTAGTCTCAGTGCTATTGGAAGTACTTCCGTAATTGTTTCCAACCCCATTCGCTCGTACGTGTCCATTTGCTATCGGAGGCGTCATATGCATATCTCCGTCATTTTCCACAACGATGTTTCCTCCAGATCGTCGTGATTGACTGCCTACAGCATGGCCTAACGCAGAGTTCTCCACTAATTCATCGAATTCCTGACCGCTCTCCCAACGCCTCCAAGCCTCACAAAAGCCTTTCTCCAAGTTTCGTGTCCACCGCAAGGTATCAAAGAGCAAAGATCGGTCTCGATTCTCCCACAATTTCCTTCGCAGTTCAATCAGTGGGCCATGGCCGATCCAATGGACAACGGATTGTTGGGATTGTACCAAAGGCTGATGTGTTTGTTGCATTGGATGTTGCTGTGTGTATATTGCCATTTGATGTTGTTGCTGCAATAGTTGAGAATGCACTACAGGGGCACTATTTCCATTTATGGCGCCAATATGGCTCATTGCTCCGTTCACTGAATCAGGTGTGTGCAATGGTTGCGTCAATGAAGTGCTGGAAGTATTCTTCATGATCTGTGCATGGTTAATGCCGTTTGTTGTTCCAGTGCCAGCTACCATAGAGTTAGTAAGACCAAGCCTACTTTTTAGAACATTGTCTTCCACATACTCCCACCGGCAACCCTGCGCAAAGCTAACTGCTCGGTCTTCGTATTCCTCCTCAGTGTTAACGATCATCTCGTTGCCGTGTCCAGTGGCATAAGCAATGCTGGCACCAACCCGAGAACACATCTTATGAGCATACTTTGGGAACGTGAGGATCGGAGTGCCGCTCCATAGAATATCTGCAGCAGTTGTGTGAGCATTACATTCAGGAGTGTCCAAGAAAAGGTCCGCAATACGACCACGATGGATGTGAACCTGCTTAGGCGCCACATCTGTGAAAATTACACGTGATGCGACTGAAGGGCCAGCCCATTCGTTGGCCGTGCGAAGCAAATGAGGCTCCCCAGCAGCAGGGAATCGTAGTAGCCAGAGGATGGAGTTGGGCACTCGAGCCAAAATCTGTAGCCACACTTTGAAAATTAGTGGATCAATCTAAAGGGGGGTTTTTTTTTAAAATAAAAAAAAAAATAAAAAAAAAAGTTAAAACTCAATGGTTTGTCCAAGTACTATGTGCCGGAGAATCTGTATGATTAAATAAATACCTTATATAGCTGGTTAAAGTTGGCAAAAATGACGGTATTCTCGGCAAGGCCAGGGAATAATTCCTTACGCATCTGCCATCGTCGGTCTTGCTCCAAAACCCAATTCCACTCAGGACTCATAGCTAAATGAGGCTCAGTCGCCATAAGCAATCGCTTTTCCTTTTCCTTCTCCTCCTCACGGAAGCCTTGCCGGTGATCGTTGACAAAATAGCTATGAGGCATGTATATAAACTTTTCTGTGTAGACCCAGTCATCGCCGTTATCTTCGGGATCCACTTCACCCTCAAAATCAGAGAAATTCTGATGGGAGAAGGATAGTATGTTTGGTGTCAAGGGGTTGGTAGAACCTTGCTCCACCTTAATGTCTTTTTCGGCATCAGTACTAGGTCGTCTCTTTGGTCCCGTGCCTCCTCGAACTGACTCTCCATTGACACGAGTGGGGTTCTCAAGGATGAAATTTCGTTGTTTTCTCTTCCATGCGACTCCCGTCACCATCTCGGGTGGGCAAACTACAGGATCAGCAACAATATAGTCGCACCAACCAGCACCCAATGTCCCAGCAAAACCCATAAAGGATACCTGAACGGGACTAGGTCGTGCTGCAAAAATCTCGTTCCTAGCACCTTTGGTGTACCCATTCAGATTGACGAGCACATGAATGCCATCTTCAACAACCCGTTCGACAACTGCCTGGGTGCTCCAGGTGGAAACCTCGATAAAATGTTCAACTTCGCTTTGAATCTTAACTCTATAGGGTGTTTGATCGGCTGGGGTGGTTGCATAACAGAAAACTTCGAAGCGAGTCTTGTCATGCATACCAAAAACACTCTGCATCAGATGCGATAGCGGATGGTTGTTGAAATCGCTGCTAATGTAACCAATCTTGAGACGTGGGGAGGGCGGTGCAGGGGGAGGGTACACAGTACTTGGTAGCCAATTAGATCCCAAAGTTCCATGTGTAATCCGAAGAGCATTCCTATGTGAAATCAGGCGAACCTGTCGAGCGCTTAGGGGATAGGTGAAAGTGTGGAATGGAAGGACGGTTGGTACTGGAGGAGGAGCCATTCCATGAGGAAGCATTGGTCGCTGATATTGCTCCTTGATTTCCGAGCTAGGACGTCGGGTTCGCGTTGAATTGGGACTATACTTTTCCAAATACCATTTACGTTGAAGACGCCTCGATGCCCTCTCTATTAGCCGAATAATCCAACCGCCTTCATTTCGACGATCCTTTATATCTGTACGACTAGCCCAACCATCCAATCGTGCCTGCCAAAGGGCTGCATCGCGATGACAGGGGTCTGAATCCAGAAATGCGCGTAAGATCACCTGCCACAACTGCTGACGGAATACTCTTACCAATCCCATGCCCCAGACAGCCCCTTCTGTTAGCTGCTTCTCAACAATTTCGGAAACTTTACCCATAAAACCAGAGGTCGGTCGCTTCTCTATTGACGAAACATTTATAATCTCTAATCGGCCGGAGGCACTAACGCTCACGGCACCAACTCCGCCTCTTCCACGCCAGTCACAAACGCCACCCAGCGCATTAACCAATCCACAGACAGCTTCAGAAAAGTTGGGATTGATCTCCACAGCACGCTTGTACCACTGGATACTGTCTTGAACTTTACCCAAATCTTTGACTGCGTTACCGAGGTTGGCCAAGGCCACATCAAAGCGAGGGTTGCACTCCACCGCCTTCTCGTACATTGCGACGGCCTCATTCAATTGTCCCATGTCCTTAAGCAAAGATCCCAGGTTAGTGTAAAGATGAGGATGACGTGGATCAAGCTGAAGACCATAATTGTAGAACTGAAGAGCAAGTGCTTGTCCAGTGATTGGATATGCTGGCGCAGCTTGAGTAGGAATGACCAAACCATTTGCCTGGATCTGAAGCTGCATAGGTTGAGCAGGAGCTGGATACGAAAAGATCTTTGCTGTGGGTGGGATTGAGCTTAATAAGATCCCTAAATTGTTGCAAGTCGAAGGCGATGGGTTTAAAGCCAAACTGAGATAGTATAGCGGCAGCAGTATCGACATGGTTGGAATAAAATTGTCAGCCCCAGCTAGTTCCTTCGCCTTGGCAGGTTGATCCATAACATCCTGGAAGAGCTTGGCCAGAGTCAAAAGGATAGTGCTAGTGGTCTGATTAGCCTGTTGCCAAAGCGAGGTGCTTACTCCATTCTGAGTACTTGAAACTCCAGATTCATTACAAGACGCTGCTAGAGCAGCCAACCCCGGAAGGATACCACCAGTGTCACGAAATACAACCTGTGTGACTTGAAGAGCCTCTTCGGGGCGGAGTAGCAGCATGGCGCCATCAAGCTCACGAGGTGTAGGCCGAGGGTAGCCAGCACTCATTCTGGTCAAGCACATAAGCTCATTCACCACTTGCATTGCCCCAATACCTGGGCCAAACACAATCTCCAAACTTCGTTCGTACTCTCGGCGTGCACCGGCAACATCACCAAGAGCATACTTGAGGTTGCCTTTAGCATAGAGTAAATTCTGGAGCCTTGGAGTATGTTGAATCGGAAGCGGTGGTGGCTGCTCTCCTGTAGGGTCAGAAGGATCTGGTAGAACGTTTACCTCTACGAACTCACAGATCTTGAGCGCCTCCTTATATCTAGGAGGTTGCTGAACGGTTGCTGGCTTTTCAGTTTTTGGCTTTGATGACTCTGTTTCAGAAGCCACAGCCTCGCTAGTTGAGGCCTCCTTGGGTGTCTGGGCCTGAGACTCTGAAACACCGTATCCTGAGCACAAAACCCCAATCAAATTCTCGACGGCGTCCCAATATCCAGGTCTCAGTCGAACGGCCTTCCACCACCATGATTCGGCCTCAGACTGCCGTCCCATGCTTCGCAAAGTCGTACCAATGTTACTCATTGCCTCCACATAGTTTGGATCCTTGGTCAGGATGGCATGATTATACTCGAGTGACTTTCCGTAATTACGTTGAGTATAATGCACACAAGCAAGCAAAAGAAGCGTTGGCAGATGGGATGGATGGATTTGATGAATCATTTCCAGGATTGATACAAGCTGAGAGTCAGATGTCGGATTAGCTGCCTCTGTAGCGTACAATGTATGAGCATGTGCCAGTAATGCATCTAGTGGGAGTTCGCGAACACAAGGTAATGGGCATCTTAGGCTTATCTGTTTGTAGCAAAACCAATAAGGCAATCCTATCTGTACTTGGAAATATCCTTACCTCTCCATTCAGGCTTTGTCGGATCAATTTTCTCATGATGAATCGAGCCGTCTGCATATTGCACCTGAACATCCAACTCAAACATCACACGCGGCATTTGGATTTTGACAATTGTCTTTGGTCCCGAGTCAATGCTGGCCGTAGACTTTACAAGTTGCTGTTGGTGGTGTTGTTGTATCGCCTGCTGCTGATGTTGCTCCTGTGCTTGAGCGTGATGAGCATACAATATTTGCTGATGAAGTTGCTGTTGCTGCAGTTGGGCTTGAACTTGAGCCTGAGCATGTAACTGAGCTTGCTGTTGCAGTTGAAGCTGTTGATTAGTGCTCTGCGTTGGATACTGTAGGTGCGCTGCCGATGGGACAAGCTGAACATAGCCATTCATTGACACTTGATCAAATCCGGCTTGTCGGCTATGTGCAAGTTGCTGTTCAAGCGATGCGTGCAACTGATATTGAGCCGCTTGCTGTTGGCTTCCACTAGATAAACGCTGCTGCAGCTGCTGTTGCTGATGCTGTTGCTGCTGAATCGCATGTTGAATTTGCTGTTGTTGCTGGAGTTGAAGTTGAGCATGAGTAGGCTGGTACTGCACAGGTACGTGGGCGTGAGATAAGACTTGCTGTTGATACGCTGGTAAGACGCCAGAATAGTGTTGATGTTGGGATTGTTGTACATGAGGGTAAATGCCGGAGGTTTGTCGAGGATGCGGGTGCTGGTGAAGTTGATGTTGGTGCTGTCGATGTCGGTATTGTACTTGCTGCGGCTCTAACTGGGTTGGAATCTGGCTCCTATGTTGTATGTAGTCATGGATCGAGGTTTGTCCTGCTTGAGCCCGAAAAGCCTGCTGTGGTGCATAGAGAACTCGATCTGGCTTTTGTAGATCCTTATGATAGTATATTGAGTGTGCGCCTTGAGTAGACTGCTGCAATGCTGACTGGGTGTCTTCATATGGTGCCGTACCAGCGGCATTCAAGATGCTATCCAAATATTGATGATCAGAAGCGCTTCCTCGAGCTAATGCTCGTTGAAGCTCTGCATGATGGTAGGCGTCTACGCTTCCGGATCGCTCAAGTCGTAGCCAGCCTCGATCTTGATGGTAGTAGTAAGAGAGGGTGTTGGGTGAGGGCGGTGGTTGCATCAAAGGAGGAAGCTGTTGTTGCAGGTGTGCTTGATATGACTGTAAAGTCTTTGCATACTGTTGGGATTGTGCTTGCACTTGAGCTTGAACCTGCTGAATTTGTTGGATCTGTTGGATCTGTTGAATTTGTTGTTGTTGTTGCTGTTGTTGTTGTTGTTGTACAGCTGAGGTGTATTCGCGCACAAAGGCTGCTGCCGTGTTCTGAAGATCGTAACTAGTGGGCATATTAATGGTGTGTCTAGCTTGAGAAGAAGACATCTTTTGATGATGGGAAAAGAGAAGTGATGAATTGATCAGCATCAGAATCAAAATATATTATTTCATGTGGTCTAGGCCACTACTATTTAAAAAGATAATGATGAAAGAAATGTAGAGGGCTTTGTCGTGTAACAGAAAGTCCTTTCTTCTTCATCTGCTATAAGCATTGACATGTTGATCGACGCATATTGGATTGACTGTCCATGTGAAGGAACAATTGATTTACAGTATGCTGTGCGTACCTTGTCCGTGATGCGATGCAATATTAAAAATAAAAAAATGAATCAAGAGATTATTCAATTGCGATCAAATGCTATTAATCATGGAAAACAGGATATTAATATATTAAGCAGGTCGTTTGGACGATTGGAATCCAGATAATAATGATGACGATGACGATGAGAATAAGATTGATATTGACTACGAAACAAGAAAAAGAGAGAGATAAAGACGAAGAGAAAATGGGAAGTAAGGAGAAAGTACGCCTCGGCTTTTTGGCTTTGGTGTCAACAAAGACAGTAAAGAACAAAAGGGGGAAAAACGAATCCCGAGGTTAAAAATGGACTAGGCAATATTGACATGTCCGCTGTAGACAGACTGTGTGCACCACAACTCTGTGGACCTTTTTTATTAATCTCTGTTTGTCCTACTCCTGTCGATTCTCTCTTTAGCGCCATCGCATCACAGTTTAGCTCAGAGAAAGAAAAGGGAAAAGAACCGGACCCCCCATGGATGGTCCATTTCATTCCAAAAATAACAAAAAGAACATACTATCGAACTTTGGGACAGCACCTTGGGATGGGGCAGTGCCCATTCAAGGACCACAGTCATCAATAATATAATGTCATCCCACTCCAATTATAAAAAGAACATTAGAGGCTTTATGCAAGTTCAGCCAAGTGTTAACACCCAAACCCCAAATGCTCTCTCAAGTACCATTATGAAAGCAAAGTAAAAAAAAAAAAAAAAAAAAAAAAAAATGTATTACTGCAGTCAATTCAATCGGTGCTAACCGCATCAAGCTTCTTTCCTCGTAAAGATTTATATTTCGTTGCCACTCCAAAAAAAAAAAAAAAAAAAAAAAAAAAAAACTTTCGTCAAATGGTAATGCATTCATTTCAAAAAAAAAAAAGAACAGATCGTTGCCTCTGCCACACCACCACGAAGGAAATGACAATAATAAACAATACGCAGAACGTAGACTCAAAAGTAAAATGCTCATAAATAAAATACTCATAACACATTTTACTGAATACGACACAAAAAAGAAAAAAATTTAATGCAGCCAAAGCGGGACACATTTGTAGTTTTTTTCTTTTTCTTTTTTTTTTTTTTTTTTTTTTTTTCATGGTGCTTTTGACATGGAATGCAAAGTTCAATTGGTGTCATTCCCGAGTGGTTGCCATTACTTTTGAATGTATGAGGTAATATTTTACCTGTCAATAATAATGGGTGTTTGTCTCTAAAGTGAGAGAGACAGGGAAAAAAAAAGGCTCTTGTTCTTTTTCGTGAGCGCGTGAAGGGATTGAAGGACGATCGTGAGCAGAAAACGAATATAGCGATGAATTATGCGGGAGAGAGAGAGATAGAGAGACGTTAGAAGGAAGAACGAAGGAAGGGAAAAAAAAAAAAAAAAAAAAAAGTCGGATGAAAGAAAAAGAATAAAGAGAAACGAGACAATATCATTGAAACAAAAAAAATCTTTGAATTGTATAAAAATATTCTTTATTGAGTAAACAGATATTCATATTAATTTGAATAATTAGACTAATAACAAATTGAATAGTGAATTGAGACGAAAGCCTTACTTTATTTTATTTATTTTCAATGAATTACTATACCATTCTTGTTCACCTACACCATTTACGCACGCAGTTTTATCGACTGAATTGTTGCGGATGTAGCAAAGAATCGCCACATAATAGACAAGTCCCAAGGCAAGAAAGAGACATGAGATCAATCGGTAGTATTGAACATTTCGTCGGGTCCTTTGACCTCGGTATTGAAGAGTGACAGGACACTATTAGATTAGACTAGGGCCACGCTAGATAGCTAAGCTATCCAGCCCGCACGGGGCCTAAATGTCCAACAATACGGGATGCTGTGTCTGACTCTGAATGAAATGTCAGAGAGATAGTCATTTTAGATAAGGAATAGAATGACAGACAGAGAGAGGATCTAAAATGGACATCCTTGACTTGTGAAAAACACTTTTTTTGTAAAAAAAAAAAAAAAAAAAAACAACAACAACAACAGGGGTTAGAAAGAGAGAAGGGGCTACAGCTGTCTAGTCTAGCACCATGGCTATGGTAATGGTCATGAGGCCAAATCATCCGTTTTATTCCTACGGAGCTTACTCTGCCAAGTCTATGCCGCTTTTAATGAACACACGTTTACAATTACAGAAACTCGTTTAGAAACGTTTTACATCGTCAATTAACATTAAGCGGTGATGCTGAGTCGAGTTTCACTAACTGATGAGTTGTCCAGCCAAGCAGCTCAATCGATCCCAATGCATAGCCTACTGTTGTACTCTACTGCGCTCTCGAAAGCAGTTATGGTAGTCGATTCAACTCAGTCACATACACCCTATTGACCTTATTTGCAAACAAACAAAGCTGGGCATCAAATTCGTATTGACTTCAGCGCTACTTGACATCATTCTTGAGGAAAAAATAGAAAGGGTATCTAGCATCAGCCACGCTGTGTCTGCCCCGGTTGGCTCTCATTCTGCCTTGCTCTCACTCTCGAGGTTGTACTCTGAAGTATGTACTAAACGAACCAGGGTAGAAATCATTTGTTCCATGATGTTCTTAACATCTCATTCCTATCATGCAGCGACATATAGTTTATAACTGACCAAACCCGTAGATACCCCTGTCTGGACAGACCTCAATGCGTATTCAATTAGAAAATATGTGCTCAGGAGTGAAGATGCACAGACGGAGGCTAAGAAAGAGAGCAAAAACACACAAACGCACATTTCGGCTAGCATGCACGAGTAGAAATAGGCAAACGCACTAGTGTTCTGCCTGACAACAATGATGACAAGGTACGAAAGAGCGATCTCCGGCTAAACTCCGTGTTAATTAGTGCCGGGACCTTGATTTATAGTCATCTGGTGCATGTCCCTCATAGACAGGCTGAGTGTTACTCTTCAGGGTAGATCTTTTACATGTTCATTTTTATTCTCATTCATTATCCATCTTGCGCTACGCGGCGTAAACTCTCCTTGTGTTATAAACCTTTTGTTGATGCTTTACTACAAGTCTAACTTTATAATAATAATAATAATAATAATAAAACAAATGCCCAAGACGTCCAAGATCAGTCCTCATCTTTCTTTTTCGATGCGACAGAGATGATTACTAGCTCGGACAATGGACGTTAAAGACGTTATGGTATTTCACCGGTGAGATTCCAGATTCAAGAAATGTTACGCGACTCAGCCGTTTATGGATAGCCATGTAATCCACCTTTTTTAAACCCAATTGACTATTGCCACGTCCAATAAGAGTCGCGTTAAAAATGCATTTAATGGTGTTAATAATGATAAGTTTGTGTACAAAAAAAAAATGAAAAGAATAAAAATAAAGGCAGCAATGAGGAAAGATGGGTCAGGTGAAGCTACTCTACAAAATGAATCAGGCGAGTGAAAAGGATAGTATCAAGGCATTTTTTGCTTGTTTGTTTTACTTCTTCTCCTTCTTATCTTTCTTATCTTTCTTGTCCTTCTTCTCCTTCTTCTCCTTTTTGTCATCCTTATCCTTCTTCTCCTTCTTTCCTTCCTTGCTACTCTTCTCCTTCTCCTCCTTCTCCTTCTTGGCTCTCTTGGAGGAGGACTTATCCTCCTCAGCGGCTCTCTTCTTGCCAGTCTTGGGGGCAACATCTTCCATCTCAGTGTCAGCAGCCTCCTTGAGACTGTCAATGACCTTCTTCATCGTATCAGCATTCTTAGCAGGGGTGGCGCCTGACTCATAGAACTCAAGACGCTGCTCCACTTGCTCCTTCATAGCCTCACCAAACTTGGTAGTAGGCATTTCGCTGAAGCAATCAATGCGAGAAGCGATTGAGCACTTATTGGCAACGAAGCGTGAGATGCGGCCCTTGTTTTTGGTTCCTGCACGACCAATGAAAGATGAATGGTAGATCAAACCGTACTTGGGAGTGTTGCCCTTGGTCTTCAAGGCGCGGAAAAGAGCTTTTTCTGCACCAAGAATCTGAACAGTTGAGGCAGGGTATTTGGAAAGGTTGGTCAGTGAGCCCGCGTGGGAGATAAGGCGGGCACCAACCATTTCGCCGATCAAAGCAGACAAGTTGGGGGCAACGTTGTTCATCTTGGAGATCAAATATTCGTGCAACTTCTTGCGATAATCAGCAAGATCAATGACACGTCTGGCAAAGTTCTCAATATTGATCATATCAATCTCGGAAATGTCAGTACCCATAGAGGCACGTGCAGCGTCCACAATCTGCTGAGCCTGAGCAGCATCTCCGGTGATCTCCTCCAAAGCCTCCAATTTGCTTTCAGAGAGCTCGCCTTTGTTCTTAATAAGCTGTGCCAATTTGGCATACTTATAGTTATCGTTGACGATCTTCACCAATTCAGGGAAATGCCACGAGTACCATTCCCTATACGGAGGACACATAAACGTTATTATATAAACAATTAGCAGCTATTAAAGAAGGATTATGGATTATTAAACAAAGCCACCATACCATAAGGTATGATAGTAGACTGATTCCATGAGACATGGTTATTCAATATACTAACCTGATACGCATGGCAAAGGTGTTGACATCCTTATCCATCTGATCCAATAAGGCAATGGCCTGAATGATCATGTTATCAGAACGATGAACGTTAAACTTAACCTTGCCACGAGAGTAACTGTGACCCAGACCAAGCTGAGCACGCTCGAGATCACCCTCCTTGAGTTGTTTCAAGAGCTTGTCAGCAAAGAGACGGACACCGCGGACGAGATCCAGAACAACCTCACTTGCATCACACTCAATGCCAAGACCCTCTTTAATGGATCCTGCAAGCGACTTTTCAGTTACGCCCAAGACAACCTTCGATTTTTTGCCAGGCTTCGGGACGTTCAGTTCCAAGAAAGCCTTCAAGTGGTCGTTCATGATACCTGAGATATGAAGATGGTATCCATGTTGACAATGGATCATGATTATCCATAAAAAGTAGCCGATGTCATATTATATAATACGTGCAGTCGATTGAAATGAAGTCGTCCATGATCAAGTGGTGAAAAAAGAAATATGTAAATAAAAAGATGGTGAGTAATCCATGATAAGTCCCTTCCTTTAGGTAAACTAATCTATATAAATAAGAGTAATTTGTCTTTCTTCAAATAGACGCACCTTCAGAAACATCATTCATGTTCTCAAGAGCGTGGGCAGCGCTCTTGAAGGGAACAAAAGACTTCAGTTTGATCATCTTGCCCAACTTTGTAAGGTCAGTGGCAGCAGCACAAACGTCAGCAAGCTTGGATCCAATCTCTTCTGACTCGAGACGCTCAAAAAGAGCATATCCTGAAGAGCTCTCAAAGAGGAAGTAGTTGACCTAAATATTGATCATTAACTATAGTCAGCCAAGCATTTCATTTGAATCTGATCAACAAAGGATAAATTCAAATGACACACGCAATTGAAGGGTAAAACAGCGACGCAATAAGTTCTAGCAGCAATGTGTACGTGTGAGCGAATGTAAAGCCATTAATGCAATCCATTTACCATATTGAATAGGTGGATAGGATGGAGTAAAGATTGCGATGAAAGAAAGGGAGAGAGCAAAAGCAATAAGGCAATCAATATTTTTTTTTTTTTGACTTTCGACACTTGCAGGTAGTTTTTTTTTTTAATTGTTGTTGTTTTCAAAAGGGACTGTGTTTGGATCTTAAGGGTTATTTCAGGCATACGACGGCAGAACCATTTATTCATCAGCATACTCAATAGATCCAAACGCTCGCTGTTAATTTATTCTGGTTTATATTGACATGGTGAAATGCCCGCTAATTGGTGGTTCTGCTCCTGTGTTTTTATTTCACTACAAGCACAAAAGGCACCATCAACTCATATTTTTTTATGTTTTTCACTTTTTAAAGTAATTCGCATCCTCAAGGATACTTTGACAACTACTTTTTCCATACTTGCAGCGCATACATTCCTCCAATCGCTATCTGCGTCTACCATTCTTACAGCACCCTCATCAACCAAACATCTCGCATTTAATATCAATCATGTATTCTGAAGAAGAAGATTTTGACTGCCCTTTGTGCATGGAAGAGTTGGACATCTCGGACAGGAATTTCCGTCCTTGTCCCTGTGGTTATCAGGTACAGTTCAGTCTGCGGTTGAGCAATTACTGCAGTTCATCACGCTTCATTTTGTTTATCGAAATGCATAGTATTCCATCGTTGATGTTAGTGAACTCATCATCTTTCAATGTTCCATTGCATTGCTGCATCACATTTTCATCTACTTTCCAGATCTGTCGCTTCTGTTGGCATCACATCAAGGAAGATCTCAATGGACGTTGCCCTGCTTGTCGACGAATCTACTCTGAGGAAACAGTTGAATTCACACCCATTTCCGCAGACGAGTAAGATACTTTATTCGTGATTCATCATGCTATGCATTCTTTTGTCCAGCAAAGTTTTACTGATTGTTATATTTCTTCCTTTTTTATCTTTTGCAACTTTAAAAAAGATTGGCTATGATCAAGAATGAGAAAAAAGCCAAGGAGCGTGAAAAAAAGGAAATTGAGGCTATGAACAGAAAACATCTTGCCAACATGCGTGTTGTTCAGAAAAGCTTAGTTTACGTCATAGGCTTGCCCCCGAAGTTGGCAAACGACGAGGTACGAAGGATGTGAAAGTATATTTGGCGCTATTGGAATCAACATTTGAACCTCTAATCTAATATGCTTGATCATGTTCCTCCTTTCTTTTTTATTTTTATTTTTTTTCCCTTTTTTTTCTGGGATGCATGCTTTATATAGCATACGTTGCGACAACACGAGTATTTTGGTCAGTATGGCAAGATCTCAAAAGTGGTGATTAACCGTAGGAATGCGCCAGTACCGTCTTCAGGGGCTTCTGCAGGAGTGCCAAGTATTGGAGTGTATATCACCTATGCACGCAAAGAGGACGCAGCAAAGGCCATCGCAGCAATCGATGGAAGTATTTGGGATGGCAAGATCCTTAGGTAAACAGTGGCGCAAAAAAAAATTATGTAATGCAATATTTTTATTGATCTTGGATGCAGGTTAAATTGTCTGACTGCTATTTCATGTATTCAATAGGGCATCGTATGGCACAACAAAGTACTGCACGTATTACCTTCGTGGCATGACTTGTCAGAATCCTAATTGCATGTACTTGCACGAACCTGGAGAGGATGCAGACAGTTATACTAAAGAGGATCTTGCAGTTGGGTAGGTGACAATAGACTTTTTTTTATTTAAAATCTTTATTTGTTTACCATGAACAAAAATAGTATCTAAGCTGAATGGTTTTGTGGTATTAGGAAACATCACCTTCAAGAGCATATTGTTCCATATGACCCATCCATACACAAGCCAGTTGCTCTCGGTCGTCCCACTCTACCATCACATGCATCTAGCTCTTCCTCAACTCCCAGACCTAGACCAACGACAGTGTCGTCCTATCATACGAATCCATCTTCTATCACTGATTGGCCTGCACCAGGTGAAAAACCACCTGGAGATGACAGGGAAAAAGACAAAGATAGAGACGAAGAGAGCTCTGCATTACCAGTCACGGCATCCTGGGCCAAGATTGGAAGTAACCCATCTACACCAATATTAATGAATTCAAAACCGCTCTCTCGCAGGACGACCACAGAGCCACCGCCACTACATGCAAAAGGATCCTCTTCATCAATCATTACAGGTGTTATTGTTAACAATGGTAAACAAAAGGAAAACACGCATACTGCTGGATCACCAATACTTGATTGTAAGTATCGCTTTTTTATAATTATTGTATCTATTATCTTTTTTTTATTTTTATTTTCTTTCTGCCTTGCAAATATATTGAAAGTTGTAATAGAGCCATTAACCTAGGCATATATATTTCCATTGTATAATAGATGAGCCTACACCCGCCGAGGCTTTAGCTCTTGAGGCAGCGGCAAAAGAAAAGATGCTGCAGGAACAGCGTCAGCTGCAGGAACAGCAACGTAAACTCTCAAAGAAGCAGGCTAAAGACCAAGATGACGCTGAGCAACAAGTAGAGACTTTAAACCGAAAGCTACGAAAGCAGCGTCAGCAAGAACTCGAGCGATTCCAACAAGAGATGGGGCAAAAGCTCCAAGCCCAAAAGGATAAAGAAGAGGCACAAAAACAGCATCAAGAAGAAGTCGAGCGATCCCAACAAGAGATGGAGCAAAAGCTCCAAGCTCAAAAAGATAAGGAGGATCAAAGAAAGGAACAAAAAGAATGTGAGGCGCGAGAAAAGAAGGAGCTGGAGCTTCGAGAAGCGGAGGAAAAGGCGAGAAAGGAGAGGGAGGAACTGGAGCAGAAAAAGAAGGAAGAAGCCGAGCGCAAGGAACGGAAGCGACTCGAGTTTGAAGAACAGAAGCGGAAGCAGATGGACAACATGTTTGTCACGACACCGACATTGTCACTTGGCTCATTTTCATTCAACCCTGATGCCTCGTTGGCCACACAGCCTCTAGCATTTGGAAATGGTAGTAGCCTTATGTCTCTTGGTTCAGAAACACCTGGTGCCTTTGGTCTAGACAGCTTCTCAGCATTCTCTAACCTTCCTGTGACCCCAGGACATTATACTGGATCGTTTAATCCATTTTCGATGGATGATGAGCCTCTCATGCGACGATCTGTTGTGCCACCGGCTCGATCCTTTCTGGATGACTTGGATTACGACCCGATGACTGGTCGTAGCCGACCCGTGGGACCTCCAATTCCAGGCAAGCCTAGACAGACTTCTCGCTTCGGATTTGCGATGGATCAACAATATGGCGATTCCTTTGGCCACGAAGGATACTCTAGTCCCCAAGCAATGCAAGATGGGTTCCGTGCCTTGTTCCCAAATGTCAATGTTAGTTTTGGTGACTCCATGAATGTACAACAGCAACAGCAGCAGTCACAGCAGCAGCAGCAGCAGCAACGACAACAACAACAGCAGCAACTCCAACAGCTTCAACAACAGCAGTTCCCAACGTCACCGCTTTTTCATCGCCAGGAAGCTCCACAGAATGCAGGATGGGACTCTTCTGACAAGCAGGATACTCGTATGCTACAAAGAGGTATGAATCAACTCAGCATGGATCCAATGCTGACTACACCTAGCTCCCGTATGGCAGAATACCATCAGCAGCTTCAAATGCAACAGCAATATGCTCAGCGCAGTGGCCCTCCTGGTATCACTCGCAGTGCACTTGCCTCGCCAATAGTGAAGTCTCCTCCTCCTGGTCTAGAGTCTGTTGCCAGAGCCGATATGAGTAACTGGGCTTCACAGCAACAATCACCATTGCAGCAAAGACAACAGCATTCGTCAAGAATGAACAGTTGGAGCAGTGATAGTACTAGCCATATTAGCAATTCAGGATTAGGAGCAAATCAAGAGCCTACTCAAGATGTATTTGGTGCATCGTTGAAGACTGGCACAGCATCCCCTCTTACAAAAAATAGAGGTAATAGAATTATTGAATATTTTCTTGGTCGGAATAATTATATCGCCAGAAGGTGTCGATTTTGACTCTTTTTCGTGTGTTTTCGATATTTTTAGGCTCACTCAACTCCATGGCCTTCCCGGACCCAGCAATCATGTTCGCTCGTATCTCTTCGGCAGGACCTGCCAAGGCATCGCTTGTTGAGGCTCTCCAAACCCCTCCTGGTAGCTTCCGTATGACTGCGTCTCAGGATGGGTTACGGTCGCTCAACAATGAAGGCATGTCAGGTGCGTTTTACGGAGTATCGAATCGGAGCGCTATGATGGATGGCGCCATAAACTTGAAATGGAATGAGCACAGTAATTAATCAATCGACATTGATGATTATGGAGGATACAAAGAAGGCATTGACAGCATGACTGGACGAGGATGAGTTTTATGATATTGAGATAATGGAGAAGAGAAGAGATACAGAATTGAATAAGATGTGTCTGCACACCTTCCCATGCCCTGCGACATACAAACAGGACATGGGAAGGTGTGTTGAAGCACATTGTCTTTCCAAATTACCTTTACATATATCTTTAGCAATATCTTCAACTCACCTTTTTGTACTCTCGTTCTTCTATTTGCACTTAGATCGAGTCAGTGATAATGATAAAATGAGCGAAACCCAGACCATCCTGCAGAAGCAACTACCAACGAGACAATCAACCCCAGATTCACCTTCATCCTTACAGAACATTCCTCCAGGCTCTAAGCGCAAGGAGATTAAATCTGTTAAGGGTGTATTGAATTCTGGTATGAACGCACCTTTGAATGGAGGATCAAGATCTCGTCCTCCCTCAACCCCAGGTTCTCCTCTTGTGGAGTATCGTATGCAACTCTTTGGACAGCAACAACAGCAACAGCAACAACAACAGACAGCGCCAGGCGAATCGTCTCTAGTAAATGGACTTTCCTCAGCCGCTGCTCGATCCGCTAAAGTCAAATCAGATCTGCTAATGGGTCTAAACTCACCCAATATCCGACCCGATCGTTTTTCTACTACAACTATGAAGGATACATCTGAATCTACCCAGCAACAGGGCATTAAGATGGCCAATGGCCACGGTGGATTTTACGCATCGAGCAGCCCTTATATCTCTAACAGCTATTCTAATAACGCGAATGGCTATGGTAGTAACCCGACCACTGGCGCTGCTTCTGGGCCTCCCCCAGGCTTTGGCAACTCTGCATCTGGATCTGGTAATAATAGCCCTTATTTGATGTCGACTCTATTGGGTCGCGTACAGGAAAATAACTCTAATAAGCCTTTGGACGTGGCCAGTATGATGAGCGCGCTAGATTTCTTTGGTCCTGGTCAAGCAAGCTCGCTAATGATGTCACCTAACTGGAATCTGGCAAACGGAACCAACATGAACGACAATAACTTTGGTGGCAATGGAAGCAGTGGCCAGTCACACTTAATAAACGGCGGGGCTCTGAGCGTTGGGAGCGATGAATCGAACGGCAATACCATAGTTAATACCAATAATAACAATAGCAACAATCATGCCAAGAATGCTAACGATGATAATAGCGACAATACGAATAATGACACCATCACATCGGCGAGCGCACACAGTGTTGAGGATTTAGAGCTTCAGGTCATTAACGCCAAGATGGAGACTCAAATGTTGGAAAATCAGTTGAACGCTGTCATCAAGCGCAACCGTCGCAAGCTGTATGCTTGATATATTAATGAATGAAGGAAACCGAAACTATCCACAATATTGTAGAATAAAATAAAGAAGATTAGATAGATGTCTTGTTCAAAAAAAAAAAAAAAAAAAAAAAAAAAACTGAGCTATGTTTCGTGCTGTTTCTGAGAACAACAGCTATTATGGGAGGCTCGATCGTAGGTTGGCATCAAAAAAAGTGACAGCACTGGAGTATTATCATCGACACCAACACCACATGACATCAACTTTCCGCTTCAGTTTTGAAATTCCGCAATAACAACTACTTCCATCGCCTCAGTCCAAGGAAACTGATGGTCTTAATAGGGGAAGCAATAACAGCAACAACTCATAACGGTCGCTGCAACAGTGTTAAGGAAACAGATCTGTCGCCATCATCTTTATCATAGCCGTACTCATTAACACTGCCATCATTATCACTATCTTCATCTCCATCGTCACCATCAATGGGACCGATCCGTAGAAGAATATTCATATTATCAATATTACCAACCTGTGTTTCAAGGGAACAGGTTGTCCTTGGTTTCAGCATTAGCAGCGGCAGCATAGGCACCAACATCTTAACCATATAATTATGTCATAACAGCAAATACCCGCGAAGACACCACAACTACCACCGCCTTCATTAACATCAGAGGCAACACGGCTAACGCAACTACCCACAATGTCAATAAAGTTGAAACTTTTTCGACTGTTACTTATTATTCCTACACTTTCGATCTCTACTCTCTCTATTCCCTTCTCTGCATTGTTAGATGGCAGAGACCAAGAACAAGCCGAACACAAATAAAACTGAGGACAAGATTTTAAAGAGGAACATGAGTTAAATCAAAAACTGAGAAACTCCGCAAGCGGAATCACCGGCCGTAGTCACCCACATCTTCAAACTCTCTTCTAAACTTGAACAAAACACTCCACAATCAGGTTCTAGTTCTGATACAATATTTGGAGAGCGGGAAGCGCTGGATTAAGAAGCGGACAATAAGTATATATTAGAAAGGAGTAAAAAGGAACAAGATCAAGGGCAGGGTGGTAGAGTAGCAATACTCGTGGTGTACTTAAATAGTGATCTTTTTCGGTTTGAGTGTTTTGGATTCAAAGTGCTTTCCTACATGAACAATCTATTACCTTTTCCCTCTCTCATCTAACGTTCGTATTGCTGCTGAAGTTTTCCGCAAATATCATCTTACCTTAAATAAAGGAAGTAACAGTAATAATCCCAAAATCAAACATCGTCAAAGTTGCTCGTTCGTTAAACTTAGCAAAATAGCGATTTTGCCTCTAATGGTGGCCATAATGAAAGCCACCTGCTGTATCGAAACATTCATATCGCTACTATTTTATTATTGTTCTTTCTTCAAGACAGTTGACAAAACATATCAACTGCTGCTTCTTGGATGGTGCGGATAGGTTTGAAGCCAATTTTCTCCCTGATCATACAAAGAGCGTGCGGAGGAAATTATTAAGAATGATGTCAAACTTACCCGATTTGATCATTTTAACAATTAGAAGACACTTCCCCATCCCTTTTTCACCTCTTCTTCTCTTCCCATTCCCTCCACTGAATACTTTTACTCGTGAGCTTTGGAAGCAGTTTACCTCCCTTAATAGAAAAAGTGGTTTTGAGAAATGTAAATCACGGGAGCTTAGGAAAGTGGTTCGCGTTTCTCTTGCAAAGCCTTATAAAGGAGTTAAGAGCCATTGCATGGTCCTTGGTATTGTTCAGCTATTCGGGAGGTTTTTTATTAACCTCTCTCTGACGTTTTCCCCGTTAAAAAAAAAAAAAAAAAAAAAAAAAGATAACGGAACACGATACGTCAAACCACCTCCTCGTGGGTGCGCTCCGAACAACCTCTTTTCCCTCTGTTGGTTATACATGGCTAGCAATCAAAAAGATGACTAAGCATCTGGCTCAGATTAGCTTAGAGTGTATTGGTAGAAGCATTTGTAGCAATAAAAAGAGCTTATTATTTATTATACATATTTTAGTCAAGCTGTTCTGTGTTAGAGGTTGACTTTTTTTTCCCCTCACCTCTTGGCAAAATAAAGTTTACCGCATGTCACAGTCGCGGAACCTTCAATTTTAGAACTCCATCTGCCAGTTTACCAGAGTCTGTTCCTTCTGTATGGTTCAGATATATCAAGTTGGTGGTTCATGGCGTATGGGTATACGTTGTCAATACGCTGTATGCTGTCCTCAATGTTTTGATGAAGCGCATATGCCCCCGCTGAAGCTGTCGTTTTTACGAACTATAATCGATAAAAGTGCGTCCAACCTAACCTTATTCTTCCTTCACACAAAACGAGCAAGACAAACAGGCAAGCATCCATGGAAGATGTGGTCATTTAAAATAAAAAAAGGCTTCTTTATTCCTCAAAAGGACCAAACCAATCATATATAGCTGATAGCCCAAGTGACTTTTCAATCATTTAACAACCAGATGACGAATATTTCAGGCCTATATCCATACTGTGATTAGAAACAAGACTAAAACTCAAGTACATATATTTAATTATCGATGTTGAGCGATGAAGGGTATTACTAACTTTTCTAATTCCGGCTATGGTTGAATCAAGTGACATCAGTATATCATGTTAAGCGTTTTGTAGAGACCTAGATGACGTGATCTTCTTCGACTGTATTGCAAGAGGATGCTTCATGGATCCAGTTGACGACAATCTTCGCGAGGCCGCTATAATCCTTATTGTATCGACGATATACAAATGTGTTTGGCGTGCTATCGCTCACCATGGTATCAAGCATGTCTTCTACAGCCGGTGAGATTTCCTCCAGTGTATAACCAGAGTATAAAATCATTGAATGTGTCTAGCAATTCATGCGTCCCCATGTCATAACGAAAGCATGTATAAGCCATAGAGCCCATTTTCAATCTGTATAACATTGATAATATCAATAATATTAACGTACCCACTCTGTCCGGCCCATCATCCAGCGGCTAATATATACTGCAGCTGCAGCTTGAAGCGATGGCTTATAGATGAGAAATCGGGGGTCTAGTAGGACTAGTTCAAGGATGAACCTGGTGATGGACCTAACATAGATAATGTCATCATTGTCCCCGTCTCCACGTAAGCATCTCCGCAAGAAAGGCAATGGTCCTGGCCAACCAACCCTGTAGTCGAGCAACCGTAGGATTTCGCGCTCATAAAGCTGAAAATCGGTGACTTCTACTTGGTATCCAAACTGACCCATAAGCCTAGTATACTCTCTCAATCGCATACATCCAACACGCTGCTCGAACTTAGCGGCAATCAATAAGCAAACGAAGGAAGTTATAACGAGGACCATCTTATTGTCGTGAAACTTTCGTGAAATTTTGTTTAAAACTCGGTCAAACAGATTGACGCCGAGGAATAGGGGTTCAGGGAGGATACGCATTTTCATACGTGTCTCTGTCATAATCTCGATGCAGTGCATCCTGTGAGCCCACGCAGACTCTGGCATCCGCTCCAGATATCCAATATCTGGCTGGAGAGTAGTCTGGGAGGAAATATAAAAGAAGTTCGTTTATATTTGTTTGCACACCTGGGAGGCAGAGTCATACATCAATAGCTTACCTCCATCTCACGGCAGTGGCTAAAGATTTCATCCTCATACTCCATCATCAAGGTCTGGTCATGGCTGGGGTCTCTGTCCATAGTTGTGGAATTAGTTCGTGAATCAGAGGTCATGGCCCGCCTCTGCTTTTCCTGGAGTCCGATATTCTCACAATTGGTGATTGGGGCTAAGTGTGATATGGGCATATTTGAGTTCGTAGCGCTCTTCTGCGCCGTAGAGACTTCATCTTCCCTGCTTCTACCTACGTGTTGCTCGCGCGCTAGTACCTTGATATGCGCCGCCCCTTGGCTGGTTACAACAGGATGTGTTGCTTTGTTAGGCGTTCGACCAACTGAGGGGGCCACACCTTTGGGGTTGTATTGTTCACTGCTGCTTGTCCTCCGCCTCTTGTCATAGCTTCCTCCCGCACAACCAGCCTTTGAGGGGCCTACTGAGCTGACGTCCACTTTTTCCCCTTGCTTTCCCCCGTTAGAGGGTTCTGGTCTCCTAGATTCATTTGGCTGCTCATCATCCCTGTCATGCTTGCGTTTCTTGTCTACTACGTCGACTTGGACAACTTGTTCGGATTGTGTATCGAATGACGTCGATGCCCGTTTAAGCACTGAATTTGCCTCTGGGACTGCATGACTGTGGGTAATATTTGGATTTCGGATACGTTTATTGCTCATGGGCTGTTCATGTTGTATCTTCAAGGCATCTCTTTCAACTGCTGTAGTCACCATGCTCAAAGTGCTGTTGTTATGTGACGCAACTGGCTTGGATGCAGTGAAAGGAAGAACTGACTCAATAAGTTGACCACCATTCATGGCCAATTCGTTACTTGAAGTTGCTCGAGAGAACGAGGCTCGAGTTGTTGATGCTCTAGAAGCAGCTAAATTACAAGCAGGGGCTGAGGAAATCTGATCTCTGGGATCAGTTGGGTATTTGATTGGAGCCTTTACAAAATTCACTTCAGCGTCGCCACGACAGCTTTGAGCTTGTTGGTCTCCGCTCGTATGGATACTTCGTGTCTTGGATGGTTGTAGTGGATCAGCAATCTCGTTTTTCAACCTAGCTTTCTCTGAGTCCGCCTGATTGATAACCAAGATTAAAAAGGAAATAGCTTATTGTTAAGACCGCGTATATCATCTTCGTACATGGAACTACAATGCTCGCTCTAACATTAAAAAAAAAAAAAATAAGCTCACTAATTTTCACTCTACCTTACTCTGCTCTATATTCTCTTTATTATTTCGGGCTACTGTGCGAGCTGTGCTTTGTAAGCCAGGAGGTTTTTTATTGAGAACCATATTTATATTTTTCGGAGGTGTGCAAACGTTAAAGAAGGTAAAAAAATATAGTGGATTTGTACAAGCGAGTTTGACCAAGTTTCTGCAAGGAGCAATAAGCACACTAGCAAGCAAAACAAAGCAGGAGCTACAACTGCTAGTGCAGAGGGAATTAAAGAGAGCTTGATAGCGAAGCAGGGTCTAAGCAAAGGTTGTGGATTAAAGAAAAAGTAGAAAAATTATGATTTATCACACTACCCACGTGCAAACATTCCGAGGCACTTGTTCCCGCCACCAAAATGAGACGTTAATAAAGATCTGTGTAGCACTGAAAAAAATCAGTTCCACAGATCCATCAACATCAATGGTTCACATGTACAGATTCACTCACAGGATGATTGAGGTCATCCAGGATGACAATGCTCAGGACAATAAGACAGTAGTGCCTGCGGAGGTCACTCTTGCTAATCTGACAATGTTTTCAACTGTCCTCTTCATGACAGAATTCCACAAGATGGGCATGGGAGACTCTGTAGACATTTCAAAGACGTGCAACATGTCTGAATGGCATCGTCGTCTGTACGCAGGAACAAGGAAACAAGCTTCAAATACCAGTCGTGAGGACGAGGACGAGTACATTGATATCCTTACTTTGCTACCAAAGCCAATCCCAGAGGCTGGGGTAATTTATGCCACTACATCCAAAAGTCCAAATGATGCATCTGACAAAGAAAAATTCACTTCGTTCCTGTTTGCTCATCACAAACAATCCATTGCTCAAACAATCCCATCATTGCCATCACAAGGAGCTTCTATTGATAAGCTGTCACCCGAAACTCAGGCGTTGATATCTAAGCTGGGTGTCACACATATCTGGCTGTGTGGATCAGACCCAGAGCAGCGACGACATGGTCTCATGGTCCAATGTCTGAACCAGCTTGAAAAAGACGTTTATACATGGAAGTCTTCCGGACAGGCTTCTGGCATAATAACTGTTCATACGATCCCTCAAGCGTTCCCAGGAATGGTTCACTTCTTGACAAAAAACGAATTTCAAGGCGGTGACAAGGTAGTTGGCGGCGATGCTGGGAAAGTTCTCTTTTGGAAGGAAGTGTAGTAAGATACAGTCAGAAAGATCATTAATTCCAAAAAAAAAAAAAAAAAAAAAAAAAAAATTGCACAAATTAAGTAGAATAACTAATATTTGATAAATACAGTATCGAATACAAATGATAGCAGAGGAGTGGGCTTAGGTGCAAAGATAGAATGAAGTGATGCCAGAATAGTCAAAAGGAAGACATAAAGCATTCTTATAGACTATGTTTCGCTTGTATATACGGCCTACCCCCAAATACTGACATTGGAAGACAGCAGCGGCCTACCCTTCACAGTCCATTAGTTACATTGAAAGCAGCCTACCTTCTCTTCGTGGGAATGATGTAAGCATAAAAAACTATATTGAGAAGCTCAGAAATATGGGGAAAGCCCTAGATTCCTTCCTTCTATAGCAGCAACAATGTCATCAAGAAACATAGGTGGGATGCGAAAAGAGTCCGAACCGAAGAATACAAGATCACCGACAGCCTGCTCAAGATAGGGACGGGTCTTGCAAGTTTTCGCCTAATGCAAGGCTATCTTTGTTACACGAATCATTCCAATCATACTTCGTGAATACGAAAAGTACTCGCCCATTATTACAAAAAAAACGTGGCCGGCGGCCATGCGGCTTTAAGCAGTAGTTAAAACAGAGGTCGGCCAAGTTAGCCGTAGAAAAACCGTCAGCCATTACTTTTTTTGTCGTTATTATCACATTGTAACTAATCTTGCTCTTCTCCCTATGAGGCCCGATCTCTTGGGTACATCGTTGTATCGTTGTAGGTGTAAACGAATATTATACTTCAAAAAAAAAGTCCGATCTGTCAAGAATTTGTTAGTCAGGTTGAGATCCGTCGACTCTATTGCAGCAGCTGCAAGACATTTATGCACAGAGATGTCATAGCATGGCATAACATTTGGAGCGTTGTTCAAGACCATTTACTTTATCAAGAACAACCATCCTATCTTGTGTCAAACAAAAATAAGGATGGATGACGGAAATGTAGTTCACCATAGTTGACAATATCTGCGTGTCAGCTGTTTTCGATGACGTAATAAGGCCAAGATACTTCCGTTCTTCGTTCATTTGCATTGCAAGATTGCTCTCCTGCCCACTCCGTAATCGCAACATCCCACAAGAAATCCTTTCACTTGTTAAGTTTTCTATATCTACTTTTCAAGGAAACAGATACTATGAATGCACAGGGTAATAGCCTACTATAGGGTATTGAATTAAAGCAATTGTAATTTCATTTACCCATGGTGTAGTGCGGTGTTTTGGGATAACCGGAGGTAGCTGTGTCTTAGGTACAGTGAGGCAGGCCAACTCATAGTTATAGCTTCATTACCCATGGCGTAGGATGGCATTTTGGGCTTTGAAATTACAGTTAGTTTTAGGATTATTTACTGACTATTACGCTTTAGTCTCTGAACAGATTGATATAGCTGAGCAATATCCTGATGTCTTCCTTCCTAATCTTGCTGGCGTGGGATATTTCTTCTAGCTAAATATCCTGACTAAATCGAACTTTCGGGGTTATTATACTTATCGAAGAGAAGAAGGTGTCAAGAATTGGAGAACGGCCATTAAAGAATGGAATGGATGGACGAAACGTTTTCAAGTCTCTGATCATAAGCAGCTTAAGGTTCTAGCCCTGGATGAACCACAAAAATTCAGAAATAATTTGAAGGAAGGCAGCTGTAAGTACTTTTACGTTTTATGTTTAGCTTTCATTGGTGATAGATTTTAACCTAGCATATTTTTCAGCATCTTCAAATCTATTTTCTTCAAGCATTTTCCTAGAAAGTCCGACAGTAAACCGAATGACTGAGGAATATGAACAAATTTGCAGAGGATTTCCAATTACTCTGTCAACCAGTGTTCCTAACCGATTCGAATAAGCCTTATCCTGGAATGATTCGAATGACGCGAATGGATCGAATGGATCAAGTATCGAATGGATCGAGTGTCGAATAGTTCGAATGGTTCGAATAGGGGCACTGGATATTCTTTTATTTAGTTTATTACTGAGACCCTCAGGAAGAAAGGCAAAAGAGGAAAAAGAAAGGAAAGGAAAGAAAAAAAAAAAAAGGAGATGAAACATAATGAAAGGTAGCATTGTTACGCGTAGCGAAAGTACGGTCATTGTAATTTACGCCCAATCAAAAAAAAAAAAAAAAAAAAAAATTACTACAAACACAAGTTTAAGATTATCATTTCCTATTGTGCCAATGGTTCGAATGAATCGAATAGTATTCGAATTTTGATATCTATTCGAATGGTTCGAATAGGAGCACTGCTGTCAACAGGTACCAATATTGATGAACTCCTATTCCAATATACAAGGGATCTATAACATGAAGATCCGTTGCATTCGTTTGTCATATTCAAAAGGATAGAATGGAGTTTCATTCCAGAAGGTGATTTGAAGGAGTTCCAGGATCTTCTCGAGCAATCTGAGGGAAAGCGTGGTACATATTCTTTAAAAACATGGGAAGCAAATGTAATTTTGCGATTCAAAGGTAAATTTATAGTGAGTTGAGGTGACCTTTTTGTAAAAAAATTTACACTTGCTTTCTACGTCTAACTCAAGTCTATGAAGCACATAACAATGCGCTTCCAATGAATGAGTCTGAATCGTGGTATGTGAAGAACATTTGGAACATCTTGCTAGACTTGACTCATAGTACATTTGTGAAGGTATGTCCTGGAGATAAGAATTCGACCGCGTCTTCGAAAAGGAAAAACGTTGAACGGACTCTATCTACTGGATATGCTATTGGAAGAAAGGCAGATTCTATATTTCTTTCGAATCGACATCCATTCAAATTGGCGTTGTGAAGATAGGTAGGTTGGACAAAGGAGAAAACTCTACCAAGTCCTTAAAAGATGGCAGGAAGATATGTAAATTCCTGAAAGGCATGTCTGATCTGATTTGTAGCAGGCACCGCGACGCTCGAAGTGTAAGAGATGGGTTAGTATTGCACGGCATTATATTGTCAGGCCTGAGCATTACTTTTTTACTATTTGTATATGTTGGGGGACAGTTTCATAGATTATTTACTCATGAAGAGAAAGCTCTGACAGAGTCATGGAGCTATTCCAATACTATGAGTATCATCAGGGCATTCGTTCTTCTTGGAAAGCGACTGAAGGACACAGAAAAATATATTTATGAAAGCACTTCTACCACTGAAAATAACATTGAGGCTGAGTTACACGGCGCCTCAGTACCTGTATCGAAGGGATCAAGTATATCTACCGAGTTTCCTCCAACAATAACAACACCTTATAACAGTCCACCATCCTCTCTATTGTTAAAAAGATCTCGCGCTAGTAATCAGGCATTTACGGAGCAGTCATAACCTCTTCTCATTATCATTTTTTATTTGAATAAATTTTACGCTGGTCAATATCCAGCTACTTGCTATGGTCCATAAAACTACACCTACTCTACTTGACTCGTTGTCGATAGAAAGCACTTTTTTTTTTTTTTTTTTTTTTTTTTTTTTGGAGAGCATTCTGTAATTCTGTAATCTGAAGATATTAAGAAATGTGGGACGTCTCGGGTCTCCAATGTTGTCATAAGGATTATTTATTGTAATAAACAACAAGGCCATTGGTTCTTTTCTCTCCTTTTTTGTCTCCTCACTTCTTTACACGCACTCAATTACTCTGTTCGTTGATATAACCAGAAACTTCTGTATTTGTGGCTCACCCACGCAGTTACTTTCGTTGAAAAGGCCAAACCAAACTCAAAAGAATGGCTCCGACACATTCACCTCAAGAGACGAGGGCTCTAGCTTAGTCCCAGCGTTTTTAACAGGTGTTTTTTTTTTTTTTTTTTTTTTTTTTTTTTTTCCACCGGTGACTGATGATGGCGTGCGATAAATCCGTGTTGCAATTAACACAGCATCTTGTACATATTCTGTTTTTTGTTTCAACTTGGACATGTGATTTTGGTGAGGGCCGGTTAGTGAACTGATCGTACTCTTTGATTTTTGACTCTAGCTTGGCCCTCAAGGAATCAGTGAGTATTAAATAGTGGATGAAACGTTATGGCAACTGAATACTCGTCTGTGGTTATGATACGTTTCTCCAGCTGGTCAATGAGGCGATTGAGCTCGGCAGTCAGATTGAATTCTGGCTCGTGGCTGTCGCTATCTGTGGCCAAGGGAGCGACAGCCGCAACATAGCCGCTTATTGACGAACTAAAAACGATAGTCATGTCATTAATGAGCCCCAGTATATCTACTAGCTCATCACCCTGGCTCATCTCTTTGCTATTTAGTCGTAACGTCAGAAGTCTATCGTGATTAGCTGATTCAGCTTGGTTCGGTCCTGCGGCTGCGTCGATTATTAAGCTTTCAGTGGCTGGCATGGGTCCTCGGTGCCTTTTGAACATCGCTAGAATACTATCCCATTTGGTTACGACGTCAAGGACCACGGCCATTGGCGTACACGTTGGATCAATTTCTTCCTAGCATATCTTTAATGCCTGACCCAACTATGGGTGTTTACCTCGATCGCGCTACAATTTCAAGTCGGATATAGAGGTTCTTAACGTCATTCTCCATTCCCCATTCCCCCTTTCATGCGCTCCGCTCATTCCACTCGATGAGTCTTGCATCTTTGGACTTATTCAAGCATAATTGAAGACCCTAATAACACCGCATCCCAGTGAGGGACGGGTTACTGTCCACTGAATCTTGGTAAATGTTACAGCAAACCACGCGGAAGCCATTGATGAAGTGAGTCACTTAGTGCTATGGTGTCAACTAACTTTTGCTTTCCATACGCTAACTGCTTAACTCGCCTCACAGAAAAACGCAAGATAAACCAATCAATGAATAATATATATCTTAGATTTAAGGCGTCAGGATCGGTACCGGCTTCCTGGTGCTATTTTCATTCCTAACTCTTTAAATCATCCTTATAAAAATCTGAAACATAGGTCTACCATAGTGGCAATAAAAGAGTGCTAAGAAGAGAAAAGCACAGTCAGAAAGGAAATCTGAAAATGTTACATTGAAGAGCAATGTCCATCAATTGAGATGTGTGAGTGGAGTCTAAAGTCAGCATACGGGTATACTTTTTTCGTATAAGATACTAAGAAGTGACGATACGGAGGAAGGAGCGTTTGCAAGAGTGACTTAGATAAAAGTCAGCCGCTGTACAGTCACCTGAAACAAAGATTGGACAAAAAAATAAAATATTGAAATAGTTACGTAGGGAAGCGTTTCCTTCAATCTCTTTCCTTCCTGTTTTTCACATACAAACAGCTTGAGTAAACCACCATGGCGAGACACTTAGACATTGAGAATAAAGGTATCATCGTTGGAATGCACCTCGCGGGCATGAAGGCTGCGGAAATCGCATTGCAACGCGGTGTACCCCGAACCTCTGTTATTAATATTATCAGGGTGTACCAAGAAAGAGGCACCACTGCTTGCACTCCGATCCCAGGACGGCCCAAAGTACTAAGTGAACGGGACCTCAGGAGCATCGTTCGCCATACTAAGCAGAATAGAAGGTGTACTCTTAATGATATCACTAACCAATTGCCGAACAAAGTTTGCGAGAGGACAGTTGCGAAGGCATTGCATTCACTGGGTATTTTCAGCCGGATTGCAGTAAAAAAACCATTCTTAAAAGAAGGACATATAAAAAGGAGGCTGCAGTTTGTCAAAAAATATATGAGTTGGTCCATGGAAGACTGGAATCGGGTAGTTTGGACTGACGAATCATCATTTGAAGTTGGTAAGCATTTTCGTCAAATAAGAGTTTGGCGTAAAGTAGAGGAAAAGTACGATCATGATTGCCTCGCACCCACTTTCAAAAGTGGTAGAACAACTCTGATGGTCTGGGGGGCGTTCACAGCAACCAGAAAGTCTCGGTTGGTTGTATTTGAAAGAGGTCGTAAAGATGGACGGTGTTTCGTGGAAGATGTATATCAAGGCGAGCTAGCCAGATTTATGGCTGAGGTAGGGGATGGCATACTTATGGAGGATAATGCTCCAGTTCATACTTGTAAGATTGCAAAAGAATGGCGCGAAAAAAACAGCATCCCGAGGATTCCAGACTGGCCTTCATGCTCCCCAGATTTGAACCCTATTGAACATGTATGGTCACTTCTTGCGGATGCACTCGATAGGCGCGCTAAAGGGCCAAGAGATCTTCCCACTCTCACACGGGCTCTTATCGAAGAGTGGAATAATTTACCGCAAGAGAGGCTGGCCAGCCTTGTCGCTACCATGCCCGAAAGGCTGGAAGAAGTGAATGGGGTCGATGGTAGGAACACTCACTATTGAACCTACATGGCACTTTTGCTACTCTAACAATGCCGTCTTCAAAACCCCAATAAATAACAGTATTGACCTCTTTAGTGAGCATGTAAAATTTCATGTGTATTGATGAAGTCTTTATGTATGTTGCATATGAGCTGTTTGTCCAGGTTGTTCAAAAAAAAATCAAGAAAATCCATTTTGTCCAAACTTTATTTCAGGTGACTGTACATCGCTCCTCCATTTTGCTTTGTTGATTGACAAACTACATTCTGATACTAAAGAAAATATGACTTTTCATTACCCAGAAACAGCGCAGGAAGACCCTTCTATTGAAGCGCTGCGCAGAGAGTTGGCAGCTGTTTCGCTAGTGCTCAGAAACACACAACAGGATCTCAAGGATGTTGAAGATAACCTCGCATACATTCAAGCAGAGCGCAATACAGCACTATTCAGTCTCGCTGAGACCAAACTCGACCTGCAAAACGCCAGAGACGCTCTTGCCAATAGTGAGCGTGCACGCCGAGAGGCCAATCAGGATCGGGTCATTTCTCGCCCTTGTAAAGAGCAGGAAGTCTTTGTTATTTTAAAGTTTCAAAAGCCTCAACCATCACCTGTCGGAGGATTTCGCATCTTTGCACAGCAACGAAAGGTCGTTGACCGCAGACTGAAGCAATTCATTGCTGATAACCCTGAGCTGGATGCCGTTGATGTTGAGGAGTTGCGATTTGATCGTTCGCCGAGGGGAGAAAACGTCATTCAACATATGAGGCGCGATAAAGATGCCCCAATCAAGCTCAGTCGTCGCAACTTCATCCTCAAGGACGGCAAGACGGAGGATGAGATGGTTGAATATATCACACGAGTTTTCAACACCCATACCCAGGAGAACTAAACTGTCCAATAAAGTAATCTTGACATTTCACACAATTTCTTTTTAAAAAGATATTGTGCTGCTGAGGTAAATTGTATTTGTAATGGGTGTTCCCCAGCAATGTGTGTGTTCAGTAGGTGTGCTACGGAGCAGTTTAAGACATCGGTCAATGAGTGTTGTATTCACAACAGGAGGGTCGTCCCAATAATAATCCACCTCAACTCCGGTGAAACATTTATCCGGTGGGTAGACTTGCAAATGCATTCTGTAAAAGAAAAAAAAAATATTGGAAGTCTACCCACCGCCAAGCCTGGTTCGTGTGCATGCTTTTAATACATAATATTCTCATTGGAAGGTTTGGTGTCACTGGAGCCAGAGATTTGGAACTAACACCGCTTCTGGTCTGCATTTTTCCTCTATAATTCCTATGGAGATGAAGATGAAGGCAGCCTAGAAGGCGGTCATCCGAATCCAAGTAGTCACCCAAGATCCAAAGAATTGAGCAATATCCAGAAGTTGGCGAAAGGCGCATTGATATCGATGGAAAGATCTTTGAAATATATTTAAAAAAAGTATGCAGTTTGAGGTAGTGAGGGGGTTGATCTTGTAGTTTTAAACACGTTGATCCAATATAGTTGGACAGATAGCTCGAGAATGGCGGTACATGGCTCACTCCACTTCCACATCCAAGCCAAGATACCAAAGCTCAATTGCCATAACTATGATTCAGGATCTCATCGTCAGCATTGGAAGAGGTGAGTGAATTGTTTAAGAAGGCATCCTGCAGTTTGAAGATACTTCGTGCATGATCCATCTTGACTTTATAACTTGGAGTCAAAACCTGTACAAGAGTGGCGTTATTACCATCTGGATATTCAAAGCTGTCCTGTGTCCAATGGCTATGATGCGCCTCGGCGGTGATATTGCGCAATGCTACCATGCGTTTGATGTTGAGGAGCAAGCAGCACAGCTTGAATTGCAATGAAAAAGTGCTCTTCTCTGAGCTCTTCTCTGAGACTCTATTCACCACAGTGTTGCTGAATTTGTTGAAGGTGGTCTGCATTTCCCCAAAATAGCTTTCAATCCTTGAGCGAAAGCTGCCAAACATGTCGTTATATCTACTCTCGCTGTCTGTCAATGCAATTCCTTTGCATTTGCGGATTGGGCAGCTGAAATTTGACGATTTCAATATTCCACTGCCTGTTAT